AATAATGCTCAGTGAGCCGCCGTTTGCGGCGAAGCTCGGAGCTTCGACACGGCATAAGGAACGACATTTAGGGGGTAAGATGTTATAAATTAATTCTGAAATGATGATCACTGATGCACCGGTGTCAATGAGCACCCTAATTTCCACCCCTTCTATCCGTCCAATAACAGCGGATGAACCTGCGGTCGTGGCCACCACTCCATGGGCCAGCTCCAACCACTGACCCGGTTGGAGCGTCCGGCCGGCCCGATCAACATCAAAATCCTCCCGCCCCGACGCGCGACCGGAACGAAACCCGAACGCACAAGATGGGTGAGGTAGATTCAGGGGCCGAGTGTGGAATGTGTCGCGACTCACCTTAGGATGCAGTGGAGCGAAGGATAGTCGGGCAGATGACGGCGGTGGTCCGGGGAGGCGTCGACGAGATGTGTCCCAGCAGGCCGCAGCTGTAGCACACAATGGGGCTGCTCCTGGGACGAGGAGATGTCTTCCGCCGTCGCTGGTCGTCCGCCCGCCACACCATGCCATCCCCTCGCCTGCCTCCACTCTGGGTCGATGCGCAGGCTGGAACGGGCTTCATGTCTTCAGGTGTATCCGGCCCCTCGTGGGACGCAGAACACACCACCAACCCCTTGTGCCATTGCAGGAGCTGGTGAGCCTGAATGCATCTCGCAACCCTGATGGACGAAAGATCGTCGTCTACAGCTGGCAGAACGATGTTGAGGTCCTTAGCCAAAGCCAGCAGTCTCTCAAGGACCAACGAGTCGACTCCATCGTGGTGCATTCTTGGAAAGGCAGCCCTCGCCAGCTAAAAAAAGTGCGCTACAGAAGGCAAAGGGCATCTCGGTTTCCCCTATCTTTCGTGTAGCGAACTTGTGGCACATGTTGGATGGCAGCTCGTAAATGGCCGCCATTTGGTCGAAGGCTTGAGTCAACGTGGCCCTCTCCGACGGCGGGATAAGGAACTCCACCAGTGCTCTCGTCATCAAGGGCGGTACGCAGCGCTCTTAGTGCCTCCGCGTCCATCCACCCAGCCAAGTCGGCGTTTGTCAGGAACCACCGCTTGAAGGCCACCCAGTCACCCCCGGTGGCTGTACATTATTTCACGAAGGGAAGTCAATGCCGGAGAGATGGAACGTCCACCGGCGATTTCGACGCAACTTCGGATTTGGCAGGTCCCGCGTTCCGCTCCTTCGAGAATATGGCGGCTGCCAGCGCAGGCTGTGCCACAGAGGTTTCCCCTTGGCGGAAATGGCGACGGTAACGTCAGGGGATATAAGGGAAAGCCGGAAAGGGCTCGGGGTCAGTGTGTGGAGTCAAGGAGGGGGCCACGTCTCGCGCCTCCGGAACACCAACGGCCACGTGGCGGGCCGGAGGCTTCCTCCTTGCGAGCCGCCTATCAGCGGCGCGCGGGAGCGGGAGAGGGTGTGAGCGAGCTGGCGCGAGCGACAACATCTAACCGCGCGGAGCTGTCCAGCTGTGAAGGAATGAATAAATAATCAAGAAGACACAAGTTACAGATTGGCGTCGCCGTGGTTTATTACACGTGTAAAAAAACTAAATTTCAATTATATGCGCAATTTATTTTATTTGTGCGAATTATTAGTTCTTGCGCACAATTGATCATTTTTTGCGCATAAAATACTAATTCGTGCACATGATAAACTGAATCGTGAGCGGTTTAAAAAAAAACATTTCCATAAAGGAACTCCGTAGTTAAATCAAAGATCCTAAATGGTTAAATTCAGTCACTCATAGTTCATAGTAGGACAATGGCGAAAAGAAGCATAACGCCATTTGCTGGGTAGAAAGAACAAAAATGTAATGGAGGAATAATTAATCATGGAGGACGCGTTGGCTATTGTACGCTTACCGAATTACGTATATTGAGTAGGTACTCCATGATTAATTATCCTTCCATGCTCAAAAATGGCTTTTTAATATATTTGTACCCAAAAGCGTTTCTCTCTATATTATTCTAAATGTTATCGTAACATAATAATAGTATAAAAATGTAATGCTGATATTGAAATTTTATATTTAACTAGCTGTACTACCCGGCTTCGCCCGGGACTTGTATCCACCACGGCCGGCCGCCTTTGTCTCCCCAATGGCGATGTTAATACGCTACAGCAGTTACTCGTTTGAGGCAGAGTCGACCTAGGGGAGGTTCAAATAATCGTCACCGGTGGTGGCCGTGAGCGGGAATGGAAATGGGTTCGCCGGGTTGGTAGCGCAGCGTAGCGTTAAGCACTACACCCACCGCTCCTCACACACCACACACGCACAGACACACACACAGACACACACACAGACACACGCAGACACACACAGACAGACACACACACACACACAGACAGCACGCTAACCACTACACTACCGCTCCCCACACACCACACACGCACACACACAGACACACACACAGACACACACACAGACACACACACACAGACACAGACAGCACGCTAAGCACTACACTACCGTTCCCCCTACACAACACACGCGCGCGCGTCCATAGGTACACATAGACGCGCTTGCTGCAGACACACACGACTTTCAGGGTGCGTACGGCAGTAAACGACTGAAATAATAAAGCGGCAATGCTGCGCAAGGAACGCCTTAGACCTGCAACACATTTGTGTAATGCGAGCGTAAACACACAAACACATACAAACACATACACAATACACACACATACATGCAGACACACAGACAGACACATAACACATACATACACACACATACATACACAGAAACACATACACACACATACATAGACACACACATACATACACACAAGCACATGCACACACGTACATACACACATACATACAGACACGCAGACATACACATAAAGACATAGAAAAAAACCCACATACATACACACACACAAACACATACACACACATACATACACACATACATACAGACACACAGACATACACATAAACACATACACACATACACATGACCCGGCTTCGCCCGGGACTTGGATCCACGATGCCCGGCCGCCTTTGTCTCCGCAGTGACGATGTTCACACACGACAGCAGTTACGCGTTTGAGGCTGAGTGGACCTAGGGGAGGGCCAGGTCCGTTTCAAATAATCGTCAGCGGTGGTGGGCGTGAGTTGGAATCGAACTGGGGTCGCTCAACCAGCTTAATGACTATTTGTACAAAGAACATATAAATAATCGATTATAATAACCAGGCTACAGTCCACATAGACTGCCAGTACACGCAGTCAGCTTCATAAGCAGGCTAGAGTGTACATGATAGAGTGGCAGTACGCTCACCGAGCTTAATAAGCAGGCTACAGTGTACATGATAGACTGGCAGTACGCTGACCTAGCTTAGTGACTATTTGTACAGTGAACATTTAAGTAATCGATTGTTGGCTTGTTGGGTTTAAAAGTAATATAAATTGCACACATTGTGGTGGGGGTGGAGTGAAGAGTAGGAAAGACTTTGATGAATTTACCTCAGAGTGGCGTGGTGGGTGTCGAGGCCTAGTAGCGTGCAGAGCCTGCGGCCTCGCCTAAATTGTCCACCCGGCAGAGGCAGGGTACGGGTGGCGTGCCTTCCCCCCCCCCCCCTCAGCGCTCCAACAATACTGCGTAATGGCTATTATTTAATTAATTACGGAGCCTATGAAAGTGGCGAAGGCGTGGCTAGCCGTTGGCAGGGGCAACCGCCGTCCAATGAAACTGCAGCCCTTGGCGAAGGCGTCGCTAGCCGTTGCCAGGTCCAATGAAAGCGGCGAAGGCGTCGCTAGCCGTTGCCAGGGGCAACCGCCGTCCAATGAAAGTGCGTATGGTCCGAAATCCACACACACACACACAGACGGACAGACAGACATTCACGATTTTATATATATAGATAAACAAATGTGTGATTTAAAATTCTGTCGATTGATATGACAGGAAGAATAGTACTTGTGTTTTAAAATTTTCTTATTCGAAACTATCAAGCGTTTTTAATATAACGACTCCATTAAAATTGTATTTGCACTTCCTTTTCCTGACGAAGTATTATCTCCACATACAGTATATATAAAAGGCAAAGTTGTGATTATGTGTGTCTGTTCAAAATGTTTAGCGTACTTCCCGACTTGCAACAAACTTGTCATGTGGGTACTTTCTAGACTGTACACCATGCAAAAATTATTAAAATACACTTTTGTGTTTTTTTTGGGGGGGGGGGGCTCAATAATGATTATATTTTTTGTACGGCAAATGAGCTGTGACGTCACATCTGTCACGTGACCCGCGCATGTGGAAGCGTAACGCATTGTAGTGTAGTGGTTAAGGCGCCGCGCTACGAACCCGGTGACCCGAGTTCGATTTTAGCTCACAGCCACCACCGGTGACGATTATTTGAACCGGTTCTGGGCCTCCCCTAGGTCGACTAAGCCTCAAACGACTAACTGGTGTGGTGTGTGAACATCGCCACTGGGGAGACAAAGGCGGCCGGGTGTGGTGAATCCAAGTCCCGGGCGAAGCCGGGTAGTACAGCTAGTCTTGATTTAAAGGCATAGTTTAACAAGACAACACTTGCCACCATTCAAACCCATTGGTGAAAAAGCTTTTGTTTACATTATAATATAATGTCTCCGAGACATTAGATTAAGGTTCATATAACGGATGACACACACACTGGAGAAGAAAAACAACTAAACATTTAAAGATTAAAAACAATTCAAACAGGCAGCTCAGTTGCCGTAGACGACCCTGCATGACAACAACAAATGGAGCCCAATCGCTTGCGCAACCGCCGCCCCAAAAAAAAACCTCGCGCGCGCGGTGCGGCGGCGGCCATATTAGTAAGGGGAATCCGACGGCCCCCGCCGGGACCACTAGTCTTGGTGACGTCACGGCCCGATGGCCAGGTGACGGCGACCCCTCGCGCGGTTTCAAACCGCCGCCGGCTTTCCCTTTACTAAGATGGCGGCCGTGGCAGCGGCTTTTTTTGTTTGTGCCACTGCCGCCACAAGCCCCCCCCCTCCCGACACACAACTGAGGTCGCAGCTGTCGCGGCGGGGTCGCTCACATGACGGCAGCTTCTCTCTCGTCGTCTCAACCTGGCTAGAGAGTATCATTATTATCATCGATAACGGCGAGCGATCGTCGTTAAGGTCCACTACGGGTGGGGTTGTGTTGCCGTCTCGGTCTGCTTGCTGCTGGAGCTGTGATCGCAATGCTACGCGCGTGGTTGAGCGCGCGAGTGGCGTCTCGCCACGTGAGATGGAGAGGGGAGCCCAAGGTGCGTTGGCCATTATGAACCTCTGTGTAATTCATGGTGTGTATGCGTGTAATTATTGTGGTTGTATATGTGTAATTCATGATGTGTATATGTGTAATTCATGGTCTGTGTAATTCATGGTGTGTATGCGTGTAATTCATGGTGTGTGTGTAATTATTGTGTGTATGTGTGTAATTCATGGTGTATGTGTGTAATTCATGGTGTATGTGTGTAATTCATGGTGTATGTGTGTAATTCATGGTGTATGTGTAATTCATGGTGTATGTGTAATTCATGGTGTATGTGTAATTAATGGTGTGTATGTGTGTAATTCATGGTGTGTATGTAATTAATGGTGTGTATGTTTGTAATTCATGGTGTGTATGCGTGTAATTCATGGTGTGTATGCGTGTAATTCATGGTGTGTATGCGTGTAATTCATGGTGTGTATGCGTGTAATTCATGGTGTGTATGCGTGTAATTATTGTGGTTGTATATGTGTAATTCATGATGTGTATGTGTGTAATTCATGGTGTGTGTAATTCATGGTGTGTATGCGTGTAATTCATGGTGTGTGTGTAATTATTGTGTGTATGTGTGTAATTCATGGTGTATGTGTGTAATTCATGGTGTATGTGTGTAATTCATGGTGTATGTGTAATTCATGGTGTATGTGTAATTAATGGTGTGTATGTGTGTAATTCATGGTGTGTATGTAATTAATGGTGTGTATGTTGTAATTCATGGTGTGTATGGTAATTCATGGTGTGTATGCGTGTAATTCATGGTGTGTATGCGTGTAATTCATGGTGTGTATGCGTGTAATTCATGGTGTGTATGCGTGTAATTCATGGTGTGTATGCGTGTAATTCATGGTGTGTATGCGTGTAATTCATGGTGTGTATGCGTGTAATTCATGGTGTGTATGCGTGTAATTATTGTGGTTGTATATGTGTAATTCATGATGTGTATGTGTGTAATTCATGGTGTGTGTAATTCATGGTGTGTATGCGTGTAATTCATGGTGTGTGTGTAATTATTGTGTGTATGTGTGTAATTCATGGTGTATGTGTGTAATTCATGGTGTATGTGTGTAATTCATGGTGTATGTGTAATTCATGGTGTATGTGTAATTAATGGTGTGTATGTGTGTAATTCATGGTGTGTATGTAATTAATGGTGTGTATGTTTGTAATTCATGGTGTGTATGCGTGTAATTCATGGTGTGTATGCGTGTAATTCATGGTGTGTATGCGTGTAATTCATGGTGTGTATGCGTGTAATTCATGGTGTGTATGCGTGTAATTCATGGTGTGTATGCGTGTAATTATTGTGGTTGTATATGTGTAATTCATGATGTGTATGTGTGTAATTCATGGTGTGTGTAATTCATGGTGTGTATGCGTGTAATTCATGGTGTGTGTGTAATTATTGTGTGTATGTGTGTAATTCATGGTGTATGTGTGTAATTCATGGTGTATGTGTGTAATTCATGGTGTATGTGTAATTCATGATGTGTATGTGTGTAATTCATGGTGTGTGTAATTCATGGTGTGTATGCGTGTAATTCATGGTGTGTGTGTAATTATTGTGTGTATGTGTGTAATTCATGGTGTATGTGTGTAATTCATGGTGTATGTGTGTAATTCATGGTGTATGTGTAATTCATGGTGTATGTGTAATTAATGGTGTGTATGTGTGTAATTCATGGTGTGTATGTAATTAATGGTGTGTATGTTTGTAATTCATAGTGTGTATGCGTGTAATTCATGGTGTGTATGCGTGTAATTCATGGTGTGTATGCGTGTAATTCATGGTGTGTATGCGTGTAATTCATGGTGTGTATGCGTGTAATTCATGGTGTGTATGCGTGTAATTCATGGTGTGTATGTGTAATTATTGTGTGTGTATGTGTGTAATTCATGGTGTATGTGTGTAATTCATGGTGTGTATGCGTGTAATTCATGGTGTGTGTATGTGTGTAATTCATGGTGTGTGTATGTGTGTAATTCATGGTGTGTGTATGTGTGTAATTCATGGGGTGTAATTCATGATGAGTGCCTAAGTGTATATGTTGAATTTCTTTTGCACCGTACGTAGCCCACCGTGCTAATTGGAGATTCAGATGCTAATCAGAGACTCGGAAGTCATGTTGTTGGCTGGTTGGTGTGTGTGTAATGCATAGTGTTTGGTGGTGTGTCTTTGTATGGTGTTTGGTGTGTGCATGTGTGTACTTAAAGGTGTTTAGTTGTGCGTTTGTAATTCATGATATGAGTGTGTGTACGTATGTAGTTCATTATGCGTTTGCAATTCTTGATGCGTGTGTATGTAAAACATGCTGTGTGATTGTGTCTGTTATTCTTGCTGTGTGTGTAATTCGTGGGATGTCTGTAGAAGCTCACTAACAATACTTGTCCCAACAGTCTATGTTGGAAATTGTATGTGTAGTATGTGCGATGCATGATGTATTTTCGTGTATATTTTTATTTATGAGTGTGAATATGCGTGTATTTCTGTCTGTATGTATGTTGCTACATTGGAAAGCACAAGTGTTGCATCTGACAGCCACCTCATTTCGTTAACCCATGACACAGCAGTAAGCAGTGGATTCATCATGGCCGATGATTAGGAATGATCCTTTGGATAGACTGGTGCCTGTAATAGGAGTGAATAATTTCCACCATTGGCTCCACCAATACAGATGAGCACTGCCCCCTTTGCTCCAGGGAGACGCTTGAAATGTTGACACTGAATATACCGTGTAACCAAATATTACAATTGGTCGAGTGGTGGCACCGTGGTTAGCGCACTGTATTATGTATGTATGTTGAACTTCTATTGCACCATACTTAGCCAACCGCGCTAATCGGAGATGCAGGGAAATCGGAGGTGTGGGGACCTTGTCACTATGAGTTTGATTTCCGGTCAAGGCGAACATCAGGCAGCGAATTATGTCTAAACTGGTTCTGGGTCTCTCCTTCTTCACTCAGCACTGACCAACGTGGTGAAGTATAGTCAATTAACCCCCATAATTAGCACAGCATGGGGAAGCCTTCATCCATTTTGTGTTTAATTTGTTGTCCTCCCCCGCACCTCCGATAAGCACGGTTCGCTACGTACGGTGTGAAGGAAGTTCAACATACATACAGCAATGTCTTGACAAAAGACTAAACATTCTACTTCTTAGTTTTATTTTACAGGAAACAGCCGCCCCGTCGTCTCATAGTTTCCCAGCCTGGGCCAGTGCTGACAGGTGTCAGGTGACCTCCGTCCAGCCTAGTTCACCGAGCCTGGCACGCGGTCACGCTCGCCCCTTTCAGTATAAACTTGCCAGTGGCAGAGCCGCAAGTCGGATTTTGGTGATTGCTCAAATTACCCGCAGTAATCTGACAGGTCAAACCCGAGTAGATCTTGTTAGAATGTAAAAATAGCCTTTCATCTCAAGACCGCATCAGGTAGCCCCTGTGTGTGTACGCACGTGCGTGCACATGTGTGTGTGCCCCTATGTGAATCCGAAGGCATACTGGGCATTCCTTCGCATGAGGCCGTGCAACCTAAATAGTTGTTCATTAGCTTGGCATGCTTGATTCCTGTCACATATGCATATTATACATTCTTCCTTGTCTATCCCGAAATAAATCTGATCCTAAACGTTCATCCTCTTACAACAAACATGTCTCCTCCCAATGGTTCCTCCTCCCTACCCTACCTGAACGTTCTGTCTACACCCCCCCCCCCCCCCCCCCGAAACGTTGCCTTTCATTTCAGCATTGCGTTTGCGCCCGTGCTAAACTCTCATCCTCTGGTGGCGGGGGATCTGGATGGGGATCCGGGTCACACTCGGGATCGGGATGGGGCTGGTGGGGTACGGGGTGGAGCGCCGGGTGGTGTAGCGTAGGGTGGTGGTCATGGCTGCGGACCCGTTCGTTGGGAGCCATGGCGACGGTGCTGTTCAGCTGGGAGAGGAACAGCGTTGGAGACGATGAGATCACGCGGTAAGGTGGCGGAGCAGAGCGAACGGCAACGTCACCACAGACACAACCCGCGATCACAGCAACCACGGTGTCGCCACGATCAACCAACCGCAGAGAGAAATTCAACCACCACGAGCCACAGCCTCGATCACTGCAACCACAGGCACCAACTGTCGTAGATACAGCATCAGAAACCACAACCAGAGCCATGATCTGTAGCACCGTTGACTTGGACAGACTTGTCACAACCACAATCAACACAGCCTCATCTTATCTTAAAGGAATTATAGCAACTTAACCAAGGCGCTTTACAAAGAATTAACAATAGTACATACGACTATAATATTGGAGATGAGGTCAATGAAATAGATAAGAGGAAGCATTGGACAAATCTATGATGCTTGAATTCGGTGAAAGCAAAATTGATAACAATAAATTATGATGAATGGATTGAAGAAATGGGGAATGAGTGAACGCCATATAATGAGAATATGAAGAGGGAAAAGTAACGGTGGCGGTTATGAGGGGGAGATGAAGTGGGGGGGTCGTGGGGTGAGCTAGGGAAATTAAGTGAGTTTTGAGTGAGGAGCGGAAACAGTGAGTGAAGGTGACTGCTTAATGTGGAGGGGGAAGTTTGTTCCAGTGGTGGGGGGCGAGAAGAGAAAAAGAGCGAACGTGTGGATTGAGCACAAGGAGAAGGAGGAACAGAGAGAGACAGGGACACAGCAAAGATTGAAAACGTAAAGGGTGAGAACGTGACACGTATTAAGATACAAGAGTGGCAAGATGTGGTGCCACAGCCTCTCTACAACCTACACCTGTGACTATGTGTTTTCATTCTTATTGTTATTCTTTTTTGTCTGGGAAAGCATCACTGAGTCTCGAGATTCATTTTCAGCAGGATCCAGCCAGGTCTTTGTAATCCGGGGTGATGTTGCTGTGGGTAATCCCAATGGAGTAATTTGCAGGTGATTTTTCAGCATTGGGATGTTTGGCCCAATATAAGTTACATCGTGTGTGGTGTTTATGTTTTTTCAGCTCTGGGATGAAACCAGATAGCCTGGAGAACGTACAAACTCCACACAGTAACATGCCAGAGTCAGGAATCTAACCCAACACCTTACTGTGCGGCACAAGTGTTACCAATGTGCCTCTGCCACCCTGCGGGTCTCCCAGCTGCATCAGCCATTGCTGTCCCCATGTGTAACTCCCCAGTGCATCACCCTTGATGTCACCCCACCTTGTGTGCATCCACCCCTTTACCCATCCCCTAGGTGTGTGGTTGACCTGCAGACAGTGGAGCGACTTTCAGCATTGCCAGGGTCCGACGCGAATAATGAAGGCGACGATCACATGACCTTGCCCGGCTGGGAGCTCGTGACACAGAGACCCGGGTTTACGCTGTGGAGACGACCGCTCAGCACGACCCACACTCAACTGTATCAGTACAAAGGTGACAGCACACACAGCTGTATCAGTACTGTTTGTATATATTGTGATGTGGATTTTTTTTTGTAAAAAGAAAAAATATGAAAATGTATGCAATTATGTACATCTTTTAAATTATGCAAATATGCACAATTAAAATTATTAAATGTGTGTGTAATGTTAATTGATGTTAATCGTGAGTGTAATGTGATCAACCGTATGTGTGATTAGGTGAGTGTAAGATGTTACGTGAAAATGTATGTGTATTATCTATGTGCGTGAGTGTAGGAGTATTATTAATGTGTGTGTTTGTATTATGATCAATCGGTGTGTGTAGTTATGTGTATTATTATTGGCTATTTCATTGTCTAGTGGGTGTATTATGTGTGTGGATATTTGTGATTGATGTGTTAGTGTGTGTGTGATGCTTGGCTTCGTTGTCTTGGGGGGTGTATTATGTGGGTGACTATGATTTTCAGTTTCATTTCATTTATTAAGTATAACTTTGTGAGCCATGCGGCTCTTGAATCGGGTGCAACCGCAACAAACAAAAACATAAACAAGAAATATCTTAAAGTGACTACATTCAACAGAAAAATCCAGGACCAAACAGCAAAGTCTTCCAGACAAAACACCGTATTTCAATTGTGTGTGCAAAAATCCCAGTGGGTTGCAAGTTAAACAATAACAACTATAAGACAAGTTAGATTAAAGTTATCAAGCTAACTCTGTACTACAACAAACAAACGTGGCTAAACCAAAACGTTTACAAAATCACCACAAAAAAGCGATAAAAACAACGTAACAGTGATCATAGGAACTGTGATTCAAATTTAACAATAAACGATATACATAACATGTACGACCAAACTTTGCAGCCATAGCTGGCTGCATGAGTCACTCCATAACAGCAGGAGTATCAGTAGCAAAAAAAATTAAATACACCTTTAAAGATCAGCGCACTATAATCAAAACTCAAGATCATACTTTGCAGCGGTCAACCGAAACAATACATTTGATTTCAGGCCATTCTGAATAGCAGTGAAAGTGGCAGCTAGGGGTGTACAACTCCTCTAGAGCAGTTTTAAGTGAAGATCTTACAGGTAGTTTCTGTTTATTGGCGATAGCATTCCAGACCCTGGGGGCATCAATAGAAAAGGCCCTTCCAGTATTTGTACAGCAATTAGGAATGTGAAGCTGGTAAATGAGCGAAGACCTTAGGTCACATTTGTTCTTCGAAACAGTGACGAGATCCAGCAGGTAGTCTGCTGATTTTTTTTTTAAGTACATCGTGAATAAATAAGATCTGATGCGCAAGCCGTCGATCATTAAGAGAAGTTAAGTTTGTCCCAATGTAGAGATCGCAGTGGTGGGTGCTATATGGGCAGTTCAATGCAAATCTTAAGGCTGAGTGATAAATTGAGTCAAGCTTCTTCAGTATAGTACTGGGGGCTGATTTATATACCATGTCACGGTAATCAAGTAGAGGCAGTATGGTAGCTTTTATCAATTCCAAGCAGGAACATAGGGGGGAAGCAGTGCTTGTGTCGATACAGAAAACCTATTTTTTATTTTGTCTTTTTACCAATATAATCAATGTGACCTTGAAAATTCAGTTTTGAATCAAATATGACCCCAAGATAATTATAGATCTTGACTTGCTCTATTTGATGATTATTTAAGAAAGATAATTGGGGGAAAATAACTTCCTGTGATTAATGTGTGTGTGTGATGCTTCGCTTTGTTGGCTAGGGGTGTATTACCAATCGTGATAATACAGTGATTCTCGCTTTAACTTTTACTGATTATGATTCTCGCTTAAACATTTACTGATTATGATTTTATTGTAATTATGTCCAGTCTCAGGATTCAGATCTCACCACAGGATACAGTTCTTTCAAATAAAATAATTTTGACTTAAAACTTTCGTGACTGCAGGAATTCATATTCTTTGGTTCTTTTGATAAAGTCACGCAGATAGAAATAATAATAAAGATAAGCATTAAAAAAACCACGACATTTCGATCGCAACACAAGCGGTCATCATCAGGAAAAGGGGGGTTAGCCTCTCAAGGCAAGCTGCATGGCCTAAGTGTCAGCAGCATGAGGGGGGTAGCTAATATTAATGTAAGCGATTAAAAACGGTGTCCGCCAGTAGCATGTAGGGCAGTAGCATGGGCGGGGTTGCTAATGTTAATGTTAGGGATTAAAAACGGTGTCTCCCAGCAGCATGTAGGGCGGTGCTGTCGGGAAAATTACACACTCACACTGGTGGCGGTGGAGGTTGTTGCTAGAGGTGATGGTAGTGGTGGGTAGTGATGGTGCTGCTAGTGGGCTTCCACCCATAAAGGGCTACTACTAGTGGTGATGGTAGTAGTGGGCAGTGATGGTCCTGGTGGTTGGCTTCCATCAATTAAAGGGCTGCCAGGTCGAAAATAGAAATATTACAGTCATACTCTTTGGTTCTTTCGGTAAAGTCACGTAGGTAGAAAAAATAATAGATCACAACGTTTCGATCGCAACACAAGTGACCGTCTTCAGGTGAGAGAGAGAAAGCTCCTGCAACAAGGTCTTATGTAGGCTTGTTATGACTTAAACTGGTTGACAACGGCCTTCCAGTGATTGCTGAGTTTGTACCCATCTTCTCGCTTGAAATTGTCTATGTATATATGGATGGCTTCATGAACGAATCTTTGTTGAAAGCCAGTGGGTTTGCAAAGTATCTTTGTCTTAGAGAAATCAGTTTCGTGTGAGCCCACCGCATTAAAACAATGATCAGCCACGGCCGAGGTATTGGTCCTACCGTGTTTCAGATCTGCCTTATGTTCACGAACCTGGTCCGAGACATGTCGCTTAGTTTCCCCAATGTAACTACTGCCACAGACACAGCTTAGTTTGTAGACGCCGGGGTATTGCATGTCAGGGATCTTGCCCTTCACAGATGGGATCAGATCACGAATTTTACGTACTGTGTTTATTGTGTTTGTTCATGATTTTGGAAATATTTTTGGTTACCCCTGCTATGTATGGCAAGGTGATGGTTTTGATTGAATCCTCAGATGGCTCCTTCCTCACTGTTGGGGTGATGGCTTTGCGGATTGTGCAGTCAGAATATCCATTCGCCTTGAGAGCTTGGTGTATGTGTTTAAGTTCACTGGTTAGTTGTTCATGGTCGGACCACATAACAGTGCACATTATCAGAGTTATGTTCTTTTGTTTGTATTATGACTGCAGGTATTGCGGTCTATGCAAACATGACTCCTTGCAATAAGGTGTCAGTTTTGTTGCCAGATAGAAGGGTAAAGAACCAATTATCAACTAGCCAGATGTTTGAAAAAACAAACATCCGAGTCAGATTTGGCATGGTACATAAAATACTGAAATTAATATCTAGTACAAAAGATGTATCACTGATGCTATCAACAGAAGGTGTGTGTGTACAGGATTAACTGCACTTGTGGCAAATGTTATGTTGGGCAAACAGGAAGAATTATCAGCACAAGACCAAAAGAACATCAGCGAAATATTAAATACTCTCAAATACAACTGTCAGCAGTAACAGAATACACGTGCCAACAAGGACACTCAATTGATTTTGATAATGTTGAAGTTCTATGCAAAACTAGCTACTAATGGCCAAAACTAATTAGAGAATCTATCGAAATTGAAAGAAATAAAAATTATTTTAACCGTTCGGATAGCTACCGACTTAGTGCTGCGTGGAAGCGAATCATCAAATAATACATTGTTTAAATGCATGCCTATATAGGGCACCATACTTCAATAGGGATTACCGTTGGTACAGCTATTTTAATATACACAATGGACAGGAAGGACAAAATCAAAGGGTGCATGCATAATGTACGTTGGCTCATTAATCCCCCCCCCCCACTTTGCGCAAGAGCGCAGAAGTGTGGTCACCACATGTATGCCTTGATAAAAGGAACGAAACAGGTGGACTTCTCCACAAATATGGCTGTCGCCTGATGAAGCTAGTTGTAATTACTGGCGAAACGTTTTACTCCGATTGTAAATGTTGTGGCTTGGCTCTCTCACACACTGGTGTGCTGTAATAGTGTCGAATTGGCATGTTCTGTTTACGTGACAACTCTTACTAGTTGGCTGTGTCAGGTGGTGGCGGGTTTTGACGACACATTTATATATTTACGCGATCCAACCCAAAAAAAACTCTATGAACTTTAATATCTAAAAACACTCTAATATGCAAACACTCTAATATGCAAACACTCTTATCAGAATTACCACAACAGTACTCATGCAAATATCATACTCATTGATCCGTTCAAATAAAAACAACGATGGTCAAGTCATATGGTTACGTTGTTAAACAGGGCAATAGAACAATAGGCTAACTTCTCATGGTAACGCGACAATACACAACGATAGGGGAGCCCTTAAAATGGCAATATTCATATGGAAACATGCTAAAGAAATGTGTGTCCAATGGCAAAAGGGCATCATCTCATTAATTGGTAAGATGCGATTTAAAGAAATATATAAAAACAATTAATGCCAGTGCATAGGTTCGAAACATAGATGCTTTACAAATGGCTAGTAGGACATCAATTAATTCGTGGGTAAGATTATGCAATTAAAATCAATATCCCAAAACAATAGTATTCATGTGAGTGTATAGACTTGGAAAATAGATGCTTATCAATTGGCTAGTAGGACGTCAATGAATTAATTAGTGAGATTATGCGATTACAAGAAACAACTGACTAAAATACTTCTAACGACCGTATTTATGCAACTTAAGGGACAGAACAATGCTTCTCCACGACCAGTTAATACTTAACACACCACCCTGGAATGGCAACCCTATGTGAAACAAAACACCGCAGAACAACCTTATTCGTACCTATATGCGCGTTGTGTCTTGGAGGGGCAGTCACCACGAGGTCCAATAATTATTGCGGGTAGTATGGTTTTAATTCATCTACTTACGATCCATGCACATGGATCGTATTGTAATAAAGGACTCTCTCTCAGATGTCGATCTCCGTTGTCCTTTATTGGGTTCGTAGAATCTCGTTACCACGGCGTCCTCGCTCAGGCCCGCGTCCCTCCCGACGATCTCTCCACAGCCCCTCGGCTGCTCCAATATACAGTCTCCCTGCTGCTCCGATATGCAGACTCCCTGCTGCTCCACCTTGCAGCCACACCGCTGCTCCGCTCTCTAGCTTCACTGCTGCCCCGTATACAGCTAGCCTCCCACAGCCGCTAGCTCTCTGCATCTGACACCGATGGCTGACGGTGTCGACGTCTTCCACCGCGTGGCGACCGCGCCACTTTCTCCGTCCTGCCCAGCATGGCCTCCTCCTGTTTCACTCCGTCTCAACTCCCCTTTCCCCTTCCGGTTCTCCCCCTAAATCCTCTCTCCCACGTGACCCTAACTCCACCCACTCCCCACGTGACCCAGACTCCGCCCCCCCATCAATCCTTGCTCGCATTACAGTATTACCAACTGTGGCTCTGGGGTCCAGAGGGCAGTGAGCAGCTTGTGTAGCCTGTTTCCTTGTACCGAAAATACCTCAGGTCCCCAACAGGGGGCGTTGGGTCGGCGGGTGTGTGTTGGCAAGCGGCGTGTGGTCCACTCGGGCTGCACGCCCGTCAGGTGGGGGGGTGCTCCTTTGGCCTATGTTGTCTTGAGGGAGGAGTTCACAGGCCTCCATGACTGCGTGTTTTAGGTCTCGCTAAATCCAGACGTATTAAAAAAAACTATTGTTAAAAATAGGCAATATCACAGTTCAGAGGTGACAGCACACGCAGCCATACCAGTACTGACAGCACATACAGCGGTACTTGTACTGACAACACACAGATGTATCAGTACAGAGGTGACAGCACACCCACCTGTATAAATACAGCCAAACTTTACTCACAGTATAACCTTCAACCACAGAATCATGAAAGATTCACTTGTGCTCATAGTGTACCTAGCCTGGCATGTGTAGCATGTGTGTTAATGCGTATGTTGTGTGTGTGTGTTTCAGTGTACGGGACTTACACAGACATCTCACCTCAGCAATTTTTAAATGTGCAGGTAACATACCCGCACACACGTGCACACAGTTCTGCATTAACCATTAAGTCTGTCTAGCTAGGTGTGCAACAGTGCATGTGTGCATGCGCGTTTGTGTGTGGGGAGCAGTGGCACAGCAGTTAGCGGGGTTCGCTACGAACCCGGCCACCCGAGTTAGATTCCAGCTCACGACCAACAGTGACGATTATCTTAACCGGTCCTGTGCCTCCTTCTCTAGGTCGATCACATTTGTATAGTTTTAATGACATCCGGCACGAGTTTGAGGTGCATCTTACTTTCCCGGACCATCTTATAATGCAGAGATTAAAGTTTAAAGTTCAAATCTGAGCAGTGGCCTGTGATTACTGCAGTAGACCAGGTTCTCAAATGGAGTAAGTTGATTATTTTCAGGCTGCTTACGTAAAAAAGAAAATCCAAAAGCCGTGCGTTGTGTTAAATTTAGTTTGACGCTTGATTTGTCTAAATTTCGGTTTGATTTAACTGTATAGTGACAATCTCATAGCAGTGTGTGTGTGTGAATGTACATCCACTGCTTGCACTCGAGGGGAGTGGTAATGTAATGGTTAGTGCGCTGCGCTATTAACCCGGCTACCAGAGTTAAATTCCCACTTCGGGGCAACATCATTGAACCAGTCCTAGGCTTTGCCGAGGTAGACTCAGCCTCAATTGAGTACCTGGTAAAATTTATAAACATCGTCACTAGGAAGACATTCGGCCTGGCGTGGTGCTGGCTACCCACCCCCTATTGTTCCATGCCCGCCTTCATAGATACTCACTGACAGTACTTGCCCCAGCAGTCTGTTAAGGCTATACAAAGGATCTTTGTGTTAGTTTGTGTGTGTGTGTGTGTGTGCCTGTGTTCCACAGCTGGACATCGAGTATAGGAAGAGATGGGATCAGCTGGTCATCAGACTCGACCTCATCGATCACGACGAATCCACGGGGTCAGAGGTCATCCACTGGGTCACGCACTTCCCGGTACACAATGGCACCTGTTTTTTTCTCCCCCTCCCCCAGTTTTTTCCACAATTCTGTCAGTATCGCAGAGTAGCCACGGCCCTCCTTCCTAGAGAATGGTCCATGGAAGTAGATATCATAGAGCTACCTCTCAGATTCCTTCAAGTGACCTCTGATTCACACAAGAGAGGACAGCAATTTTCCCGCCCGCTTTGCCACATGAGGGCAATGTTCGTCTCACGATAGACAAACCAATATTTTATTCCTCAAAGCTGGAATTCAGAACTAAATTTAGTGGTGGTTTAATTTCTCTATTGGTCTCTATGTTAAGTCTATGAGTCTTTGTGTCAGTTGTTGGTGACCAGGCTCAGACCATTAACTCACTGTACTAGACAATCTGCTTTAATCACAGGCAGTGGCTGAAACCTGGATTTGAATCCAAGATATCGGGTAGTTACCAGCTCAGCACTGACCTCCGAGTCACCCATCCCACTCCAAACCCAGGAGCGTATTCCCTAAATAGATGGTGGCTGATTGCAGCTTTGTCAGAATCACAATACTTATTCATACTGGAGGAATCCAAAGAGCTATTAAGCTCTTTTTCACAGATGTCCAGTAAGGGTGGGTAAGAACGCTACAAGAACAAACTACAAAAACATGCCATTAAATACAACTTGTGTGGACGTATGCACATGTGCATGTGTGTTGTACCCTAAAATTGCACCTATCCTGGCACAATGGCAGCTGTTATTCTTGCGTGGGGAGTGACAGCACAATGGTTAGCATATTGCACTTTGAAACCAAAGCCCGAAGTTTGGTTTCCGGCCTTGGCTAACATCAGTCGCACTTGGCATCTAAACCAGTCCTGAACTTCTCCTAGGTTGACTCGGCCTTAAATGAGCACCTGGTATTGCTGCATAAACAGCGCCAGGAGACAAAGGTGGTGGAGGCCACACCATGTCAGTCTGAATAGGGGCTCGCTAACAGCGCTTTCCCCAATAATATGTAAGGCTATGTCAGAGATATTTGTCTCCATCTATGTGTGCGACTAAATCACCCAGAAAGCACCCCATCATATCAGATCCCAAAAGCTAAGCAGGTTTGAGGCTGGATAGGGCTTGGATGGGCCACCCCCATGCACAAACAGGGTGCTGGAGGCTGGTCAGGGGCTACGTGGTGAGCAGCAAATTCCATTGTTGTACTGCACTCCTGTGCTGCCACATCTATGCTTTCCGCCTTCACCAGTCCGCACAGAGCAGCGTTGTTCACCAACCCCCATGACCCACGCGGTATGGGTAGGCACTCACCCAGCAGTGGATTGACAGCAGGGCTGCGCACGTGTGCTTGTTTATGTGTGCATGTGCGTGCACTGCAGTACCCCCTGTACGCACGCGATTACGTCTACGTGCGTCGCCACTGGCTTGATGAAAAGAACAACATCATGGTGCTCGTGTCGAGGTGAGCATGGGTGGCGCACGGCACACCGCAGCGCAACGCACCTCAACACACCTCACCATACCGCAGAAAACCACCCCATACTGAACCACACTGCTGCACACCATCAGTACAATCTACCTACTACGTTACGTAACGTAAAAAGACCATCACGTCGTACTACAGCACTTTGCATAAGCCAAGCCAAACCACACCACCCATCCTGAAACACAACACTGGGGGTGTATTTGTGTGTGTGCATGAGTGTGTGTATATGTGGGGACCGGCAGTGCAGTGGTTTGCGCACTACGCTATGAACTCGGCTCCCCGAGTTTGCTCAACCAATAACAGCGGCGTTTATTTTAATCTGTCTTGGGCCTCCCCTAGGTCGACCCAGCTTTAAATGAGTACCTGGTGGGATGTGTAAACATGGGCACTGGTGAGACAAAGGCGGCCAGGCGCAGTGCTGACCTCCCACCTCGTCGTGTGACGTGCCTGCCTTAATAGGTGCTCTCTAACAGCACTTGCCTCAACAGCCTGTTAAGTCTACATGGGGGATCTGTGTGTATGTGTGTACCCGTGTACCCGTGTGTGCGTGCAGATCGGTGGATCACCCTGACATGCCAGAGTCTTCCAAATTCGTGCGCGTGCGATCATACTACTCCCAGATGGTCGTCCGCGCACACAGCTCCTTCCAGGAGGTAAATGGGAGTCAACCACCTCTAACCACATATTCTTGGTTCTTTCGGTAAAGTCACGTAGATGGAAAACAAAAAGCAAAAAACCCACGACGTTTCCATCGCAGCACAGGCGGTCTTCTTTTCTCTCCACCTGAAGAAGACCGCTTGTGTTGCGATCGAACTGTCGTGGGTGTTTTGCTTTTTATTTAGATTTTGTTTTCTATCTATGTGACTTTACCGAAAGAACCAAGAATATGAATTCCTGCAGTCACGAAAGTTTTAAGTCTAAATTTAACCTCTAACCACCTTTACATACTTCCAATCATTTCCAAGCACCACTCAACTACCTCTCACCACGTCCACCCACCTCCAAACCATCTCTTATTAACCTTCAACGACCTCCAACCACCTCTCAGCAACCAGACACACAACCTCCAATCACCTCTAAATCACCCCCAAGCACTTCCTAAGCACCTCTCAACTATCTCTTAATCACCAGACAACATCCACAACCACCTCTCAACCATCATACACCATACACTCCAGCCACTACACACCACCCACAACAACTATTAAGACACTAACTACAACTATAAACTCCCAATCAATTTAAATTTACTACGTGTGAACGGTGGCACAGTGGTTAGCACACTGAGCTACCAACCTGGCTACCCATTATCGATTCCAGGCTACGCCTAACCACCAGTGGCAAGCGATACTATAACTGTTCCTGGACTTCTCCCTCAATTGACTCAGCCTTAAATGAATACCTAGCAGAGTGTGTAATCACATCGGCCTTGGTGGTTCTGGCCACACCACCCCCTCATGCGCCGTGCCGGCCTTTATAGGTGCTTGTCGCTAACAGCACTTGCCCCGACAATCTGTGTCGACTACACAGGGCATGTTTATGTGAATATATGCATGTGTGTGCGTGTCTCAGAGAGGATTTGACTACTTGCTCACGTACCAGGACGACCCGCAGACCGTGTTTCCCCGTTCCTGCATCAGCTGGATGGTGTCGAGTGGTGAGTTCATGGCCATACCTCGTGCAGTGTCTCTGACTTGACACCAAAACCCAGGGCTTGAACCTAGAAGCTCGGCAATTCTTGGTGTCTCTTACATGGCATTTATAAACCATCTGAGAGACGCACACATCCAGAGCAATAGCTTGAACCTAGGATTTTCTCAGTGCCTAGTGTACCTGACTTGGCAATTATGTATTCTCTGAGAGAGATATTGAGAGACACCAAACCTAGCATTGAACCCAGGACCTCAGTGTCTCCAATCCGGCCATTGTGAACACCCTGAGAGACTTGGATACCCAGACCTGTGGCTTAACTGTCATATTACCATCCGGAACACAGCCATTATAAACCCCTGAGGGAGAGCGAGACAGATATACCTCGACCCAGGGCTTGTTGAACCCAGGTACTCAGCACGACTGGATCACTATCCCCGACACAGCCATTATAAACTAAAAAGCTATTTACCAGGTAAGGAAGCCCACTGAGCTCTTTTTCAGAAGCGACCTGGTGACAAATGATAACTCAATGTACTGTATTGATAGCAGGTGTTACCAAAAAGATTTCCAAAATCTTAAACACAAGATCCAGGTCCGATTCAATACATTACACAAAATCCGTGATCTAATCCCATCTGTGAAGGATGTAATTCCTGATATGCATTATCCTGGAGTTTACAAAATGAGTTGTACCTGCGGCAGCAGTCACATTGGGGAAACGAAACGACATGTCTCGGACTGTGTACGCGAACACAAGGCAGATCTGAAACACGGCAGAACCAATACCTCTGCCGTGGCTGACCATTGTTTTCATGCTGTGGGCTCGCATGATGTTGTTTTTTCCGAGACCAAGGTACTCTGCAAACCTTCGGGCTACTATCAAAGGTTTGTTCATGAAGCCATCCAGATATATAAACATAGACATAAGATGGATAGAAAGTGACCAATCATTGGAAGGATGTTATTAACCAGGTAAAATCCTAACTGCTTTATGGTTGTTGTCTATCATATCTGCCGGGAACTAGTCTATTCCCCCCCCACATCCCCAGCTCTCTCGGCCTCCCACTTCCAGCCCCGCCCACTTCCCCCCCCAACCTCGCGTCCCCTCTCCTAGCGTTCACGCAGTGCTCCCCTCCCCCTACCCCCCTCTCCCCCCTTCCCACTCCCCCTTCCTTACCTATATAACCTCTTGCCACGGCAGCTCTCTCTGCCACTTCAGCAAAAAAACTAATCCTTGCTGTGATTCTCCCACCTGATGATGATTGCTTGTGTTGCAATTGAAACGTCGTGGTTTATTTTATTTTATACCTACGTGACTTTACCAAAATAATCAAAGAGTATCAATTCAGATCTTACTGGTCACCCCGTGCCCTTACAAATCTCAACGTTCATCCTAGAAAGTCCAATCACAAGGGAGAAACACAAACAAATAGACATAATTTAGTTTTGTCCATATTGGAATGGCTGTACGCCATATGGACCTGAAAACTCAATTTCCCTGTCAACCAATATGGGTAAACCATATGGGTTGACAGGTATGCTTATGTGGAAATGTATAGCAGCCAAATGTTCTAAACGCACGTTTTTAAATGTGGAGGAAAAAAAATCCACACCAACACGGAGAGAGACACCACAAACTCCAAATATACAGCAGGGGTTGGGATTAAACCCACGATCTCCTGTATATCAGGCATGGGAGTTAACATCTCGTCACCGTGGGGCCTCATTATGAACCTCCACCGTGTGCGCGTCTCCTCCCCGTGCACGTGCCAGGCATGCCGGACTTCCTGGAGAAGCTGCACCTGGCGGCGCTCAAGTCGCAGGACCACGGCGTCCGGGTGTCCGACGCGGCCACCACCCCCCCCCACTCGGAGCCCAGTGGCCACCCCAACGGCAGCGTTTATGCGTGACCCCTAACCCAGGGAGAGACGGGGGTAGTGAGGAGGTTGGTTTGATAAATTTAGATTGTTTTTCACCCACTGAGTTTTCTTTTTTCGGGAATGAGTTTTGGCCCATTTTTGGGTAATAAAATTTTGTAAATAGTGACACGGATCGGGGAGACATCTGGAGAAACACGGAGCCATGTGGAGGGACTCCACTCCATTAAAATAGCACGTAGAGCCACCATCACAGCCAACACCCTCCCACATAGAGCTACCACCATAGCCTCTACTCGATGTCACATGGAGCCACCTTCACAGCCTTCACTCCCACATAGAGGCACCACAGCAGCCTCCACTTACACATGGAGCCAACACCACAGCCTCCACTCCATGTCAAATGGAGTCAAGACCACAGCTTTCACTGCATGTCACATGGAGCCGCCACCACAGCCTCCATTCCCACATTGAGCCACCTTCACAGCATACATGCACCGCAAGAGCAAATAAATAATCTCTTGGGGATATTACATAAATTAGGAGAGCTCACAGTCAAAATAAAAACAATCCTAAATGTACAGAGTGTCAATTTGAAGACAATGATTGGGTATATATACGTACCAAGTGGCTTATGGAATGAGCTGATGGTTTGACACACAAAACTAAACTCAGCATCACCACCATCCCAGTGTGGATGGAGAAGTCAGCTAGTCCATGTACGTCCGACACCACCATGGTTTTTCATGGGCATATCTCCGTTATGAAGGATGGACACGTTATTTCTATCTGAATTACTAATCCAAGCGATGTATGCTTAAATGGGCAATGAGGCATTGGTGCTCTTCTGTTAACAGATCTTGAGCCACATTACTATGGTGGGGGCGAGTCTATCCATAGCACAACCGCTGTGGACTTCCCCCCTCCCCAGAGTGGTTCCTCATTTTATCAACCCCAGAGAGAAGTAAACCAGGCACCGAGTCACTGATCCCTCGACGAGTGAGGAGCAGATGATAATGATAGAACCAGCGCACGGGTAAAAATATATATTTTTCCGCAAGCCCGGTTAATCTGCAGCCCACATCATCCGTCCACAGATAAACGAGAGCTAGCTGTGCTTTGTGGTTGATAACAAGCATTGGAACTGTCAATTGTGGTAGTAGAGTATCGGGGCTGTACACTGCTGATGATCCTAACCACGGTGGAACAGCTGGCCGGTGACATTTCAGTCACCAATTGGCTTTGTCTATTAGACCAGGCTGGTGTGTGTATGCATAGAGCCTTGGTGGTGCTTGCATGGTATTGTGGGTATTACTCATAATACTTAAAAAATAATATAGCAGTATAATTAAATTGGAGGTTAGGAATATAACTTACCAAAAACATTGTTGTACATGTAATAAAGAGGACGTGCAGGGGGGAGGCACATGTGCAGGGTTGGTACACGTGTAGGGTTGGTGCACGTGCGCAGGGTTGGGAAGGGCAGTCACCCCGAGAGGGGCATTGGAGTGGCACCCAGAGGTCGGCGACCAGGGAAAAGACCGCGGTGCTTGCAGTGATGAAACTGAAAGAGCTGTGGGATCTATCAGACGGGACGGCTGATACAGCCGCTTGTGCTATGGTTGCTGATGTGTGAACACGTGTCTGCACGGTTTGACTTGTGTTAATGTATTATTCAATGTTTAAAAAAAAAATGTAACTCGGCCATATTCCACTTGGGCTATTGGAGGTCACATCGTGAGATGTATGAACTTCCGTGTTTTGGAACGCTTACAGAAAGCAGTGCCCTGAATGTGTCAGGATGGTCCCAGAAGGTGATATCGCAGAACTACATCTGAAGTCACGCCAAGAGGCCTTCTTATCCACACTTTTTATATGTCTGGCAAGTAATGTTTGTCGCATGTCAAAGACAACTTTTTTTTATCTCGCAGCTGTATTTTAGTCAAATTTCCAAAAAAAATCTCTTAATATGGAGGTGGGGGGAGGTGTTTGTGTGGTGATTGGTGACTGCGTTGATACCATCAACTTGTTCTATTTGAGAACCCAGTTTAATCAAATCAGTCTACGTGAGTCATTGGGTCTCAAAGCCTCTGGTCTCTATTTGAGTCCATGGGTCTCTGGCAGATGTAGGTGGCCATGCTGAGACAACCGACTTGCTACACTTGAGAACGCATTTCAATCACAATTGGGCGGTTAAAACCAGGATTCAAAACCAGGATCTCGGCGTTGCTGGCATTGTTTCCGACAGGCTTTACAAACCCGCTGAGCCACCCATCCACTACTCCCCTTCATTGTGTGTGTTTGATAAAATATCCGTGCGTTCAAATGGATTGCTTCTGTTTCAGGCAGGGAGCCGACTTCCACTTGAGGTTAAATGAATTTGAAATGAAACGCAATTAGTGTGATTAGCATGCATTGATGAATATATTACCTACAAAATTGATGCAGGTGTTTATATGAGAAACGCTCGTGTTAGGTCAACTTTACATGCTTTTTGTCGCGAGCTTCGGGTATTTTCTCGGGCCAATGTTGGGTTCACTGCTCGAGTTTATCTGGTGGGTTATGATGAGAGATATGAGTTAGGGGTTGCGAAGTAGGGTGCCTCTGTGTTTAGGTCTGAGTTAGTATTGGGGTTAATGTCACTATTAGGGTTATAAGTTACTATTTAGAGGTTAGGGTTAAATTTACGAGTTTATGTTTGCGTTAGAGTTTCCATTAAGAGTTAGGGTGAGTGTTATTGTAAGGGTCAGAGTTGGTATCAAGATTGGTACTATGCATGAATTAGACCTTTATGCCGTTCATATCAGCTGGAACTTGAGATGGAGCTATATAGTTAGGTATCAATGTTAGGGGCGATCATCACTGTTTGGGTTGGAGTTGAGCATTAACATTAGGTTTGGGCTCAAATCCAAACCCATATTTGATCAAAATAAAATCCCTTAACTATCCGTGCACAGTCGCTATAAGTTGCGGTGCCACAGCGAACCCTCCATAAAGACTCGAGTATTTTACACAGTAGGGTCGCGGATTTTGCTTCGGGTTATATCTTTGCACTATTGTGGCGTGTAGCGTTGATTAAACAACTAAGGTGGTTTGCATTGATCAGCTATAGAGCCTCTTATAATAAGTAAAGTTGTCCGTGTGTGCGCATTACGTTACAGATGAGCAGGAAATTATTATCTGAATCCTATTTTATAACGGGCACTTTGCAAAGCCATTGCTAGATGACGACCCTTTCACGCCGCGCGAGTCGTTTGGATTATTTGCCCACAATTCTCTATGCTGGTCAGTGCCGGTTGGTGGGAGCGAAAGCGGTGGAAGTACCCACACTTTACCCCACCACACACAGGACCTGGCGATCGACAAACTCGCAGTGTCCCCGTTTACACGGATTTTGGCAAAACCACTCGCGTTTTCAGACACGGTTTTGAATAACTAGCTCCACTGAGGGGCCATCCATTTAGTACGTACGCATGGAGGGTTCACCCAAATGCGTACGCTTGCGTATGGGGGGTCTACTGACAATGTACGTACGCATAGGGGGGGGGGGGGGTGAAGCCTCGATAATTTGTCTACATTGGCCTTCAAATGAGCGAGATAGTCCGGCGGTGGACTATCTGTTTGCTTAAACACGTTAATATCATTAATCCTTTATCGTTTCTGCGTGGATTAAATATCGGCCGTTCTATAGGATTTGGGGGGGGGGGGGTGCGTCAAGCGTACGCACACACGCAGGTGGGGGGGGGGGGGATAAAAAGTACGCGTGCGTACAGGGAGGGGAGGAGGGGTCAAGGTTTGACAGATTTTTGCGTACCTACTAAATGGCCCTTGGACACCATCTCGTGAAGCCGACTGGTCCCTACCATATAACCGTGGACATTTTCACTTCTTGCCGCTGCTCTCTAGCCTTGTGCTCTTTATAGCCGCTGCCAGATTTTACGCCGAGCTGCGTAGAGCGCGAGGCCAAACAATTGTAATAATAAACCAGAAATAAACTCGGTAAAAACACACGTCGTCGTGTTCTCACACTGCCCTCGGGCAGACGAGCGTCACTGATCACGTCAGGCGTGGGAGCGTAACTCCGAAATAGCAGCGTCGACCTTCCAGCGACAACCCCTGGAATTCCTCCTTGCAAAGCTCCTGAGCGAGCCCCCCTTCCTCGGAATCCTTTTCTGGCCCCAAACTCCCAAGTGAGCCCCCATTTTTTGAGTCCCGCCTGTCAGTACGTGATATTGTATAGGGTGGTCCAGATGTCTTATGCCCCCCCCCCCCCATTTCGTTCTCTGAAACGTAATATTATTTAAGTAAGACTTACTTAAAACAGAAATGAATGTGCAAAGGAAAAAAATTGGGGGGAAATGAGGGGTCACGAGACATCTGGACCACCGTGTACAACACCGTCCTCGCACAGCTAAATAATGGGCATCCCTTCACAAGAGAATGGTTCTCGTGTACCAGGGGTCGGCAACCAAAATAAGCATTTTTTTCGAATTCGGTACAAAAAATGTTTCAAGAGCCACAATGGACGTGAATACGAGACGGTCCCTAATCATAAGGTCACGAAGAGTCGCAGTTTGCCGAACCCGGTGTACTGACAAAGGAGCCGAATGAATCTACATGCGGTCTCTAAAACTTTTTATTTTACCAGGGAAGGCCCACTGAGCTGTACAGCTCTTTTTCACAAAGCAAACTGACCACAAATGGTAGCTCAACGAAGTGGCGTATATGAAAACGTATCGCGGTCAAATCCTCTAAACGCGTGTTGATTTTACATGTGAAGGGAAAACCCACGCGACCGCGGGGAGAACATGCAAATTACAAATATACAGGCGTCAGGGTTGGGATCGAGCCCACGACCTCCATACCAGACGAGAGAGTTAACATCTCGCCACCGTGGCGCGCCCCCTTGGGTAAAAACTGTAAATGTATATTACACCACGTATGACTAAATCAACCAGAACGCGTACATTGTCTGAAAATAAGCAGAGTTGAGCCTGAATCGTGTTTAGATACGCGACCAGCACGCGTGACAACTCGGTGGACAGCAAATTGCAATGCAGAAACATCTATTGTTACGTGTACACACTCCTGCGTCTGTTGCTCCCCCACCTTTGGCAGTCGGCGTGGTGAAACATGGTCAAATAACCCCCACGACCCGCACGGCTTCGGTGGGGAACGCCGTCAAGCAGGATCCAGCAGTAGATTAATGAAGAGGGGCTGTGCATGCACGCCTACACAAACCCGCATACTCACAAGGACGTGTACAAAGATCCCCTGTATAGCCTAAACAGATTGTTGGGGCAAGTGCTGTAAGCGAGCACCTATGAAGGCAGCAGCGGCATACGAGGTGGTGGATGACCAGAACCACGCCGGCCGCCTTTGTATCCCCAGTTGGCGATGTTTACAAAACACCAGGTAAGCATTTGAGGCCCGTGACCGGTTCAGATAATCGTCACAACAACCACCATTACCACGGCGCCTGTGCCAGGCTAGGTGCACGTTAAGGCCACATGAAGTGTCGAACGCCCACTGGCAGGAGGTCACGGAACAGACCCAGGTACCATGGGTCGACTGAGGTGGAAATGTTGGATTTGTGCTCCAACACCGGTGTGTTGCTGTACTAGTAACGATTTGGCATGTTGTTTACGTGACAAACATGACTAATTAGCTGTCGGGTGGTGGCGGGTTTAACGACACATTTATATTTACGCGACCTCACCCAAAAAAAACCTTTTTTTGTGGATGACTGGGCCGAATACACCACGTGTGCCCCCTATTGTGAATTTAAACACGTGTGCACGCACGTGACCTCGTGTACAAATCAGCACGTGACCTTCGCCCCCGCGATCACGTGATCTCCGCAAGCTGAGCCAACGTCAACTCGCGGTGTCGGATTAAACTCCTCGATTTAAACGTCGTTTACTCTTTTGAAATCACAACTTTCAAAGATAAACAACTAAAAGACATTGGCACCACGGCGCGGCTTGAAGGCGCTTTCACGTCCTTCATTCGCTAAATATCGCGGCCCTGAGCGAGCAGGTAAGAGGCTCTTCGGGGTAGGAACGGCGCTCGGATAAAATCCCGGCCAGCAGAGGCGAGCCCTGCGCGGCGGGACAAGGAGGCCCAAGGGGGTGGGGGGGGGGGGGTGGTGAGCGGCGGTGGTCCTCTGATGCCACAATTGTTCCAGTCCGTGTACATGCCCCCCACATGGGTTACATCCAACCCGGTGTACATGCCCCCCCACATAGCCTGCACAAGCCTGTGGGCGCAAGTGCTGTTAGCGAGCAGCTCTAAAGACCGGCACACGCGAGGACGGGGAGGTTAACGCCACTCCCGCCTTGCAGTGTCCGTCAGTGCTGATACCAAACTCGGCGCAACACGCGTTCGTGTGTGCGTATGTTGGACTTCTTTCGCACCGTACGTAGCCAAACGTGCTAATCGGAGGTGCGGGGGAAGGACAACTGAACACAAAACAGCTATTCGCAAGAAATGAGGTTTAAATCGCGACTTTCAAAGCGCATAGCTGCAGTGGTTTCCCAATATCGGAAGGAAGAGCGTGCACATTGGCCAAATCACCTGCAATGTCACATCTGGGAAGCTAAGCGGGATTTTGAGCCTGGATAGCGCTTGGGTGGGCGACCACCGTGCACGGACAGGATCATATAGGCTGCTGCTGGGCCACGTGATGAGCAGCAGAGCCCAGGGCAGTAACATTGTACGGTACTGTGTACCTACATCTATGCTCCCCACCTTCACCGACCCGCACAGGCCAGCGTGGTGAAGTATGGTGAGGGCACCCCCGTCGTCTTGCACGGTAAAGGGAAGTCGTCATCCACCAGTTGATTGACATACAGGAGATGCGCTGTACATGTAAACATTCAAATGCATGTAGTCGCAGTACTGGATTCGGTCCAGGTTGCAGTGACACTGCACAGTGCACACCAAATTGATTCAATGGACACCCAAGGCATACTGTAGAGAATCATCTGCTAAGTCAATTGTTAAATCAATCAATGAAACATAAGAATAGGTTTTTACCCTTTTTGGTAATAAAACAGGTGTTAAATATGTAACAAACCAAATAGATACCTTTTGCAAGCAATCAAGTCTGCATTAACCACACGTACTTGTGGTGAACATGCAAACAAACATGCCCTGATAACGTATGCATTGCCTTTGAAACTGAATGGCCTGTACCAGAGACAGCATTCTTTATGGCCTGTCTCCACAGTGTCAGACCAGAGAACGCCAAAAGACGAACAGTACAAATGCATTAATTGAGTAAGCAACACATTCTCTTAGGTTTTTTCGGTAAAGTCACGTAGGTAAAAAATAATAAAATAAAAATAATGAAAATAACTCAATTGTGATTTAATTGAGTTATTTTCATTTATTATTATTTTATTCTTATCATTTTCCTACGTGACTTTACCGAAAAAACCTAAGAGTATGAATCCTTGCAGTCACGAAAGCTTCAAATCTAGAAGCAACACATTGTTGAATCAGTTAACTGGAGAATTTCTGAAAGCGATTGGTTGAATTGGTGGAATGGTTGAATTGATATCACAAATCAATGCATCGTTGGGTAAATTAGGGGCCGTCCATAAATGACGTCACGCACCTAGGAGGGGGGGTTGAGAAATGTGACGTCACATCAAAATGCGCAACTTTAAATAAATATAGACAACACGTTCTGCTTAATGAAATAGACTTTTTAATAAATGTTTTCTCCTACAACATCAGAGTTTAGCGGCTCATTAAATACACACTACGATGACAATAGTTTAAAGCGATTTGAAGCATGTTTTCTTTTTGGGGGGGGGGGGGGCAGAGCTTTGTGACGTCATATTTGAGGGGGTCTGACTTTTTGTGACGCCGTGTGACGAGGAGGGGGGGGGGGTCAAAAATCGCGTGACGTCATTTATGGACGGCCCCTTAGTTGAATTGATATATTGTTGAATCTGTGAATAGTTCAATTTATGACTCAGTTATTTGTTGAGTCAATCATTAAATTGACTAATCAATGCATGATTACATTCATGAACAATTTAATTAACTGAAATTATCTTGACTTCAATTATTGTTTTGGATCAGTGAATGGTTGAATTAATAAACAGTTAAATTTCGATTTAAAGCTTTCGTGACTGCAGGGATTCATCTTCTTGGTTCTTTCGGTAAAGTCACGTAGAAGGGAAGTAATAAAATAATAAAAATAAAACATAATAAAATAAAATAATTCTCACGACGTTTCGGCTACAACGCAAGCAGCCGTCTTCAGGTGAAGAATGAGACACTACCAAACTAGGAGCTTATATATAAGCTGCGTTGGGGGTGGAAGAGCGCCTTAACAAAAAGAATGTGCATATGAAGAGGAATGTAGCATATTCATGGAAAATGCGTAGGCGTTGGGCGGGGGGGGTTTCAAAGTCATATTATGCCCATGCATTATGCAGGATCAGCAGCACCAAGGGGGGGTGCAGGGATTAGCAGTAACAAAGGAAAGGAATGTTAATGATATGTAGCTGCAGTTACTCAACAACCACGTAGAAAACGAAAGTATAAACTACATAAAAAACGAAAGTATAAACTGCATAGCACCATCAGTATACTTACTATACTCTACAATAAGCTGAGTTACTAACAGCAAGTAATACATTACAATTCTACGTCGTAAAAATTCTATAATATGCTTCCATCTAAACTTTATTCTCTTACATCACACGAGCATATACCGTACTATATACTGCCATAGATATCTATGGCATAGATATCTATGGCAGTATATAGTACGGTATATGCTCGTGTGATGTAAGCTGAGTTACTAACAGCAAGTAATACATTACAATTCTACGTCGTAAAAATTCTATAATTTGCTTCCATCTAAACTTTATTCTCTTACATCACACGAGCATATACCGTACGAGCATATACCGATATCTATGGCATAGATATCTATGGCAGTATATAGTACGGTATATGCTCGTGTGATGTAAGAGAATAAAGTTTAGATGGAAGCATATTATAGAATTTTTACGACATAGAATTGTAATGTATTACTTGCTGTTAGTAACTCAGCTTATTGTAGAGTATAGTAAGTATACTGATGGTGCTATGCAGTTTATACTTTAGTTTTTTATGTAGTTTATACTTTCGTTTTCTACGTGGTTGTTGAGTAACTGCAGCTACATATCATTAACATTCCTTTCCTTTGTTACTGCTAATCCCTGCACCCCCCCTTGGTGCTGCTGATCCTGCATAATGCATGGGCATAATATGACTTTGAAACCCCCCCGCCCAACGCCTACGCATTTTCCATGAATATGCTAAATTCCTCTTCATATGCACATTCTTTTTATTAAGGCGCTCTTCCACCCCCAACGCAGCTTATATATAAGCTCCTAGTTTGGTAGTGTCTCATTCTTCACCTGAAGACGGCTGCTTGCGTTGTAGCCGAAACGTCGTGAGAATTATTTTATTTTATTATGTTTTATTTTTATTATTTTATTACTTCCCTTCTACGTGACTTTACCGAAAGAACCAAGAAGATAATAAACAGTTGAATCAATGATTGGTTGACTCAACGGCTGAATGTATAGTTGAATTGATGAAGGGTAAAGTAAACGGTTGAATGAATGGTCAAATTTATAAATATGTAATGAGCAACTTCCACGACACATCGTATAGAGGATACTTCTTATTAATCACACTGGGCACAACACAGGCCAACACTTATTCTTTCTCACACGGAGTACAACACTAGATATTAACGTCTCTACTGGCTACACACAGCCGATCACTCGGCGTGGTCCCATCGCCCTCACTCGGCTACACCGCTGGCTAGCGATGTGACAATGACGGCGATGGAAACCACGCAGGAGATCTTCCACGTGGCCGGACGACGGAGAGAGATGTCGGCGAGCAGCGACGCAGCCAGGACCCAAGGCCCCACACATGAGCCCCGGGTTCGCTTCCCCTTCTATCCCCCCAGGCGTGGCTAGGTCCCGCCTCCGGCCACGCCCTCTCGTGGAACCTTTGAGCAGGTTCCCGGAGTATCACGGCTAGCCCCACCTTATACCTTTGCCCCAGATACACCCCCCTCTCTGATTAGTTGTTACTTAACCATGCCCGTACCTGTGATTCCCCTTCCAGGCCAGCAGGTGTCACCCTGTCATTACAAATATTTTAATCAATGAATGGTTGAATCAGTGAATGGCTAGAATGACGAATAGTTGAATTAATGCATGATTGAATTCATAAATAGTCACGGTAATGAATAGCTGAAACAATGGATGAATTAATGAATATTCAGTAATGCATAGTTGAATGAATAGGTGGATCCGTGAACGGTTGGATCAATATATATTCAAATGAAGTAATAAATAAATGTTTGATTCATTGATTGAGCGGTTTAACCGTACACTGTTAAACCCATGCAACAGTTGAGAATCGGGTTGGCGCGTCGTTTCGCGTGTTTCTCCCCAGGATGTTTGTTTGAACAGTTTAACTGTACTTCGTTAAACCCATGCACAGTTGAGAATCGTTTTCGCGGGCCACTCCGCGCGTGTCTCCCCAGGATGAACGAGGTGAACGCGGCACTGTGCGAGGGTGTGGTGCCGGCATCATACGCACGCCAGGGCCACGAGGCGCGGCGCGCGCACGAGAAGGTCGTGCGCGTGCTGCTTGAGAAGGTGTGGCACACGGGAGACGGGGTCAGCGAGCGACGAAGGAGGCTATGGGGGTGCTTTTGGCACGGAGGTCGCACGGCGGCCGCAAATATCGTGAATCTTTGAATAAGACCTCAAGTTAAATTTTTTGCAATGATAAATGGCAGTAGAACGCATGAGAGTAGGCGCTTCCACTGTATCACGTCGTGCACTGAAAATAGAAATCAGAATGTGTCTTTGTATGTGTGTGTGTCAGTATGCACAGCGTATCCATGTATATGTGGCGACCCAAGTTCGATTCCCGTTCAAAGCCAACAGTGACGATTATCTGAACTGGTCATGGGCCTTCCCTGGTTCGACTGAGCCTCAAATGAGTACCTGGTGCGATGTGTAAACCTTGCCACTAAGGAGACAAAGGCAGCCGGGCATTGTGCTGGCCACACACCCCCTCGTGTAGCGTGCCCGCCTTCATAGGTGCTCGCTAACATCATTTACCCCAATAGTCTTAAGGCTATACGGGGGATGTTTGCCTTTGTCATGCACAGCGTAAGTTGCCAGAGGAAGGCTGGGAGGACCAGACGATCGAGCTGCTGCTGCAGGAGCTGTCCATCATGGACTCGAACAACTTCTTGGGAAACTGCGGCGTTGGGGAGCGTGAGGGCCGTGTGGTTTGTGCTCTCGTGGCCAAAAGACATTACAGGTGAACCGCACTCAAAGACAAATATCCCCAATGTAACTTAAACAGACTAGGGGCAAGTGCTGTTAGCGAGCACCTATGAAGGCTGGCACGTCACACGAGGGGGTGGGTGGTCAGCAACCTGGCCCGGACACGCATACAGACACGTACGTGAACGATAGGTCAGTTTTAATCTTCAATGTAATTCAGGGACTGTCATGTCTTGGTGTGGTGCCTTGCGCCTATCTTGCGTTTGGTGTTGAAACACCTCAAGGAATTTATATTCTTGTGCAATTTGTACTTTATCTATACTTTATTTATTTTTTGTGACTTGCTTACCTTTTGTCTATCTTGCACTCATATCATCTTTTGTATTGTTGATGTAACTTTCTGACCACCCGCCCCTACTAAAGATTCTGATTCTGAGTTTACAACAGCACGTCACGTGGGATTTGTTTAATAGTCATCAGGTGCATGCAGCGTGGAATGAGTTAACTTGTATTTGAATGGGCAAGAGTAAATTTGTGAACGCAGAAAGACGTAGCGCGGTCGTGGGTCTCAAGGGCTGGAGTCTGGGAAACCCTGGTGTAGGTTTGTGTATGGGGAGCATTAGTTGGCGCACTGCGCTCTGAACCCAGTCGCCCGAGTTTGATTCCCGCTCACAACAACCAACTTCAGTGACGAATATCTGAACTGGACTTGGGCCTCTGCTAGGTCGACTCAACCTTAAATGAGGACCTGGTGAGACAATGGCGGCCGGGCACAGTGCTAGCCAACCACCCCTTGTATGCTGCTCCGACCTTAATAATAGGCGCGCGTTAAGAGAACTTGCCCCAACAGCATGTTCAGGGTCACATTGGGGGATCATTGTATATTTGTGTGTGTGTGTGTGACAAGGATGATCCATGGCATCGGGAGGTCAGGTGACATCACAGCTGTGCAACCCAAAGCAGCCGGCTCAAGTCTTCTCAGCAAACTGGCAAACTCAGTCGCCCTGGACGTGATAAGGACCAGCGGTGAGTGAGGCGTGGACATGCGTGCGTACAACAACAAAGATCCCCCGTGTATTCTACACAGGCTGTTGGGTCAAGTGCTGTTCGCGAGCGCCTTTGAAGGCTGGAACTGCACACGAGAGGGTGGGTGGCCAGCACCACGCCCGGTCGCCTTTGTGTGCCGAGTGGTGATGTTTACACATCACACTATGTCCTCATTTGAGGCTGAGTCGACCTAGGCGAGGCCCAGGACCGGTTCAGATAATTGTCACTGGTGTTGGCTGTGAGCAGGAATCGAACTCGGGTCGCCGGGATCGTAGTGCAGCGCGCTAACCATTACATATACATGGATATGCTGCACATCAACAACAACCGCCATTTGCCACTAAGTGGCGGTGACGTCACCACGACGCTTGTGGCAGGCCGTGTGCAACTTGAGGCCACGTGAAGTGTCAAACACCCGCTGGCAGGAGGTCACGGGGCAGACCCAGGTGCCACGGGTCGACTGACTGAGATGACCGAGATGAACGGCTGATGCACCACCTGTGCCCCCTATTGTGTGTGTGTGTGTGGGTATGCTGCACATACCCACACACACACACATACATCAATACACATACACAGGCTGTGTGTGTGTAACCACACGATCCCCCATGTGTGTTCACCAATGCATAAGTGTGTTCACCCCCTGTGTCTGTGTCCATATCTTTCCATTGCACCCATGTGCGTATATATATCTGTGTACACGATGACGTCGCCCAGCGGTAGCTCGTTGGCCACTTATTGCAGAGGTTCGTGGTTCCAATCCCGCAGGCTACCCCGGTTAATACTGCGATGTGCATTCATTAAGTTATCCTATAATGCCACGTGTTTTCATAACGCAAATTGAATTTTTACACCATGAATGTAATAAGGAACACATTTTTATAATGAACAGAACTACGTCGCGCGAGTAGGAATAAGCTGTCGTACAGCTGCCTCGGCGTAGCATCACACAATGCAGGTTGCTGCTCGATGCTTCTAGATGCTACCCACACTCCTCAGTATTTGTTCCGCCTGCGTACACATCTCGCGTGTCGTCGCAGACGGTGCTTTACCCCATGTTACATATTATTTATTTTAACGCGGTGTTCGTCAGAAACGCAACTACTACTGCGATATAGGAGAACAGACTGTATTTACTGTAATATTACTATACGCCTTTTGCTTCACAGTGGACGTTAAAGATCATGTGTGACATCATGCAAAACGAGAAGGCCATTGTGTGCTGGTGTCATGGTTGAATTTTTTTAAAAATTTGAAAAATTACCCTTTACACGAAGCAACATTACCGCCTACTGTAAAACTACTACAGCCTGTGTCTGTGGAGCGCAGCAACATCTTCCTTTTAGACTAGTGCTATCAGAATAATAGCGCCAATAGAAAGTGTGCTAAATTATTACAATTGTAGTGAGTCCAACTGAGTCGCAGACATTGTCTTGGGAGCAAGACTATTACATCAACTCAACACAACATCACGTAACCTACACTCGGGTGTTGAACACCCATCTAACCACGCTACGGCAGAACTAGACACGGTCCCGCTATCCCGGTCCGGACCACGAGCTGGGTCCCTGACTGCGTGGCTAGAGGCTTCTTGAACCTGACGTGGATCTTCTTCACCAACAAACCGAAAAACCCTGAGCCCCTCACGGGGCCCAGTTATATCGGCCCGGGTTGGGGCTAGCTCCGCCCATCGCCCCGCCCACATTCTAGATCTCTCAAGCTCTTTCCCGAAGGCTCCCGAGAGTTCCTCTATGCCACGTGATCACCCAGCGGCCCCGTCCATCGGTGGCCCCCCTCCAATATCATCCGGTCACGTGTCGGCAGGTCAACCAGCGTATCATGCCCGAACGTAACCCTGGCTGGCTAACACTCTCGCTCCCTCACCGGGAGCCCGCACCGCACACTGTACGTGGTGCCTCTGCGCTAACCAGCGCTCACCCAAGCCCCGCTCGGGCTGGTACTGGGCTGCACATAATGACAACATATTATCCGCCGTCGCCTCACAAGCCCTTTACCAAACAGTGAAATTCACAGTCACTACACAATTATTATACATTTGTGCGCTTGTGTGTGCGTGTGTATATGGGCTTCTGTGTGCGTGCATTCGTGTGTATGTGTATGCTTGTTTGTGCGTGCTTGTGCATACATGTGTGTGCGTGGGTGTGTGTGTGCTCTTGTGTGTATATCTGCACGTCTGTGTGTCTGTGCGTGTGTGTCCGTGCAAGTGTGCGTGTTTGTCTTTGTATTGTGCGGAGGTGTGCATGCATGTGCTTGTGTGCGTGCCTGTGTTTGTGTGTGCGTGCATGTGTGCGTGCGTGTGTAGGTGTGCGCAGTGCGAGCGCATGCTTCGTGGTGCCGGTTGCCACGGGCATGGCGCTCTCGCTGAGCTTCACAGCGCTGCGGTCGCACCGCCGCTCCGCTCGCTACGTGCTCTGGCCACGCATCGACCAGAAGTCCTGCTACAAGGCCATGCTGTGTGCCGGTGAGGGCCGTGCTGTGTGCCGGGTGAAGGCCGTGCTGTGTGCCGGGTGAGGGCCGTGATGTGTGCTGATGAGGGCTGTGCTTTGTACTAGCAAAGGCCGGCGAGGGCTGGTGAGGGCCAGGAAGGGCCACGGGGGCTGGGTGGGGTGTAGTGGCAAGTGAGGGTGTAATTAATTATTTGATTTATGGAGACAAAGGTGGTGGTGGCCACACCGTCCCCTCCATAGTTGGTGCACCATGCCGGCCTCCACAGATGCAACTTGCTAACAGCACCTACCCCAGCTGTGTGTGGGCTACATGGAAATGTGTGCATGTCTATGTGTGGGGAGGGTGGTGTCAACGTGGTTAATGCACTTCGCTTCAAACCCGGCGGCCCCATTTCGATTCCCATTAACAGTCAGCACCAGTACCAATTATCTGAACCGGTCCTGCCCCCCCCTAGGTCGACTCAGCCTCAAATGAGTACCCGATGCAATGTGTTAAAAACATCGCCACTCTGGAGACAAAGGCGGACGGGCACGTTGCTAGCCACACCGCTCCGTCATGTGCCGTTCCAGCCTTCACAGGTGCCGCTCGCTAACAGCACTTGCCCCAACAGTCTGTTAAGGTTATACGGGGGATCTTTTGTCTTTGGCGAGGTCTGGAGCCCGTGGTGCTGGAGAACCTGCTGGAGGGGGACGAGCTGCGCACAGACCTCGGGGCACTAGAGGCGGCCGTGGTGGAGTTAGGGGCAGAGAACATTCTGTGTGTCCACTCCACCACCTCCTGCTTCGCCCCACGCACTCCCGACCGGTACGTAGCATCAGCAGCAGCATCATCAGCAGCATCATGAGTAGCAGCATCATCAACAGCAACCACCATCATCAGCAGCAGCATCATCATCGTGACTGTCATCAGATTTCCTCTCTCGGACGCGTTACCCCCTCTGGCTGCCTCTCCGTCTCTTCTAGCCGTGAGCTGTTCTGTCTCACTTGTCTCCACACTCACTACGATGGTCCCAACCTGTGCACATTGACGATGATGTGCAATGATGATATTGACGATGATGACGATCTTTGATAGTGATGATTTTGTTTAATACGTAGTAGGCTTTCGCGACCAATATCCATAATAAAGGGGGTTTCTTTGGGTTAGATTGCATAAATTTGTAGTTAAACCCGCCATCACCCAATACAGCCAATAAGTAGGGTTTGTCACGTGAACAAAACATGCAAATTAGTTGCGAGTTCAGCACACCAGTGTTTTGGAGAGTAAACCCACAACATTTACAATTCGAGTATGACGTTTTAAGCTTGTGATTATAACCAGCCTCATGGCGATTGCCATAAAACCTTTATTAGTGATGATTTTCGTTGATGACAATGATGTTGATGACTATGATGTCGATGATAAGGAAGTTGATGTTGATAATGGTGGTTGATGATGGGTGTGGTTGCTGCATCAGTTTGGAGGAAATCGCTGAGATCTGCAAGCGACACGAAATCCCGCACGTCGTCAACAACGCGTACGGAGTGCAGAGCAGCAAGTGCATGCACCTCATCCAGCAGGTGACTCCTCGCTCACCTCACTCACCTCTTCCAGCAGGTGACTCTTCCTCCTCGCTCACCTCCTCACTCACCTTTTCACTCTCTTCATCCAGCAAATAACTGCATCTCTTCGCCCACCTCATCATGTACATACATTTACATTTGTGCCTGTGCAGTGAGTGGCGGGGCAGTGGTTAACGCACTGCGCTATGATTTCCGCTCACGGCCAACATCGGTGGCAAATATCTGAACCCAGTCCTGGGCCTTCTCTAGTTTGGTCCAGAATCTGGGGATACAAAGGTGGTCGAATGCGGTGCTGCTTACACCACCCCTTCATAGGTGTACCATGCCGGCCTTCATAGGTGCTCGTGAACAGCACTTGTCCCGACTGCCTGTATAGGCTACACAGGGGATCTTTGTCTGTGTGTGCTTGTGTGTGCGGTTGCAGAAGTGTAGCGCGTTACGCTTTGAACCCGGCGACCCAAGTTCGATTCCCGCTCACGGCCAATACCAGTGACGATTATCTGAACCAGTCCTGGGCCTCCCCTAGGTCGACTCAGCCTCATATGAGTACCCGGTGCGATGTGTGTAAACTTCGCCACTGGAGAGACAAAGGCGGCTGGGCATGGCGCTGGCGAACCAACCCCCTCGTGTGCCGTGCCGGCCTTCATAGGTACTAACAGCACTAGCGCCAACAGTCTGTTGAGGCTATAGAGGGGATATTTGTCTGTGTGTGCAGGCTGCGCGTGTTGGCCGGGTGGACGTGTTTGTGCAGAGTCTGGATAAGAACTTCATGGTGCCGGTGGGAGGCGCCATCATCGCTGGCTTCAACCGCGACCTCATCGCTGACATCGGCAAGACCTACCCAGGTACGCAGCTACAAATGTGTCTGCGTGTGTCTGCGCCATGTGCATGTGCACCGTGAGTTCCGCAGGCGTAGCACGGGCTAGAGAAGAGGTGGGTGAGTGTGTGAGTGGGTGGCACCTGACTCAAAATCTGGTAAGGCTATATGGGGGATCTTTGTTGTTTTTGTGAGTAAGTGAGTGAGTGGGTGAGTGGGTGAGTGTGTGTATTTGAGTGAGTGAATGTGTGTGAGTGTGTATGGGGGAGCGGTCGTGTTGTGGTTATCGCTCTGCACTTTGAACCCAGCAACCTGAGTTAAATTCCTGCTCACTACTAAAACCATTATTTATACAGGTCCTGGGCCTCCCATAGGTTGACTCAGCCTCAAATGAGTACCTGGTGTGGTGTGTAAACATTCGCCACTCGGGAGACAAAGGCAGCCAAGCGTGGTGCTGGCCACCTACCCCCTCGTGTGCCATGCCAGCCTTCATAGTTGCTACTCACAGCATTTTCTCCAACATTGTGTTAAGACTATACAGGAGATCTTTGTCTTTATGTAGTGAGTCCAACTGAGTCGCAGACGTTGTCTTGGGAGCAACACTATTTATTACATCAACTCAATATAACATAACCTATACTCGGGAGTTGAGCACCCATCTAACCACGCTACGGCAGAACTAGACACGGTCCCGCTATCCCGGTCCAGACCACAAGCTGGATCCCGGACCGCGTGGCTAGAGGCTTCTTCAACCCGACGTGGATCTTCACTCACCAACAGTCAAGAACCCAGAGCCCCACACGGGGCCCCCGTTATATCGGCCCGGGCTGGGGCTGGCTCCGCCTCTCGCCCTGCCCACCTTCTCGATCTCTCTGGCCCTTTCCCGAAGGCTCCCGAGAGCTCCTCTATACCACGTGACCACCCAGCGGCCCCCGTCCACCGGTGGTCCCCCTCCAATATCATCCGGTCACGTGTCGGCAGGTCAACCAGCGTATCATGCCCCAACGTAACCCTGGCTGGCTGACACTCTCTCTCGCTCCCTCACCGGGAGCCCGCACCGCACACTGTACGTGGTGTCTCCGCGCTAACGAACGCTCACCCAAGTCCCGCTAGGCCTGGTACTATACCCAGTAACCGGGCTGCACATAATGACAACATATTATCTGCCGTGGCCTCGCAAGGACGGCACCACACAGTGACATTCACAGTCACTACATTTGTATGTATTTTGGAATTATTTTACACACTGTACATAGCCAACCATGCTAATCATGCTGCATAAATTGTTTTAATATGAAAATCGAATGCACGATTCTGTTTACTGTTCACGATCTGACTGCCTGTCTCATCTGCTCTGTTCCGTTACTTCAATCGATAACTCTAGGGTCAAAGATTTAGCAATTTAAATCTTCATGACCCACCACCCTGCGTCTTCCGCGTTTACCAATTGAACTTAATTCACATGCAAATTAAGTCCGTTACACGCTGAACACTGCACGCGTCTTTGTTTTTTCTCATCAGGCCGTGCGTCTGCCGCCCCGTCGATGGACTTCCTCATGACCATGCTGTCCCTGGGCCAGCGTGGATACAAACGCCTCCTCGCGGAGCGCAAGGTGCGCCCCGCTGCCGGATGAAAGCCTCGACGCACCGTGTCGGCCGCGGGGGTTGTTTGACCGTACTTCACAACGCTGGTCAGTGCGGGCTGGTGAAGCGTGGTGGGGAAGGGGAAGAGGATGGGAGAGAGGGAGGTGGCACCCACCAACCCCAGGACTGGTTCAGATTTATCTCTAGCTACTGATATTAGCCGTGGCCAGGAATTTAACTCAGGTCTGCGGGTTCGTTGCGCGGTTTGATGCTCGGACTTCCTGTGCGTGCATCAAGTCGCACGCGTAGGGATCGGTTGTGCACAGATTTAGACGAACAATATCGCACCCATAATCGAGGTTTTTGGGTTAGATCGTGTAAATATATAAATGTGTCATTAACCACCCGACACAGCCAACTAGTAAAGGTTGTCACGTAAACAGAACATGCCAATTTGTCACTAGTACAGCACACCGGTGTGTTGGAGAGCCAAGCCACAACATTTACAAACCGAGTACGACGTTTCGCCAGTAATTACAACTAGCTTCATCAGGCGACAGACAGATTTGTGGAGAAGTCTTACTGTTTCGTTCCTTATATAGAGGCATCGATGTGTTGGCCACCCTTCTGCACTCTTGCACAATGTGGGGGGGGGAGATTACTGATGCATGTGCATTATGCGAGCCCTTTGAACTTGGCCTTCCTGTCTAGTGTTTATTAAAATAGCCCTACCACCGGTAATCCCTATTGAAGTACGCTGCCCTTTGTAGGCATGCATTTTAATCGTGTATTCTTTGATGATTCGCTTCCTCGCAGCACTAAAACGGTAGCTATCTGAACAGTTAAAGTTAATTAGATTTCTTTCAATTTCTATGGATTCTCTCATTAGTCTTGGCCAGTAGTAGCTAGTTTTGCACAAAACTTCAACATTATCAAAATCAATTGTGTCCTTGTTGCAACGCATGTTCTGCTACTGCTGGCAGTTGGATTTGGGAGAATTTAATATTTCTCTGATGTTATTTTAGTCTCGTGCTGATCATTCGTCGTGTTTGCCCAACATAACATTTACCACACGTGCAGTTAATCCTGTACACACCTTCTGTTGATAGCTTCGGTAATACATATTTTGTACCAGATATTAAATTCTGTATTTTATGTACCGTGCCAAATCTGACTGATGTTTTGTTTTTCCAAACATCTGGCTAGTTTATCAGTTACTCCCGCAATGTACGGTATTTTGATCGTTTTAATTACTTGGGCAGTTTCGATGCTCTTGTTATTTGATTTGGTTTTGGTATTCAATGCCCTGTTGATTTGTGCATCATTGTAGCCGCTCATTTGCAGCGCTTCTTTAACATGTTGAATTTCACTTCTCAGACTGTCACAATCTGACACTTTCTTAGCTCGATGAATGAGCATCTTGATAAGAGCAGATTTCTGTGCGGGGTGATGGTGTGACTCTGCATTCAGATAGACGTCAGTGTGCGTTTTCTTTCGGTAAACACGGTTTTTTTTACCATTTCTACCCCGTAAAATAACACAACATTTCTCCCCCGTAAAATAACACACCGGTGTGCTGTCCTAGTGACAAATTGGCATGTTCTGTTTACGTGACAACCCTTACTAGTTGGCTGTGTCAGATGGTATTGGTCGCGAAAGCCGATGTGTTAAATTTCACACCCATAAATCTCAACGTCCATGTGTAGGAGATATACACATGTGAGTGTGTCCGTATATAGGCAATGTACACATACCTGGAGAACAAGATGAAAGTGCTGGCCCTGGAGAACGGAGAAAAGCTGCTACACACACCGCACAACCCCATATCCCTGGGTACGCACACACTGGGACCAAGACAGAGATCCCCTGTTGGGGAAAGTGATGTTAGTGACTAGCAACTGTGAAGGCATACATGACACATGAGGGGGTGGGTGGCCAGCTCCATGCCCAGCCGCCTTTGTCTCCCCAGTACTAATATTAAACACTGGTACACACACACGGGTGACGCATGGATACATGGATGTGCATACACGCAAGTACGAACACATGGACATTCATACACGAGTGTACGTGCACAGGTACACACATATGTACACACATGCACACACACAAAGAAATACAAAGATCTCTTTTGCATCCTGCATAGGCGGTAGGGGGTGAGTTGTTAGAGAGCATCTATTAAGGTCTGCATGGGGCAGAATGGGGTCAGGAGCACCATGGCTTCCCAACACGTGTAACCATGTGTGTCTCCATGTGTACCGGTGTATCTGTCTGTGGTCGTGTGTATACCTTTTTGACTATATGTATCCGTGTGTGTCCGTGTGTGTGTCCGTGTGTATAGCGATGTCCATGAGCTCCCTACCTCCAGCTGTTGTGACGCAGCTGGGCTCCATGCTGTTCACAAGACAAGTGTCCGGCGCCAGGTTGGTGCAGTTTCCTGTATCGATTCATCGACTCCGGTTCGTTAGACGCGATGCTTCCGCTGCGTGACGATGAATTTTCCTCGTGTGTCTCTTAACCTCGGTGAATGTACTTAACCTCGGTGAGTGTACTGGCAGTCTATAATGTAGATTGTAGCCTGGTTTTTAAGCTTGGTGAGCGTATTGGCATTCTATAATGTAGACTGCAGCAATGGTTATGAAACTGAGTGAGTGTACTGGCAGTCAATAATGTAGACTGTAGCCTGGTTCTTAACCTGAGTGAGCATACTGGCAGTCTATAATTATAGAATGCCAATATGCTCACCAAGCTTAAAAACCAGGCTACAGTCTACATTATAGACTGCCAATACACTCACTCCGAGTAAGAACCAGGCTACAGTCTACATCCGGGTGCATTCCGTCCCCCTCATCGTGTCCCCGAACGCCCCCCTCCACCCCCTGCAGAGTGGTCCCGCTGGGCGGGGTGACGCAGACGGTTGGCGGACGCGAGTTCCACGGCTTCATGTCGCACTCGCCTTGCTACCCCGTCGCCTACCTCAACGCCGCTGCAGCCATCGGCATGACGCAGGCGGACGTGGGCGCCTTCACGTCGCGCCTGTCCCGCTGCCTCGACGCGCTGCGACGCGACGCGTGCAGGAAGAGCAGCGGCATCAATTCGGACGGAGACGGTGCAAACCCAAATCCCGGTGACAAAGGTGGCGGCCAAGCAAATTCGGGCAGCAAGGACACCAACCAGGAGGGTGGTGGCGAAGACGACGACGGTGATGACGACGGTGATGACGATTTTGGTGACGATGCTGACGTAGAACAGGAAGGTGACGTCCGTTGTGAAGCCGGAAGCGATTCTGGTGGCAGAACAGGGAGCCATGTCCGATGTGCAGGAAGTGATGTCAGAGATTTAGGAAGCGCTGGTACGGATCAAAGAAGTAATGTCAGAGATACAGTAAGTGATGGCGCAAATAAAGGAAGTGATCTCAAAGAAGCAATTCCAGGGGTTGAGGGGGAGAGTGGCGGTAGGGGAGAGTGAAGGTGTCGGGGACCTGAGCATGCAGCGAGCAGCACGGCGCTAAGGAGACAACGGCTGAGGGAAGAATTTCAGCGGCGAAGGGCGGTGACTTTATCAGAGAAATATGGAGCTGCCTGAGGATTAGCTCCTGTAAATGACGGTTACAGTGAATAATTCCACTGGTTGCCGAGACTCGTCTCAGTTGATTAATCTGATTCTGGTAATCGTGTTGATCAAGCGGGAAACCGGAGCAAGACTATTGCAAGCAAGGAAGATGGAACCCCGCAAATGATTTGGTGCTCGTTCAGTAACACTTTCCGACCGGGGGTAGTAGTGAAGCCTTTATACATTGCCTCCGTCTGTCCGTAACGAGAAGACGCTCTAGCTCTCGCAAAGATGATCCGATAAGAACCAAACTGTAGCGTACAGTTGTGTCGCTATGAGGGACTTGAGGCCCTCGAGAAAAAAAAAAACGGCCAAATTGATAAAAGTTTTTGCCTAAAATTTGGAAATAAAAACAAGCGCTCGACGGGACTTGCAGGGCGTTCTGCTTCCTGTGCGCTTGGTGTGAGGGACGACCGTTGCCATGTCACTCTTCTAACACCGGACAAGCCCGTGTTGGGAAGCTTTACAGAATCCCTGCATGTGCATGATTTTTGCTTATTTCCGATCAAAGAATCGAAATATCCATTGCAGGTACTATTATTATTATGTAGCTACAAATTCATTTTGTTAAGTTTGTTGAGCTGGTTGGCCAGGATTGGTCAAAAACCTAGCCCACTTTTCACACAGGCAACTGGAGAGCGCAGACTAATTATTACTAACCTAACATTAAAACTAACAATAACATATTTAAGAATCAGAATAGACCAATACATATATACTCTTTAAAATAGTAATTAAAATAACAATATTAAACTTTAAATCTAATTAATGGTCCTCAAACTATTTTCTTGGGTCTTTCGGTAAATTCACGTAAATAGGTTCAAAGAAAATAACAAAAAACTACGACGTTTCGATCGCAACACAAGCGTATGTCATCGGGAAGAAAAAAAGAGGGGGACAGCTGCTGAGGCAAACTGTTTTAAAGGGTTAAAATAGGTGTTGCCCAAGGGTCATAAACGAAGTGGGCGGGGCTAGTGATGTTACTGTGAGAGGTTAGCATGGTAGTGGAGGATCACAGAGCAGCAACGTCGAGCAAGGTGACTGTTTAAGTGTGGGAAAGTTAACCTTTTAATGTAAAGTCAGAGAGCCGAAAATAACAACTAACATCGGAAAGTGGTAGGATGGGAACATCACAGCCAGTTATGAGTTAAACTGGTTGATAAGTCCTTCCAATGATTACTCAGTTTATACCCATCTTCTCGATTGAAGTTGTGTCTGTATATGTGGATGGCTTCATGAACGAATCTTTGTTGATAGCCAGTGGGTTTGCAAAGCACCTTCGTCTTAGAGAAATCAATTTCGTGTGAGCCCATCACATTAAAACAATGATCAGCCACGGCCAAGGTATTGGTCCTACCGTGTTGCAGATCTGCCTTATGTTCACGAACATAGTCCGAGACATGTTGCTTAGTTTCCTCAATGTAACTACTGCCACAGACACAGCTTAGTTTGTAGACGCCGGGGTATTGCCTGTCAGGGATCACATCCTTCACAGATGGGATCAGATCACGAATTTTATGTACTGTGTTAAATCGAACCTGGATCTTGTGTTTGCTCATGATTTTGGAGATCTTTTTGGTGACCCCTGCTATGTATGGCAAGGTGATGGTTTTGATTGGGTCCTCAGATGGTTCTTTCCCAACGGTTGGGGTAATAGCTTTACGGATTGTGTAGTCTGAATATCCATTCATTTACATGCTAATTTCTCACGTTAACATCACTAGCCCCGCCCACTTCATTTATGACCCTTGGGCTACACCCATTTTTTTAAACCTTTAAAACAGTCTGCCTCAGCAGCTGTCCCCCTCTTTTTTCTTCCTGATGACGAACGCTCGTGTTGCGATCGAAACGTCGTAGTTTTTTATTTTTTGTTATTTTCTTTGAACCTATCTACATGACTTTACCGAAAGACCCAAGAATATGAATTCCTGCAGTAACGAAAGCTTTAAGTCAAGGTCCTCAAACTATCCGAGACACTTGTTCCAGTGCCCAACCAGGCTATTATTATTTAATTTAGAAACACCGTGAGCATCAAATTTAGCGCCACGAGGAAAATGTTTGCAATTTAAAAGCAGTTACTAGAAGGCAATCGATCTGGGTGAGAATGGAAAGTACATTTTCCCTTAAAATTATAATTTTAGTAAATAAAATATTGCATGTGAACAGGATACATGGTAAGAGCTTTGCGTGTTCTATGCTGATTTATATATTTTGTCCTTTTCCCCAATGGTATCCCGATCACGCCGTCGGTATCCCGATCACGCCGTCAGCATCGCGCTTTGAAACGAACAATCTATTCAAAAGCGAATATCACAGAACTACCTCTTGAGATCTCAAGTGACCTCTGGTCCTCACACAGTAGAGGGCAGCACTTTCCCATCCGCTCTGCTACACAGAGAGAGATGTTGGTCGCACTGCAGTCACACCAATATTTGGAATTTTGCCAATTTATGTGCAGGACCACATTTTAAAGTGACGGCTTTTTTTGTGCAGTCATTGGTGACCGGGCTGAGACCATGCACTTGAGAAACCCGTTTTTTAATCACAGCTCAATCTCTGCGAGCCTGCTAGGGGGTCTCATGTAATTCTGATTTCCGCCTGACTTTAAATTGGCCCTCTTATCTGTATGCAGTGCTGTCCTTGTGGACTACTGCCCCCCAGTTAACAGACTGGGGGACGCAAACAAGATATTGGAGCCCCCTCCCCCCACTGCTACACCCGCATGGTCAGGAGCCGCATTCAGGAGCCAAGCAAAAAAAGGGGAAAACCTATTCTCATATTTTGGTACTGGCAAAGGAGGTCCCATGATGTAGATGCTCAGCCCGAGCTCTCATTACTCTGATAGTGCATTGTCTTTGGGCTGTACGCCTTTGGACATTCTCTGGTCTAACACCGTTTGAGACGAGGCTCAAAAGAAAGATGTCTCTGGTGTGGACCAATCAGTTTCAAGGACAATGCATATATTTTTTGGTTTGCATTCTGACCACATTTATTGCAGTTAATGCAGACATTATTCCTTGTAAAAGGTTTCAGTTTGGTGTTTTAACATCTTAACACCTGTAAAAGTCGCCAGAAAAAAGGGGGAAACCCTATTATATTTTGGTACTGGCAAAGGAGGTCCCTTGAGGCCTTTAGATGTTACCTAAAAGTCAGAGTGCATTCGATGTTGCACACCGAGGGGGCGTCACTGCAGTGACGTCACCGTCGCGCGATGACGGTGACGTGGTCGGACAATGCACGGATTAATTTAATCACTTATACTGAGTGAAGTTGTGCTGCTGCATTGGCAGTGGTACACAATTAGCAACAGCAAACTCAACTCAGTCGTCAATAACAACCCTGTGTGTGTGGCCTTAAGAGATAAGTAATATTTTAAAATAACTTTTTTTAAACACGCTTTAATGAAATGTACCGTACGAGTAATGGCAGAACTCCACGACTCCAGGAAGTGGCCCCGAAGCTTGCCATAACGTAAGGGGCTGTGGTTATTTACAGCCAACGTGAGTTGAGCGTGGACAATTAGACCCAAGCCGGAACATAAGATATAAAAGATTGCTTAATTTTTTTATTTTAATGATAGAATATAGTATTGTCATCAGTATGACATACGTATACCAAGTTTACAGTCGATACGACATTGGGAAGTGGGTTAAAATTGAGTTACAAGATTTGAGTTAAATAAAAGCGTGTAAAAAGATACACGAGGCGACGTTTCGGGCACGTATATGCCATAAAGATACATGCAATTTAGCAGGGCCATTGCTCCAAACATCGCCTGTTAATATATTGTTTCCTTTCAAAGCTACACACACACACGGTGTTGTCATTGACGAATATGTTGAGTTTGCTTTGTGAATCAATTTAGATCGCGAGAAACGCTGCGAATTGATTGGACAATTTAACACTCAACGTTTTGCCCACTTGATGTAGGTCCCGCCCCTTTGCTAGTTTAAGCCAATCGAAATTGAGAATTTAGACTGCCTACTCGTAAGCCCCGCCTTTTATAAGTCGATAACCAACCAAAACGGAGGCATTATGCTCAACCTACTCCATTTAAGTCCTGCCCTTCATCCCAGTCAATTACCCCGCCTACTCGCTGTCAGCACCGCCCCTCAGTGAGAGCCAATCAGAATCCACTTCAACTTTGAGGGGGCGAGGCCTCTACGCCGCAATTGAGGCCGAGCCACGCCCCCCAGTGAGCACGCCAGCCAATCAGGAGGCAGCGAAGCGGTGGCCCGCGATCAGTTGCTCCGCACGCACCTGGCACCGTTTCGGAGTAGAACCCAGATTACGAGCTCTGCGGCTCCACACAGGTGAGCGGGTAAGTGGGTTCGTGTGTTGTTGTGACCTGCAGCGTGGTGGTTGTGTGAGTGAGTGTATTCTTGTGACCTGCAGCGTGGTGGTTGTGTGAGTGATTGGGTGATTGTGTGTTGTTGTGACCTGCAGCGTGGTGGTTGTGTGAGTGAATGTATTCTTGTGACCTGCAGCGTGGTGGTTGTGTGAGTGATTGGGTGATTGTGTGTGTTGTTGTGACCTGCAGCGTGATGGTTGTGTGAGTGATTGGGTGTGTGGGGTGTTGTAACCTGCAGCGTGGTCGTTGAACACTGGTGGATGACACAAAACGGTTGTCCGGTAGACCGAGTCCTCGACACCGGTGGACGAATCAATGAGTGAAGTTCACGGAAACCGTGGCCATGGTAGTAGCGATGGAAGAGTGATAAGGGGGCGACTGACCGCCGGTGAGCGAGGGATTGGATTGAATGAGTGCGTGTATTGTATATGTGTTAATGAGTACCTTGTGCGGTGTGTAACGCATCCGCTATGGAGAGATAAAGACGGTCGGGCGTGTTGCTGGCCGCAGCACCCCTCATGGATGTGCCGTGCCGGCCTTCATAGGTGCTCACTAACAGCACTTGCAGACAATGATTTAAGGCCAAGTCAATCTAGCGGAGATGGTTTACCGTGAGCGGAAATCGAACTCGGATTGTCGAGTTCGTCGTGGAGCGCGCTCAGCATTGCATTCCAAAGATCCCCCTATATCCTTAACACACTGTTCGGGCCGTGTGTACCGACCCGTTTGTCGTGTCGGACTTCTTATAGGAGCTCGCTAACAGCGCTTGCTTCAACAGTCTGTGTAGGCTAAATCAGGATCTTGAGTTTATGTATTACCTCTCTGTATCTTATCAATCTTGTGGGTATGTATGCGTGTGGACACTACCTGACCTAATGCATGTATGCATGTTGAACTTCTTTCGCACCATACATACCCAACAAAGTTCCACGTTTTCTCGCCCACAGTTATACCCTCTCTCTCGCTTGCGAAACATGGACCCCTCTGAAAGAACATCTGCGCGAGTTTGAAACATTCAGGCTGCCCTGCCGACGATCCGTCCTGAGTTTAACCAGACTGGATTGGATTGTGTGAGGAGCTCACAGATCACTGAAAGATCTGGACACAGTCCAACCAGTGAGCACCTCTGGTAGGCGAGGCTGCGTTGGCTGTGTCACGTAACCCGCGCTCAGACACATCAATCATCTGTTTTGGCTAGATAGCTTCTGGTTCAGCTAAAAGGGCATGACACGGGGTAGAGAGGAGACGAGCTGATGTCGTACGGGAGGTTGTGGAGCTGATTGGACTTGCCACTGACTGTTACACGGAGTCTCGTGTAGGACGCTACTGAGCTGTTGGAAGCAGTCCGCCCTCCAACAACAGCGGAGGGCAGAGGAGCGTCAGGTGGCTAAAACGCAGCAGGTTGGCACAGTAGGGGGCACAGGCGGGTGCATCTGTTAGTCACCTCAGTCGGTGAACCCCATAACTTCTGGATCTGTCCCGTGCCGGCGAGCCTTCCGCACTTCACCTGGCCTCAAGTGCACCGAGCCTGGCACAATCGCCAGTGTGACATCGCCGCCACTCAGTACGAATAGCAGCGGCTGTTTTGTGAGGTGTGTCAATGTATAAAACATTTTGAGGCCTTACAATGGGGGTGTAGGACTCCCCAACCACAATAACATCACAGGGCAGGTGGGAGGTGTCGGTCTAGCCAATGGATAGTTTGCCGAGCCTCAAAAGTCTAGAGGAAATAGCTCCCGCTCGTGAGTTGTTGGCTGACGTGCCGTCTGCCGAGGAGGTGCGAACAGGAATCCCAAGATCCGGGGACCAAGTAAAGCGCAGGGCTGAAATGGCCTCCCAAGCAAACCGCTTAGGAAAGGTGGCGATTGTGTGCAGGCCCCCCTACACGATGTCACTACAACTGCCGATACCACAGGATGGTTTCTACAGGATTGGAATAATTCCATGGTGGTCCATGGAATCGCAATGATTGGAACGACTCCCAGGGCATATCCCTCTTCAGTGTGCCGGGAAATGCTGTGGCAAGGATGATCCAACATCGCATCCTTGGCCAGGCACGCCAGTGATTGACTTGCGGAGCCACAGCGCGGTTTCAGACGGGTGGCGGTCCTGTACAGATGCCGTGTATTCTGCTGCGTCTAAGGGGTGTAGGGAATTTCAAGAGTGCACGGCTTTGGGTTGGTTTTTTTCTGTGTTTTTGGGGTTCCTAAATATTTGTTCACAATAATGAAGGAATTTCATCATGGTGGCAGGCAAGGGTAAAGCTGCGTGGCTGGTAGCCAAATTTCCTTATTAACTGTCCACTACATTATTTAACGTATTTTTACCACAATCCTATATGATGTATATGATTTCCATCGCTGCACCAGTGACATATCAGATACATATACAATGGGAGGCTGACCGATGCCCGGTGTGGTCAAAGGATGGCGCTCTTCTAATCAACTATGCCTAGTATGATGATGATGATGATCTGGCAATTTGCTGCTCACTCGGCGCAGTTTGGGGACTCTAACTGTCGAACGTGGAGCGTGCCACTGAAATTGATAGCGCCGGCCTGGGTAACTCTCTGCCATCAAACACTCCACCCCCTCAACTCCCTATGTGTCTGGGGCGATGGTGGAGAGGTCCCGGGACCTGGGCAGTTGTGCCCGTGCTCATCTCTGTTTTGGCAACATTGGCAACAGCGGAGGTCTCACTCCGAATCGGTCGAGCGACTTTATCTTTGAATCGGCTGTGCAAGTACAACTACTGCCGTGTGTGGACGCTGACTGGCCCTGTCGCTCCACACGAGTCTTCTCTCCTCAGTCTGTCGGCTATCGTTCCGTCTGCGCTTGTGAGTCGTGCACCCTCCGTAGCAACACCTTGCAGACTCGTGTTTTTTTTTTGGCGCTCGCCTGCGTCGGCACATTCCCCGAATTCCTGCGCTCGGGTTGGTTAACTCAGCGTGCGAACCCGAGAGGTCCCTCTGAACCTTTGTAAAACAAAAACCCACATGCGTGTATTCTGCAGCGTGTTGTCGTCGCGGCTCATGTGCGAGATGTTCTCCCAGATAAGGATGTGATTTTCGCGAGTCACTCGAGCAGGGAGAGCACAGGGTGGGGGGGGGGGGGCACTGTGGTGGTGACACAAGAGGTTGTTCTAGAGGTGAAACCTGCCCGTCAGCACGCGCACACGGCGGTAGTTACACGGGGAGCACTGCGACGCGTATCCTGCGTGGCTACCTGGGCGAGCACCGCCGTGCCCCCAAGCCTGAGTCGCATTCATTGAAGGGTCCTCCGAGCGTTGAGATGTTTGGCCAATTGAGATGTTTGGCCAATTGAGATGTTTGTCCAGTCAAGGCGTCGTCACGGAGTCTGAAGATTATTTTTTATGGAAGGATCCTGCAATCGGAATGTTTGGCCGAATAACTTTCTTACAACGGAAAGCCTCACGGAATTCTAATCGAGTACTTGTTAATGGAGGGTCGTCATCACCACCATGAAAATTGTCTTGCTGTGGTTTTCCCACCTGATGATGATTGTTTGTGTTGCAATCGAAACGTCGTGATTTATTTTTATTTTATACTTACGTGACTTTACCGAAAGAACCAGAGAATATGGATTCATGCAGTCACGAAAGCTTCAAATCAATATTAAGCACCATCACAAATCTACCACCATCACATAAATCTACCACCATCACATAAATCTACCACCACAAGCAACATCACGACCACTACCATCACAAGCAACTTTAACCACCACCGCCGCTCCCGTGTGTGGAGGAGCGGAGGCGTGCGCACGAGAAGCAATGTGAACTTTCCAGTTAAACGGGAAGTTGGGAATTTGATTCACGTTGAGTTCCTGACGTAGATAACTCCCGTGCGAGTGCGTGCGTGTTCGGGAATGTGTGGGTGTGTTCGTGACTGTGTGTATTGAAGAGTGTATTCGACTGTGTATTGGAGAATGCGTGTTTGTGTGTCTGTGTGGTGCTCGCTAACAGCCCTTTCCTCATCAGTCTGTTAAGGCTACAAGGGGGATCTTTGTCCTTTGTATCAGTGGGGAGCGGTGGTGTAGTGGTTAACGCGCTGTGCTACGAACCAGGCGACCCGAGTTCCATTCCCAATTACGGCCAACACCAGTGGCGATTATATTATCCTGGGTTCTCCCCCTAGGTCGACTCAGCCTCAAATGAGTTCCAGGAACTAGAGAGACAAATGCGGTCGGGCGTGACGCTGGCCACCGACCGCTTCGTGTTCTGTGCCGGCCTTCATAGGTGCTTGCTAAATCACTTTCCCCAACAGTCTGTTAGAGCTGTAAGGGGGATCTTTGCCTTTATAAATGTATGCAGAATACGAACAGAGGTGGTCCATCTGCCAGTCATCTCAGCCAGTCAACCCATGGCACCTGAGTCTGTCTCGTTACCTGCCAGTAGCGAGCCTTCAACGCATCACGTGGCCTCAATGTTTACCTCGGCTAGCACAAGCGCCGTGGTGACGTCGGCGCAGTGTGTTTTACTTGGGTGTGTACACGTGTTTACATGAGTTTGTGTACACGTATTTCGATCAGGTGTGTTTACGTGTGTGTTCACGTCAGTGTGTGCGCAAGTGAGTGTACACGTGTGTACATGCCTACGTGTTTACATGTCTACGCGTATACACGTGTCTACGTGTATACACGTGTTTACGTGAGTTCGTGTACACGTGTGTAAAAGTGAGTGTACGCATGTTTACATACGTATACACGTGTTTACGTGACTGCGTGTACACATAAGTTTATGTACAAGTGCATGTGTACACGTGCATACACGTGTTTACGTGAGTGCGTGTACACGTGTGAACCCGTGATCTCTGGCACGTACACCTCACGCCTGGCTGCCCTGGGTTTTCTGAGCAGGAATGAACCAGACTTAACCAACATCTGCAAGGGCAGGGGGAGGGGGGGCTGGTGTGTGAGGTGGAAGGGGAAGCACACCGACCCCAGCCACACCTGGGAGACAGTCTTTTATTTTGTTATCACGTCATGAGAAACCAAGAATATATTCGCAAAAAGCACATTGGAAACCTTTTGTTAGAGAGAACGGCTCAGAAGCGGATATCACAGAACTACCTCTGTAACCTCGAGTTCACACACAGTAGTAGGGGGCAGCACTTTCCCACCCGCTCTGCATACGAGAGGAATGTTTTTCGCACTCCACCTAAGATTTTAATTATCAGACTTGGAAGCCAAATTAGGTGATAAATCTGGTTAAACCAGATTTAATGAGAGGTTTTTTGCATGTAGGCAATGGTGTGAGTTGGCTCAGACCATCAACTCACTACATTTGAGAACCATAAACTACTCCGTTTATGTGAGTCTGTGGGTCAATGTTTGAGTTTGTGGTTCTCTATGTATGTTGGTCTCTATGTGAGTATGTGGGTCACAATGTGAGTTTATGGGTCTCTACAAATCTGTTCATCTCTATGCAAGTCTCTGGGTCTCTGGGTTCCTATTCGAGTCTCTTGGAATTTGTGAGTCTATGGTTCTCTCTGTGAGGCTTTGGGTCTCTATGTCAATCATTGGTGACAGGGCTGAGACCATCAACTCCCTGCACTGGAGAGCCCAGTAGCAATGGAGAGATTGCCCCTCCTCTGTCTTAGAAAAAACCCAGACACATGGGGACACCTTGGCAGAGGTCCCAGCTTGTATGGAGACACCTGTGTAACACCACTGCGTTGTCCCAATCTCCCTCGCCCCTCTATCCCAATGGCTGTCCCCGTGGTAGATGGAGGGACACGCAGACTACGAGCGTTCAAATGTGGAGGTGATTAAGTGCGTGGTGGTCGGGGACAACGCAGTGGGGAAGACTCGCCTGATCTGTGCCCGGGCCTGCTCCTCGGCGCCACCCACACACGCCCAGGCCGGCACACACGTGCCCACCGTGTGGGCCATAGACCACTACCGCGCGTGTCCTGAGGTGAGGATGTGAGGAGAGGTGACGGTGAGTGGGATATAGACCACTACCACACGTTTCCTGAGGTGAAGTGAGGAGAGGTGATGGTGAGTGATCTATAGACCACTACCGTACGTTTCCTGAGGTGAGGAGGTGAGGAGAGGTGATTGTGAGTGAGTGGGCTATCGACCACTACCACGGATTTCCCTAGGTGAATGAGTGAGGAGAGGTGATGGTGAGTTAGCTATTACTGTGGTGTCCGTGGTTACCGTAGTTGTCGCGGTTACGCGGTTGCCCTGGCTGCAGGTGCTGGAGCGCTCGCGGGGCATGGTGGACGACGTGAACGTGTCCCTGCGACTGTGGGACACGTTCGGAGATCACCACAAGGACAGAAAGTTCGCTTATGGACGGTGAGCGCAAAGCACCACACCGCACACATAGCAGATGGAGCGTGCGCAGCATATGCAGCACATGCAGCATGTGCAGCATGACACAGCACATACAGCATGGCGCAGCACATACAGCATGGCGCAGCACATACAGCACAGCACGTACAGCATGACACAGCACGTACAGCACACGCAGCAGGCGCAGCACGTGCAGCATGACACAGCACATACAGCACACACATCACATACAGCACACACAGCACATACAGCATTACACACCATGTACAGCACATGGCGCACCACGACCAATGGTGGTGGTGATGTTGAGGCTATGGTTGGGGGTGCTGCGGTGTGTGGGGGTGTTGTAGTGGTGTGACATGGCGTGGTGTGACATGACACCGTGTGGTGTCACGCGGTGTGGTATGGAGGGTGGCCATGGTGGCTGTGTTCTTGTGGTGATGTGACATGATGTCGAGGGCGGATATGGTGGTGCGATGTGGTGTGGCGTGGAGGGCAGACATGGTGGTGATGGTGGTGTGATGTGTCATGCTGCCAGCTATGGCTGCAAGTTTGGTCGTACGTGCTATGTATTTCGTTAATTGTTAAATTTTGAATCACAGTTCCTATGATTACTGTTGTTACATTGTTTTTATAGCTTTATTTTGGTGATTGGAAAACATATGGTTAATTTAAATTGTCTTATGGTTGTTATTGTTGACTTGCACCACATTGGGATTTTTGCACACAGCGTTTTAATAAGTTTTTTTTATATTTGCTGGTTTATTCCAGGATGTTTCTGTTACGCGTCGTCGCTTTAAGATGTTCTGTGTTCATATTTTGTTTGTTGCGGTTGCACCCGACTTAAGAGCCGCATGGCTCACAGTGCTATACCTAATAAATGAACTTGAACTTGATGTGGTGTGGTGTGGCGTGGCATAGACGGTGGACTTAGTGGTAGTGGTGGAGTGACGCGGTGTGGTGTGCAGGGCGGGTGTAGTGGTGGTGTGATGTGGTGTGGTTTGGCGTGAAGGGCAGATGTGGTGGTGGTAGTGTTGTGGTGGTGTAACGCGGTGTGGCGTGCAGGGCGGACGTGGTGGTGGTGTGCTTCTCCATCGCGAGCCCCGTGTCCCTGGCGCACGTGCGCTCCGTGTGGATCCCCGAGGTGCGCCAGTTCTGCCCCCGCACGCCCATCCTACTGGCGGGCCTGCAGCTCGACCTGCGCTACGCCCACTTGGACACACTCAACCGCGCCCGCAGGCCCTTCTGCAAGTAAGGCATGGGGGGGACACGGGGGGACACGGGGGGGACACGGGGAACACGTGGGGGGAGATTCAGGGGTGGAGACATGGGGACGCGGGGGAGATCCGGGGAGACGCGGGGGGGACACAGAGTCACAGGACATGGGAATGTGGCTCTGGCTCTAATGTCTGTCAATGAGTCCACTTCTACATCCCTTTGTTTTGACATCCATCTGTGCATCCATCCGTACCTTCTTCTGTCCGAGTGCGCGTCTCCTGCCTGTAAATTTTCTATTCCATCCATTTCTTCTTCTGTCTCTCTCTAATTGTCCGTATTTCCTGACTGTCTATCTGTCTGTCTGCCAGTGCACGCATACACATGCTTGTGCTGGCCACCCACCCCCTCGTGTGCTGTGCCAGCCTGCATAGGTGCTGCTGTTCAGAACCAGCACTTGCCCGAACAGCCTGATAGAGACTACACCAGGGAGCTTTGTCTCCTTGTGCCTGTGTGCGCACGACGCAGGCCGTTGAAGCCGAGCGACCTGCTCCCCCCAGACCGGGGGAGGGAGGTGGCACGGAGTTTTGGGCTGCCCTACTACGAGGCCAGCGTGATGGCGGGGGGCGTGGGAGGCGCGGGGGGTGTGGTGGAGGAGGGGGCTGGAGCCCCCCAGCATCATGGGGTACGGGACATCTTCGACAACGCGGTGAGCGCACCGCTCGTTCACCCAGACACTCGCCCACTCGTGCACACACTCACCCAGACAACTGCCCACTCATACATATGCTCACCCAGACACTCAACCAGACACTCGCCCACTCGTGCATGCGCTTGCCCAGATACTCGCCCACTCCTGCACACGCTCATCCAGACACTCACGCAGACACTTACCCAGAAACTCACCCAGACACTCACCCAGACACTCACCCAGACACTCACCCAGACACTCACCCAGACACTCACCCAGACACTCAGACACTCGCCCACTCGTCAACACGCTCATTCAGACACTCATCCAGACACTCACGCCCACATATACATGCTCACCCAGAAACTCACCCAGACACTCGCCCACTCGTACACATGCTCACCCAGACACTCGCCCAGACATGGTGATGTTGATGGTGGTGATGGTGATGTTAGTGGTGGTGATGGTGATGTCGGTAGTAGTGATAGTGATGTGGGCGGTAGTGATGCTGATGTTGGTGATAGTGCTGGTAATGTTGGTGGTCAGGTTGGTGGTGGTGATGTTGGTGGTGGTGATGTTGGTGGTGATGATGTTGGTGGTGGTGATGTTGGTGGTGGTGTTGATGGTGTAGATCCGCGTTGCTCTTCTTGCTCGGCGAGGTCTCCACTTCTGGAAAACTCAGCTCAAGCGAGTGAGGCCTCCTCTTCTGCAGGTGAGGCCACACGGAGACCACATGGGGACACAAAGGGCACAACCCAGGTGGGACACAGGGGGGGACCCAGGTGAGGTTACACAGGGACACGGGGGACACTCAGGTGTGATAATGAGACATGGGGACACGGGAAGAGACACGGGGACAGCGAGACCTGAGTTTGATTGCCTTACGACCAACTGACAGGACTGGTGGCATAGTGCTGTGCCCCCTACTGTATTGAACAGAGGGTCACTTGAAAGGCTCTCGGAGATATGTCTGTGACGTCTACTTCTGCGGGCCAATCTATATCACAAGGGGATGCACGATCTCAAAACAACAATGCCGACGATCTCTCTGTTCGCAGGCGCCGTTCCTCCCCCCAAAGCCGCCTCGTCCCCATGTGGAGCCTCCTCCTCCTCTCCCCACGCCATCCGCCCTCTCCCCCCGTCCGTCTTTGTCTCCCTCGAACGGCGCCGCGACCGCCGTCACCTCGACGTCGTCTTCACCCTCCTCCTCTGCGTTAGAGGCGGAAGCGGCATCGTCCCTACCCTCGTTCCTGCTGACGGAGACCGCTGCCACGATGGTGGAGAGCGAGCGGGCCGCCGACGTGGTGTTCGAGGTGGCAGGCGAGCGGGTGTACGCGCACAAGGTGCGTGCGTGCACCTAGCCTGGCACAAAGCGCTGTGGTGACGTCACCCCCCCCACTGCTCGGTGGCGGATGACAGCCGCTGATGCTCTTGTTGTGAGGCTCAATGTGTGTCTCTTTTGTGCGGGGAGCGGTGGCGCAATGGTTAGCGCGCTGCACTATGAACCCTCCGACCCGAGTTCTAAACTATTTTTTATAAACTAACCTAATTTTATTCTACCAGGTATGGCCCACTCAGCTATATTGCTCTATTTCAGAAGCGACCTGGCCACAACATTTTAGCTCGACGAAGTGGCTTATCACGTGGAAATTTATAGCAGCCAAACACTCTAAATGTATCTTGATTATAAATTTGGAGGGAAAAATGTACGCGATCACAGGGAAAATATGCATATTCCAAATATACAGTCATCAGGGTCGGGATCAAACCAACGACCTCCTGTATACAAGGCGAGGTAGTTAACATCTCGCGGTCAATACCAGTGACAATTATCTGAACTGATTCTCGGCCTCCTCTAGGTCGACTCGCCCTCAAATGTGTACCTGGTACAATTTATAACCATCGCCACTAGGGAGACAAAGGCGGCCGGGCATGATCCTGACCACCACCCATCTCTTTGGGTGCCGTGCCGGCCTTTATAGGTGCTACTCCGCTTACAGAACTTGCCCCACCAGTCCGTTCAGACTATACAGGAGATCTTTGTGTGCATAGCTGTAAGTGTGGTACAATTCCTTGTGTGGTTGTGTGCGTGTGTTCACATGCACGTGGTTTCAAACTTAATTGAAACCCCAGCAAATTCAACAGACCGGTCATTGCAAGGCAGCGCACCCTAGTGAACCCCTGGTAGACGGGAGAGAGATTGATCCATGATACACGAATTCACAATTTATCTCAGACAATTGCAAGTTCAAGTATGAACCCATGTTAAGCAACCAAGCAGAGGTGCTTGTAGGGGTATAAATTAGAGGGGGGAACACAGCGCACGTAGATTGCCCCCACTGTTTCAGAGTTGTGGTGGGAGGTGTGGGGGGTGGAGTTAATGCAGCGCGTGTTGTGTTTGTCGTGCACGAGCATCACACGGCAGGTCTTCCTCGCCATGGCCTGCTCCAAGTTTCAGGAGCTTTTCACCAGCGAATTGGCTAATCAGATCGCGGCACAAGATGGCTACCAGGGTACCAACGATGCAGGAGGAGACGGAGCGCATGCCCAGGATGGAGGTAGCGAGCTCAAAGGTTCATGAACTCGCGGCGATAATGCCCGTTGACCATGGGGCGCTTGCGTGTGGGATGGGATGGTGGGTGGGTGGGGTGGGATGGTGGGTGGGTGGCGTGTGCTGGGTTTCGTGGGAGGGAAGGGTGGGCTGGGTTGGTTGGGAGGGTGGAGTGGAGTGGAGTGGGTGGGTGGAGTGAGGGGTGGATGGGGTGGGTGGGATAAGGTGGGTGCATGCTGTGTGGTAGCTACCTGTAACATCTGCGCCAGTTAGAAACATTCAGGCTGGCATATGTACAATCCATCCTGAGTTTAACCAGGCTGGATTGTGTGAGGAGCTCACAAATCCTTGAAAGATCTCGACACATTCCTATCAGGAAAGTCCGGCAAACAAGGCTGCGTTGCCTGGGTCATATAGCCCGCATGCCCAACCCACTGCATGCCCAAACAGCTTCTGTTTGGCCGCATATAGGGGGCTAAACGGGCACGACATGGGCTGGAGAAGAGATAGACTGATGCGGTACGGGAGGATTTGAAGCTGAGTGGGCTTGTTGACGACTGGTCACTGGTACCAGTGATGTCAAGATCGGCCTCTATGGAGGAGGCTCGTGAAGGACACTACTGGGCGGATGGAGGGAGTTGGCCTCCAACAACAACATTCACAACAACAAACCAAGCCCCGGGCGGATAAAATGCAGCAGGTTGGCACATTAGGGGGTACAGCTGGTGCATCTACCAGTCATCTCAGTCAGCCAACCTATGGCACCTCGGTCTGTCCTGAGACCTCCTGTAAACGAGCCTTCGACACTTTACGTGGCCTCAAAGTGCACCTGGCCTGGCACAGGCGCCGTGGTGACGTCACCGTCACTTCGTGGTGAATGGCAGGTATTGGGGTGGAAGGGAGGGGTGGGTGCACGGCCAGGCGTGGTGCTGGCCGCTCCCCTCCTCGTGTACCATGCCGGCCTTCATAGGTTTGTTTGTCTTTGTGCATGCACGTGTGCACCTACCGCCAAAGTGCACCTAGCCTGGCACAACCACCATGTTGTTAAGTGTCGATTGCATATGTTTGTGTGTGTTTGTGCATTTGCATACGCACCTACATGCCCGTGTACACGTGCGCACGCGGGTACGTGTACACACATACTGCACATTGGTTATCCACGGACATGTGGTCCGCGTTCGCTCGCGCCCACAGACGGCGCCAGCAGCCACGCGCGTCCCAGCGGGAGAGACCCGCACTGGAGCCGCGCCATTGTGAACGTTCGCCAAGAGATGGTGGACAATGGCTTCTACCAACAGCAGCAGCTGCAGCTTGGTGCAAAGTCCCGGTGAGCGGTGCCATCAGGAAAAACGCTCAGTGATCACACGGAGGAGTGATGCTGCGTAAAATTGGCGTCTCGCAAACAATATTATTCACAATAAAGGGCTTTTTTTTTTTGGTTAGATCGTGTACATACAAATGTGTCGTTAACCCGCCACAACCCGACACAGCCCAATTAGTTTGTCACAATTCTGGCAAAATAGCGCGACGGTGCTGGATGTAATTACCAGTGAAATGTCACGGTACTCAAATTGTAAATGTTGTGGATTTACTCCAACACACCGGTGAGCTGAAGTAGTAACTAATTGGCACGTTTTGTGACAAACCTTATACATTTATACTAACGCGATCTAACCCAAAAAAACCTTCATCACGGTTGCGGAGTACTGACCCAACGTCAAGTGGACTACAACACTGCCCGTGTCCCCGAGGGTGCCACAGTGGTGAGATGTTAACTACCTCACCTGGTATGTAGGAGGTCGTGGGTTCGATCCCGACCTTCACGTCTGTATATTTGGAATTTCTATGTTCTCCCGGTGGTCGCGTGGATTTTTCTCTGGCTCCTCCGGTTTTTCCCTCCATTTAGAAACATGCGTTTAGAGTATTTGGCTGCGATACATTTCCACATAGACCACTTCATTCAGCAAATCATCTCTGTGCCCACACGTCTCTGTGTGTCCCTGTATCCACGTGTCTGTCGGTGTCCACACATTTCTCCGTGTCCACATGTATCTTTGTGTCCATGTCTCTCCATGTCGCTGTGTTCACATGTCTCTCCGTGTCCACGCGTCTGTCCGTGTCCCTCTCTCTTTGCCCGTCACGCCCCCAGGCACCGCCTCGTGGTGTCGCTGGGCTCCTCGTTCCCACTCGACGCGTTCCTCACGACGCTTCACTTCCTCTACACGGGGGAGCTGCGCGATGAGGAGGCGTGGGCGCGCGGCTGGGACGCCCTCGACGATGGCGGCGACGACGCCCACGAAGATGACACTGATGACGGTGATGGAGGAGGAGGAGGCCATGGAGACATCGATACAGGAGGGGGAGGCGATGGGGATGGGGGCAGCGGTGGTGGCGATGATAATGATGACGACAACGATGATGATGATGGGGAGATGTTCAGAACGAACCGCAGGATGTTCCATCGGCGCTACTCATCCCGATGGCACAGGTGAGAGGAGTGCAGTGGCGATGGTGGTGGTGCCATTGATGGTAATGGTGATACCGGTCATGTTGCTGCTGCAGATGATGATGATCCTGTGGCCGATTAGAGTGCTGATTACGTAGCTACTCATGCTGATGCTGCTGATGAGTATGGTGCTGCTGCTGCTGATCAGGGTGTTGACCACGCAACTACGAGTGCTGATGCTGCTGCTGATGATGCCGATGACCGCCCTGCCCATGCAGACCCATCGACAAGGAGGTGGCACGCACACGGAGAGGCTTGGGGGCACAGGGGGACTCGGGGGTCGGGTGTGTGGGGGGGGGCGTCGGGCTCAGTGGGATCGGGCCCCCCACCCTACACGGACAGCTGCTGTCAGGTGACCCTTCACCCCTTCACGCACCTCCACTGCTCACTCTGTGCGTTCCGCCTGTGCCTATGTGCGTTGTATGTATGTATGTATGTTGAACTTCCTTCGCACTGTACATAGTACAACCGTGCTGATTGGAGGTGCGGGGGGAATGACAACAAACTAAACGCAAAAAGCAGTTCTACAGAAATTAGCTTTCAGTCGAGATGATCTAAAAGTGCATAGCTTCAGTGGCTTCCTTACATCGGAAGGAAGAGCGTTCAAGACGGCCGCAGAAGCACAACTGAAAATGCGCGATGCGGTGACCATCTTTGTTCTATGGTTAGCCAAAAGCCACTGCTGGGAGGATGAACCGAGTTTTCGTAATGGTGAATGCTCCTTGATGAGATCAGCAAGATATTGCAGCGTTTGCGATGAGGAGCAGTGGCACAGTGGTTAGCTCTGCACTGCGCTATGAACCCAGAGACCCGAGTTCGATTTCCCTCTCGTGACTAATATCAGTGACAATTATTTAAACCGGTCTTGGACCTCACCTAGGTCGACTCAGTCTCAAATACTCATTTGATTATGATGCTGCTGCTGAATTATCATCATGGTGCAGTGTGTAAACATCAGCACTGGGGAGACAAAGGCGGATGGGCGTGGTGCTGGTCACCCACCCCATTATGTGCTGTACCAGAACGTCATAGGTGCTACTCACTAACAGCACTAACCCCTACAGTATGTTAAAGGCTACACGGGGGACATTTGTCTTTATGTGTGCGATGGAGCGGGAGTTCAGCGGTTGGCGCGCTGTGCTATGAACCTGGCGACCCGAGTTCAATTTCTGCTCATGGCCAACACCGGTGACGATTATCTGAATCAATCCTGGGCCTCCCCTAGGTCGACTCAGCCTCAAATGAGTACCTGGTACGGTGTGTAAACATCTCCACTGGGGAGATAAAGGCGGCCGGGCGTGGTTCTGGCCACCCACCCCCTCGTGTGCTGTTGCCGGCCTTCATGGTGCTACTCGCTAACAGCACTTGTCCCAGCAGTCTGTTAAGGCTACACGGGGGATCTTCATCTGTGTGTGCGTGATGAACAGATCTGGAGCGGCGCGTGGTGCGACGCGTCTCGGCGCTGCGCTCCGTGGCCGCCGTGGCCGAGGCGCTGGAGGTGTTCGACCTCCGCGTCATGGTGGGCAACGAGCTGCAGAGCGAGGCCTTCATGAACACCGAGGTCACACGCGCCTTCCACACGCGGCGCGCCAACCGTCTGCGCGACCTGCTGGCACGCGGCACGCTCGCCGGTACACGCACACACACACGTGCACACACACACACGTGCACACACACACACGTGCACACACACACGTGCACAGACACACAGGTGCACACACGCACACACACGTGTACACGAGCGGAGCCAACGCAGCGACCCGAGTTCGATTCCTGGCCAATGACTAACATCAGTGATATCTGAACCAATCGTGGACCTCCCCTCGGTGTGAAAAACATAAGCACGTGGGAGGTAAAGGCTGGGCACCTCACCCCCCTCCACCACGTGCCGCGCCGGTGTTAACAGATGCTCGCTAACAGCGTGTGCTGTGTGCTGTGTGCGTGCGGGGTCGCGTGAGTAGACGTGGTGTTCCGCACAGACAACGGGCTGGTGCCTGCTCACAAGCCCCTGCTCATCCCCAGCTGTGAGTGGATGGCTGCCATGTTCAGTGGAGCCTTCATAGAGAACTTCCAGGATGAGGTGAGGGCACTTGGAAGGTGGCGACGGTGGCGGTCGACATAATTGCGGTGGTGGTGGTTGTGATGGTAGAGGAATTGTGGTGTTGATTATGATTGTTGTGACGATAGTTGTGTTGTTGTATCAGTGTGCGTGTGCCACTGTGAGGAGCGGTAGTGCATCGGTGAGCTATGAACTTGATGACCCGAGTTTGATTCCCGCTCACGGCTATCAACACCAGTAACGATTATCCGATAAGTCTTGGGCCTCCCCCAAGTTGACTAAGCCTCAAATGAGTACCTGGCACGGTGTGTAACATCGCCTCCGGGGAGATAAAGGCGGCCGGGCGTGGTGCTACCACCCACCTCCTCGTGTCCCGTGCTGGCCTTCACAGGTGCTACTACTCGCTAACAACACTTGCCCCAACAGTCTGTTAAGGTTATTTACGCGGGGGCGGGATGGGGGGATGGGATGGCTCTTTTGCCTTTTGTGTGCCACCATAGGTGCGCCTCCCCGGCACGTCGCGTGCGTGCGTGCGCGCGCTTCTGGAGTACCTCTACACACGCCACGTGACCGTCTCCCACGAGCTCAACCTCATGGAGCTCATCGGCATGGGAAACCGCCTCTGCATGGCCCGGCTCGTCCACCTGGCAGGTGCGAGTCTCTCGCAGAAGCAGAAGCAGCAACAGCAGCAGCCACGATGGTGGCTCCTGTACATGGTCACCTGTAGTGATCTAGCACTGTTGTGGAGGCAGCAGTGAGGGTTGGTGGGATCACCGCACAGATGTTGTTGTGAAATTCCCTTCCTGTGGGTGGGCATCGAGGATGCGGTGCAGCAAATGTGGACTCCACCTGTTCCGTCTGTACAGGGATAGAGCGTATTCCCCTCGCATGCATGGGTTTTTCTCCGGATGCTCCAGTTTCCTCTCCACATGTTAGCACTCGTTAATTGTCCAATACCAACTTGATATATATATATATATAGAGGACTGCAGAGCTTGGGCAATTGTTGGCACCGGCTCCTCAACACCTGGCAGTTGCCTATCTGCTTGTGTGTGGTTCCTCACACCTCTAAGTCTTCGTTCTCTCTACTAGAGTGAGCTGATATTGTGCGGTGCGTTACAAGTTGATATTATGATGATTATTATCAGCATAAGTAGGCTACATGGGCGATATTTGTCTCGATTTTACATCCCTGTGTTTGTAAAATTACTGGACATCTGTGAAAAAGAGCTTCATAGCTCATCGGATTCCTCCAGTCTCAATAAAGATTCTGCTTTTAGCGCTGCGCTACAAACCCGGCCTACATAAGTTCAATTCCTGCTCACAGCCAACATTAATTCCCGCTGACAGGCAACACTAGCCTTAAATGAGTACCTGGTGCGGTGTGTAAAACATCAGCACTAGGGAAACAAAGGTGGCCGGGCGTGGTTGTTGGCCATCCAGCCCCTCGTATCCCGTATGGCCATCATAGGTGCTAATCGCTAATAGCGCTTGCCCCAACAGTTTTAACTATAAACTATTTTATTTTACCAGGTAAGGCTCACTGAGATATATAGCTATTTTTTCAGAAGCTCAACGAAATGGCTTATCGTCATGTGGAAATTTATAGCAGCCAAATACTATAAACGCATATTTATAAATGTGGAGGGGAAAAACCGGAAAACCCAGAGAAAAATCCACATGACCACACAGAGAACCTGCAAACTCCAAATGTACAGGCGTCAGGGTCGGGATCGAACCCACGTCCTCCTGTATACCAGGCGAGGTAGTTAACATCTCGCCACCGTGGTACCCAGTTTGTGAAGGCTAAATGGGAGATATTTGTCTCTTTGCTTGTGCGTTGTTCCGTCGGTTAGAGTTCCACATGGTGCGCCGACTGGAGGCCTTGTTGGACGCCAACAAAGACATAAACCGTGAAGTGCTCATCTCTCTGGAGCTCACCCAGGTGAGGTCTCAACATTCCTCACACCTCCACATATTTCCCCGCACCTCCACATACTTTCCCATACCTCCACATACTTCCTCGCTCCCCCACATACTGCCTGTGTCTTTGTGTGTATTTGTGTACATGTGGGTATATCTATGTGTATCTATCTATGTGTTTCTGTATGTATCCATGTGTGTGTGTATCCATGAAAAAAACAACCCCTTACTTCCTTGGAGATACCGGATGGTAACGCTGTGGTGGATGTGAGCAAAATCGGCTATACCCCTTCATGGCGCTTGTAGTGAGCCACCAAAGCGACCTAATGGGGGCTCTGGATGGATACGAGGGGCTAGTAACCCCTCCACCTTCAATTAAACTACCACTAAACTACGTTAAAAATATTGAACGAAGCATGTGGCGGAGGTCCCAGGGGGACAGGAGTCTATGACATATCTTGCCCCATCCACATTTGGCGGAGCGAAGAGACTGAATTCTTATCCTCAGGGTTCCTCCAAAAACAGCAAAAAGCCACTGCGGGTGGCTACGTGGAATGTTTGAACACTCACTGCGGAGGAGAGGCTGCCACTCCTCTGTTGGGAGCTGGACTGGTACCGGCTGGATCTCTGCGGTATTCAGGAGGTCTGGTGGACTGGCTCTGGCTTCTGCCACCATGAGGGGTGGACAGTCCTCTATTCAGGGCAGGAGACTGTCAAAAAATAGGGAGTGGCTCTTCTTCTGAACAAAAGAATGACGGGGGTGTGGGAGCATGGCAGTGAGGTGTGGGAAGCTGTAAGCCCCAGGCTACTGTGGGCCTGCCTTCCCATCAACCAGAGGCAAGGGGTGGTGGTGGTGATTACGGATGCCTTATATATATGACTTTCTGTCACAGGTGCTAGCTAAAATGGCCCCTCAGAAAAGAGTCATCCTATTGGGTGACTTAAATGCCTGAGTGGATCATAATGCTGGCACCTGGTCTGGAGTGATTGGAAGACATGGGTCAGATCAGCTCCATAACAACTTTTGTGCAGATCATGTGGGACCTCATTTGCCAGTACCAAAATATGAGACTAGGTTTTCCCCTTTTTTATGGCAAGAAAACAGGTGTTGAGATGTTAAAACACCAAACTGAAACCTTTTACAAGGAATTATGTCTGCATTAACCACAATACTTGTCAGAATGCTAAAAAAAACATACTCTGAAAAAAGGGGAAAACCTATTCTCATATTTTGGTACTAACAAAGGTAGTTGCTCACCCCGAGCTCTCATTACTCTGATAGTGCGTTGCCTTTGTGCTGTACACCTTTTGGCGTCCTCTGATCTAACACAGTTTTGAGACTAGGCTCAAAATAAAGCAGTTTCTGATGTGGACCAATCAGTTTCAAAGACAATGCATATATTATCAGTGTATGTTTTTTGTTTGCATTCTGACCACAAGTATTGTGGTTAATGCAGACATGATTCCTTGTAAAAGGTTTCAGTTTGGTGTTTTAACAAAACACCTGTTTTGTTGCCCGAAAAAAGGGGAAAACCTCTTCTCAACTTTTGTGCACCCAATGGGCTTGTAATTACCAAACATGCTGTTCCGGCATCGGCGCATCCAGACAACATCAAAGATGCACGCTTCGTCCAAGCAAGAACATCTTCTGAACTATACCGTGATGGAACAGCGGATGCAGGGCCATGTCCTTGACACCAGGACCGACCATGGAGCTGATCTGCCCACTGACCATCAGCTTGTCATCTGTGAGATGCACCTGCCATGCTTCCACTCCGGTAGTCGGTGTACATCCAGGACCCCAATGAAACCCACAGTGGCCTGCTCTCAGATAGCTGATAAAAGTTGCACCGAAAATATCATCATCGCTTGCAGCTGGGGTTGGCATCGTCCCCCCCTTCTTCTGATGCTGAGGGGAAATGGGTGAGGTTTAGGGAATTCCAAGAGGACCTACATCACTGTTTTATTGACCTGGTCAAGGCCTATTATACCATCAGTAGGCCTGGGCACTGGGTTGTTCTTCATGCTTTCAGAGTCCCTGACTCGGCTCACAATCATTATGGACCTTCATGATGGTGGGCAGGCCCAAGTAAAACCACGTGGCCAGGAGTCAGAGCAATTCCCTGTTCACCTTGGGGTGCGACAGGGATGCCCTCTGGCTCCCAAATGAGTTCACATCTATTTTGACCACATAGTTTGTGAAGCCTTCGATGGCTGTACTAGAGCAGTTGTGGAGAAAGTGGAGAGTTTTACATACCTGAGCAGCGTGCTTATGACCGGCTCCAGTTTAACAGCAGAGGTCTCACTCCAAATCAGTCGAGCATTATCTTTTTATCAGCTGCTTAATGCTGTGTAGAAGCGACTTGGTCTGTTACTCCATGCGAAGCTCCGGGTCTTCTCGACCACGGTCATACCCTCCCTTCTCAATGCTTGCGAAACGTGGACCTGGTGTTAACCAGGCTGGATTGTGTGAGGAGCTCACAAATCCTTGATAGATCTGGACAAAGTCCCATTGGTGAGCTCCTCCGGCAGGCAAGGCTGCGTTGGCTTGGGTCATGTAGCCCAGCCCGTGTGCCCAACCACTGCATGCCTAAACAGTTGTTGTTCAATATGGGACCTTCCTTGCCAGTATCAAAATATAAGAATAGGTTTTACCCTTTCTGGCAATAAAACAGGTGCTAAGATGTTAAAACACCAAACAGAAACATGTTGCAAGGAATCCTGTGTGCATTAACCACACATACTTGTGGTTAATTTGCAAACAAAAACATGCTCTGATAATATATGCATTGTCTTTGAAACTGATTGGTCCACACCAGAGACAGCTTTCTTTAAAGCCTAGTTTCAAAGGGTTAGACCAGAGAATGCCAAAAGGCAAACAGCACAAAGACAATGCACTATCAGGACATTCATAGCTCAAGGTGAGCAACTACAATATGGGACCTTTCTTGCCAGTATCAAATATATACAAAGAGCGGCGCGCCGGGTGGCTAAAACACAGCAGTGCATCTGCCAGCCATCTCCGTCAGTACACCCATAGCACCTGGGTCTGTCCTGTGACCTCCTGCCAGCAGGCGTTCAATGCTTCACGTGGCCTTAACGTGCACATATCCTCGCACAAGTGCCATCGTGATGTCACCGCCGCTTAGTGGTGAATAGTGGTTGTTGTTTTTGTTGTGTATCCGTGTGTATCTATGTGTCTTTGTATGTATCTGGATATATATATTTGTGTGTATCTATATGTGTCTGGATGGGTCTTTGTATGTATCTGTGTATATCTGTGTGTGTGTGTGCGTGTATGTATCTGCATGTATCTGTACATGTCTATGTGTGTATGTATCCATGTCTGTGTGCATCCGCGTATATCTGTGTGTCTATATATGAATTTGCATATATATGTGTGTGCATGCATCCGCGTGTATCTGTACATGTCTGTGTGTATCTGTATGTATCCGCGTGTATCTGTACATGTCTGTGTGTGTGCGCGTATCTCTGTGTGTGCAGCTTCACAATGCTGAGCGGTTGGCTGGGTGGTTGCGTCACCACGTTTGCACCAACTTCAACACCGTGTGCCGCGAGTATCCTGTCAAGATGATGAAAATGTCTGCCGGTGAGCCGATCCGATAGTGTCAGTGCATGTGTGAGTATGTGTGCGCGCAACGCCATGCCTATTACCATCAATAGGGGAAAGAACGGTGATCCAATCTCCGACCCCCAGGAACAAGTTTGCAGATTTGCTGAGCATTTCTGTGAGGTCCTGGGGGAGGGGGAATCCCTCAGCCTGGAAAACATTATGGGACAAAGAGGGGAATGACCCTGCTGAGGCTGCGGTGCCTCAAATATTGGAGGAGGAAGTCACTCCCAGTGAGTGGCTGGCTGAGGTGCCATCCGTTGAGGAAGTACTGAAGGCGATCCAGAGTCTGAGACCAGGAAAGGCACCGGGCAGAGATGATCTCCCAAGCGAAATGCTGAGGGAGGGTGGCGTTTGTACGCAGAGTGCCCTACATGACATCATAACAACAGTCTGGGCCACTGGACGGGTTTCGCAGGATTTGAAAGGATGCCCTGGTGGTCCCCCTCTTTAAGAAGGGGGACCGCACAGACTGTAACAACTACAGGTGCATCTCACTCCTCAGTGTGCCGGGAAAGGTCCTGGCAAGGATTATTCAACATCGCCTTGCTAGGCACGCTGAGGAGAGGCTTGCGGAGCCCCAATGCGGTTTCAGGAAAGGGCGGTCCTGCGCAGATGCCATATTTTCTGTCCGTCTGCTACAGCAGAGGTATAGGGAATTCCAACAAGACCTACATCTCTGCTTCATTGACCTGGTCAAGGCCTATGATACCATCAGTAGGTCTGGGCTCTGGGTTGTTCGTCATGCTTTCGGAGTCCCTGACCCTCTGCTCACGCTCATTAAGGACCTTCATGATGGTGAGCAGGCCTGGGTAAAACTACGTGGCCGGGAGTCGAGCCATTCCCTGTATACCTTGGGGTGCGACAGGGATGTCCTCTGGCTCCAACATTATTTAACATCTATTTCGACCACGTAGTTCATGAAGCCTTCAGTAGCTGTACCGGAGGAATTTCCATCTGGTACAGATATAATGGGAGGCTGATCGATGCCTGGGTGCGGTCAAGCGATGGCTCCCTATTGGTCAACCACGTTATGTATGCCGACGACGTGAAACTGGAGTGTGCCACTAAGAGGTGTGGGGCCTTACCATCAGCCCCACCAAAACGAAGCACCTGCCTGGGTATTTTGTACCATCGGACACTCCACCCCTACAACTCCCAATCGGTGATGAGGCAGTTGTGGAGAGAGTGAAGAGTTTCCCATACCTGGGCAGTGTGCTCATGACTGGCTCCGGTTTAACAGTAGAGGTCTCACTCCGAATCAGTCGAGCGGCATTATCTTTTCATCAGTTGCGTAATGCTCTGTGGAAGCTACCTGGTCTGTCGCTCCGTGCAAAGCTTTGGGTCTTCTCGGCCACAGTCATTCCCTCCCTTCTCTACGCTTGCGAAACGTGGACCCCCCTAATGGGACATCTTTTGCCGGTTAGAAACATTTAGGCTGGCCTACCTACGATCAATCCTGGGTTTAACCAGGCTGGATTGTGTGAGGAGCTCACAAATCCTAGAAAGATCTGGACAAAGTCCCATCGGTGAGCTCCTCCGGCAGGCAAGGCTGCGTTGGCTGGGCTATGTAGACCGCATGCCCAATCAGCTTTTGTTCGGCCAGATCTAGGGGGCTAAACGGGCGCGGCACGGGCTAGAGAAGAGATGGAGTAATGTGGTACAAAAGGATATAGAGCTGAGTGGACTTGCCGATTACTGGTACCAGCGGTGTCAAGATCGGCCTCTGTGGAGGAGGCTCGTGAAGGACACTACTGGGCAGGTGGAGGCAGTTGCCCTCCAACAACAACAGAGGGCGGAGGAGCTACGCTCACAACAACAAGCAGAGTGCCGGATGGCTAAAGCACAGCAAGTTGGAACGGTAGGGGGCACAGGTGGTGCATCAGCCAGTCATCTCGGTCATCTCAGTCAGTCGACCCGTGGCACCTGGGTCTGCCCCGTGACCTCCTGCCAGCGGGCGTTCGATACTTCACGTGGCCTCAAGGTGCACATGGCCTGGCACAAGTGTCGTGGTGACGTCACCGCCACTTAGTGGTGAATCGCCATTGTTGCTGTTGTTGTGAGTACATATGTGTGTGTGTCGAGCGGTAGTGTAGCGGTTAGCTCACTGCGCTACTAACCCAGCGACCCGAGTTCGATTCCCACTCACGGGCGACACCGGTGACAAAATTATCTGAACCAGTCCTGAGCCTCCCCTCGGTATACTCCGCATCAAATGAGTACTTGGTGCAGTGTGTAAACATCAGCACTGGGGAGACAAAGGTGGTAGGGAGTGGTGCTGGCTACCTACCCCCTGTGTGCCATTGTGGCCATCATAGGTGCTCGCTTCCAGCACTTTCCCCAACAGTCTGTTAAGGCTATATGGGGGATCTTTGTGTGTATGTGTGAGAGAGAGGCGAGGAATGGTGGTGGTGGTTGCTTATGCCCCCACTGCAGATGAACATCAATGGAGGGATGCAGACAAGGCCGATGAGTCAGACACCTTCGAAAATCTCCTATCCCAGGTGCTAGCTAAAGTGGTCCCTCAGGATAGAGTCATCCTGTTGGGTAACTTTAATGCCCGAGTGGGTCATGATGCAGACACCAGGGCCGGAGTGATTGGAAGACATGGGCCAGATCAGCTCAATAATAATGGTAGAAGGCTGCTCGACTTCTGTGCTGCTCAGGGGCTTGGAATTACCAACACGCTCTTCTGGCATCCACGCATCCACACATCATGGATGCACGCTGGGTACAAGCAAGAACATCTGCTGGACTACATTGTGATGGAAAAGCGGATGTGGCACGATGTACTTGACACCAGGACCTACTTGGAATTCCCTCAGCCCAGACAACATCATGGGGCAAGGTGAGGATGACCCTGTTGGGGTTGCCGTCCCTCACATATTGGCAGAAGTAGCCACCCCTTCTGAGTGGTTGGCTGAGGTGCCATCTGTGGAGATAGTACAAGGGACAATCAATAGTCTTAGACCAGGACAAGCACCGGGCAGAGATGATCTCTCAAGCAAAATTCTGAGGGAATGTGGCATATATGCGCAGACTGCCCTACATGACATCATCACCACTGTCTGGACCACAGGATGGGTTCCAAAGGATTGGAAGGATGCCCTGGTGGCCCCCCTCTTTCAGAAGGGGGACCGCACAGACTGTAGCAACTATAGGGACATCACCCTCCTCAGTGTACCGGGAAAGATTCTGGCAAGGATTATTCAACATCACCTTGCCAGGCACGCTGATGAGAGGCTTATGGTACCCCAATGTGGTTTCAGACCAGGGCGGTCCTGCATGGATGGCATTCTCTGTCCGTCTGCTGCAGCAGAGGTGTAGCAAATTAAAAGAGGACCTACATCACTGCTTTATTGGCCTGGTCATGGTCTATGATATCATCAGTAGGCTTGGTCTCTGGGTTGTTCTTCATATTTTCAAAGTCCCTGACTCTGCTCACAATCATTATGGCCAGGAGTCAGAGCAATTCCCTGTTCACCTTAGGGTGCGACAGGGGTGTCCTCTGGCTCCCACATTATTTCACATCTAATTCGACCATGTAATTCGTGAAACCTTCGATGGCTGTACTGGAAAAATTTCCATCTGGTACAGGATGGCTGCCTATTGGTCAACCATGTTAGGTATGCTGATTATCTGTTGATTGCTACTCACTCAGAGGAGGAGTTGGAGGCGCTGCTGCTGAACCTGGAGTGTGCCACTCAGCTCCCCATTGGTGATGGAGCAGTTGTGGAGAGAGTGGAGAGTTTCCCATACCTGGGCAGTGTGCTTTATGACCAGCTCCGGTTTGACAGCAGAGGTCTCACTCCGAATCAGTCAGGTGGCATTATCTTTTCATCAGCTACGTAATGCTGTGTGGAAGCTACCTGGTCTGTCACGCCGCACAAAGCTTCGGGTCTTCTCGGCCACAGTCATGCCCTGCCTTCTCTATGCTTGTGAAATGTGGACCATCTGCGCTGGTGAGAAACATTCAGGCTGGCCTGCCTACAATCCATCCTGAAAGATCTGGACACATTCCCTTCAGTGAGCTCCTTCAGCAGGCAAGGCTGCGTTGGCTAGGTCATGCCGCCCACATTTTTATTTAACCAGGTAAAAATACCTTGAGGTTAAAAATATATTTTACGAGGGAGACCTGGCAACCACCGCATGCCCAAGCAGCTTTTGTTTGGTCAGATAGAGGGGACTAATTGAGCACGACATGGGCTGGAGAAGAGATGGACTAATGCGGTATGGGAGGATGTGGAGCTGAGTTGACTTGCCAAAAACTGTTTGTCTCGCAGAGAATATGGCGGTGTTCGAAGCGGGCCGCTGGCCACCCGTGTGGTACCTGAAGGAGGAGGATTTCTTCATGCGCGCGGCTCGTGAGCGCGAAAGCCAGGAGCACACTGCGCCCAAGACTCGCCCCGCCTACCGCTTCTGCTTCTGGACCCTGGGGGCCCGCGGGTCACACCACGCCAGCCAGGACTCCCTGCTGCAGTGAGCAGAGATGGGGTGGAGAGGGGCGAAGACAAGGGAGAACGAGGAAGAGTGGGAGAGGGGTAAGCCTTGCCCTCTGTTGCTAGTCTAGCGGGCAAGCGCATTCACCGCTCGTTGCAGAGGCTCGCGGTTGGAGTCCCAGAGGCTGCCCCGGTTAATACTGCGCCATCCGCTTCACAGTGGATGGTAAAGACCCCCTGATGGCATTTGAAGAAGAGTAGTCATAATAGTAGGTCAGTGTATGCCGGCGCGACAGTCCAAATTAGAAAAATTACAAATGACTACCTTTGTAAACGTACGGCAACTGTCACCCTCGACCGCAACAACTTTGCGGGATGCCTCCACTGCAATGAGCTCGAGATCACCTCTCCACAGGGTGCTCGGCCTACTCTTTTGCACTGGCCAGACATGTTGGAATATGCGGGAGTTACCCACGCTTTACCCCACCACTCACGACCTGTTGGCCAACTAACTGTGTGGTTGGGCTCATTTATGCTGCTGGGTGGACAGAGGCGGCATGGGGATGAGAGGGGTGTGGGGTGGAATTGAAGAAACTTGTTTCAACTGCGGTGCCAGGAATGGAACTGGCCTCCTGGATCACAACTCAAGTGTGACGACCATGACACCAGAGCAGCGTCCTCACTCGACTGGTTATCGATTCGTTGCAGTATTGCTTTACGTATCTATGGGCCCTTTTTGCTAGTATAAAAAAATGATGAAAAATAAGAAGAGGTTTTACCCTTTCTGGAAATAAAACAGCAGTTGTGTTAAGATGTTGAAACATCAAATAGACACCTTTTTCAAGGCATCAAGTCTTCATTAACCAAACATGTGGAGAAACATGCAAACAAACATGCTATAATCATATATGCATTGTCCTTGAAACTGATTGGCCTACACCAGAGACAGCAGCCTTCTTTTATGGCCTTGTCTCACCAATGTGTTAGACCAGAGAACGTCAAAAGTCGGAAAGCAATGCAAGTATCAGAACACTTATAGCTCTGGTCGAGCAGTTATATCTATGGCACCTGTTTCCCACTATCAAAAGATGTTTTTAAAAAGAGCTTTTACCCTTTCTTGCAATAACGTTATTACGCATTCAATGTAAAAGTGATGCGTAATTCCCATCTTATTAACACTTTAACGAGTCAGCATGCTGCTCGACTGGAAGCACTGATTTTGAGTCCAAAAAGTTATAAATCCGCCATGGTGACTTGGCTCACGCGAAGGGTTAAATTAACTTAGGGCCACGCTAAATACCCTACGTTCTTTAACTTTACCGCACTTTTGAAATGTCTAGTGACAGGATCGCGCGGTGTTTTAAATGTGTAATATATAGGAAAATATAGAGATTTCCCGACAGCGGTGGTGATGATGAAAAGGGCGATGGTGTGAATTATTAATGACAAACCAACGCAACAACATTTCCAAAACCGTCAACATTTCTCGATCATCCACATTTCTGTATCCGCGTTGTATTTATCCGTAGAGATATATACATATGTGTTGTGTATGTATACTAACTGATACATACATATTTGTATGCTAAATGAGATCTATAAATACTTGATGAGTTGTTTTTTTGTTTGTTTTAGCAGCCTCTGACCAAATCACACGGAACGAGCCGGGTCTCATGATCTAGGAAGCCAAGCATGGTTGACTATAGGTAGCACTTGTATTTGGATGGCAAACCATGCATATCAAGTTGTCATAGGTGGCTGCCACGCAGGGCTAACAGCAGCAGCAGAGGGTGGTGCAGCAACATCCAACATCCCCCTTGTGGTACTCTATTAACGAACTACTAACTCAACATTTTTTAATTTTACCAGGTAAGGCCCACCGAGCTCTTTAGCTCTTTTTCAGAAGCGACCTGGCCACAAATGATAGCTCAACGAAGTGGCTTATCACAAAGAAATGTATAGCAAGCCAAATACTCTAAAACACATGTTTGTAAATGTGGAGGTTAAAACCGGAGGATCCAGAGTAAAATCCACGCGACCACGGGGAGAACAAGCAAACTCCAAATAGACAGGTGGCAGGGTCGGGATCGGACCCATGTCTTCTCGCATACCAGGCGAGGTAGTTAACATTTCGGCAGTCCAGCACCCTATTCTCACATGCATCTTCCCTGGCTTCACCAACCCGCTCTGACCAGCATGGTGAAGTATGGTGAAATAACCACCATGACCCACACAGCCGTGAGAAGGTCCTCACCCAACAGTGGATTTACCTAGGGCTCTGCATGGCCACGAGTAGTTGTGTGTTATAATTCCTCACAATAAGGTTTTCCTTATTAAGCCGAGATCACAATGAGTATTGTAGTCACTCGCAGATGAAGAAACATCGAACTCTGAAATATTGTTTTAGTTGTTTGACTACACTTCACACACTGGTCAGTGCAGGATTTTGAAGGAGGAGCCTCGGAAAACTGACACGGCATGGGGAGGCCTTCATTTGGCAGCGGATTGAACAAGGGCTGTGAATAATTAAACTGTTTTGGTGAAAACTGTTGAAAAATGTGTGCACGTGTTGGTGAAACAGTCGTATGCACACACTCGTTCCAATACACACATATATCTGCACCCTAATGGTGTTTTTATGCAACCTTTAGTTGACAATCGCACACCGCTCAACACCATGACTGTTCACATTCACTAAAAAACCCAAGATATCCTCGTGGACAAAGCCGTTGATGCCACCGCTGCATCTCATCGCTAACGCTGCCACAGCAGCTACTGCTGCTGCAGCTCAGGAAACACGCAGCGACCTCCGAGGTCTGCCCTGACAGCCTCCTCCTCCCACCATCTGCTCTTAGACTCACAAACTTGCACAGGCCCATACAGACCCACACAGAAACCCACAAACTCGCACAGACCCACACCGACCCATAGACTTGCAGAGACCCCCAGACTAACATAAATACAAACCCACAGCCTTACACAGAGACCCACAGACTCGCACAGAGAGCCATAGATCTGCCCTGGCCGTCTCCCCCCCCCATCTGCTCTTAGGTCTTCTCTTCCCCTTTGTCGCCGGACTCGTGGAGACCGCTCCCAATGCCAGTCCTCACAACCGGTTCTCACCCCCAATCCTGCACAAACGATGCACCCAGCCTCGTCGTTTTGGTCCAATCACATTTCCAGAACTTCTGCATTGCCTCTCCGATGTTCGGAACCAGTATATTTATAACCTGTATTTATCTTGCCACGAAATTCATAGAATCTGCAATAGACACCTGTGCTCAAATGTCAGAAATTTGTTTTCCTGTTTTTTTCCAAAAAAATATGCAACTTTGGAACTATATTAGTTATACTTAATTAGTTGTTGGGGGTTAGGGTTAGAGCTGGCGAAGTGATTCAGAAGTCAGATGCGCTGAGCTGGCACAGTTGAGTGCCTGGGTTTAAATCCAGATTTCAACTGCCCAACCAGTGATTAAACCGAATTCTCAATCAAGTGTAGTGCACAAATAGACTCTGCCCAATCACCAGTGGACTCACATAAGATACACATAGACTAGCATACAGAACCAAACACTCTCATAGACTCAGTTCTGATTCAACCCGGTTTTGCATTTCATTTATCTAAATTACAGCTCTGAAGATTTCAATATCAGTTTGACTCTCTATAGCCGGGCAGGTAGAATAGTACTGCCCCCTACTGTGCATCTCAGAGGAAGCTCTGTTATATCCACTTCAGTGGGGCATTCTTTCACACGGACATATGCTTTGTAAGAATGGATTCTCCACCTCATGACATTACGTGACACCAAACCCAATTTTAGATGATATTGTAACAGTTCAAGGTCGAGGTCATCAGCCAATACTGTACCACCACGGTTGCCAGCACAACTGTAGGGCCCGACATCGACTCCCTCGCCCTCGCGAGGCAGGTGGGGGCGTGACTTCCGCCCGTTCCCTCCTTCACTGCGTCGGTTGGCTCCAGCTGGGCCCTCGCCGCCCGAGTGATGGGGCCCCCCGTGCTAGCGCCCTCTCTGAGGGACATACTCGTGCCGCTGGCTCGTAGCCGCACGGAGTTACACCACACACCAGTGCACCCCGCAGCTAACGCAGCAGCACGCTCGCGCTCACACCTGCCAGAGATTACCTCTTGATGTGCACGCCGCGGCCCCACGTTCACTCTCGCCGCGAGTTCCTCCACGCAGTCGCTCCACACAGAAATCACAGACACCACACCTATGTTCTGTGCTAACTTTTATTCTCGGCGCAAACCCCGCACTTCCCGGGGTGACTATTTTGTGAAAAGAGGCTAGCCTACTGCTGCCTCAGTCCCCAGATGTTCAAACGTCCTGCCACGTACCTCGTAGCTATACTAACGGCGTGTCATGGGCGCTGTGAGCGGCTCGAGAAAGTAGGACAGCAGGGGGGGTGGGTCTTGGCGGCCCAGATGTTGAAGAAAATATCTCATTTGAACGGCCCCAGGCTCCCCTTTTATCCCCCTGACTTCAAAAGCCCGGGGTCGCGTACTGCGCGGCCAATCATGTGCCTACCTGTGATTACGTTTTTTTTTATTTGACCAGATAATGCCCACTGAGCTATATCGCTCTTTTTCGTAAGCGATCTGGCCATAAATGAAAGTTAAACAAAGTGGCATATCATGTGAAAAAGCTTATTTTTACATGTGGAGGGAAAAATCGGAGGACCCCGGATAAAAATCCACGCGATCACGGTGAGAGAGACACACAAACTCCAAATATACAGCAGGCGCCAGGTTCAGGATCGAACCCACGACCTCCTGTATACCTGTAATGGTTCGATCGAGGTGCGTACACTCGTGTGGAGGCAACTTTATTTAACCCAACTGCAACACACCCTACAATCCCATTAATTTCCCCTGCCACAAACCATGGCCGATGCGAACACCTGATGCACCAATGGAAAACTCTCCGGTGTATGACTGTGGTCATCCAGAACAGAATTTGTTCATGTGTAATAAAAGACTCCGTCAGGCGATGCTGGTCTCCGTTCGTCTTTTATTCAGGTTCTTCTCCGCACCCCCACTGGCCTCCTCTCGGACCAGAGTCGTCCCGCGCGCGCCCGCACACGCTCCCTCTCGCGTGCCACGCACGCGCTCTCTCTCGTGTGCTGCGCAATCTCTCTCTCTCGCGTGCCCCGCACGCTCCTCCATTAGCTCCTTTAATCCCGCACTCCGCACACCGCTGGCCGACGGCGTGCAGAGGTCCTTCGACCACGTGGCCGATGGCGCGGATCTTTCCTCACCACCCAACATGGCTCAGCCTCTTAACTTCCCCGACTGCCCCGATCTCTTCCGGGCTCCCACTTATATACATATCCCCCACGTGACCCTGACTCCTCCCCTTTCGGATCGTCAGATCCGGCCTGCCCATACTACCCCGCTGGCTCCGCCCCCATTCACCTCGCCTCCCATTGGAGCCGAGGTGAACGGTGGCCCCTCCCACACGCCCCGCAGACCAGGCTCCGCCCCCCAATACCCCAGGCTGTGTGATTGGACCAGAGCCCAGCAACAACCCCATTTACGCTCGCATTACACATGTGTAGAGATGTACTGCAGAACCCAACGAGGGGCAATCGCGTTATTGGGGATGCCACGTAGCGAGATGTTAACTACCTCGCTTGGTATACAGGAGGTCGTGGGTTCGATCCTGACCCTGGCGCCTGCTGTATGTTTGGAGTTTGTGTGTCTCTCTCACCGTGATCGCGCGGATTTTTATCCGGGGTCCTCCAATTTTTCCTTCCACATGTAAAAATAAGCGTTTTCACATGATATGCCACTTTGTTTAACTTTCATTTATGACCAGATCGCTTACGAAAAAGAGCGATATAGCTCAGTGGGCATTATCTGGTCAAATAAAAAAAAACGTTTCGTTTAAAAGTGTGTTGAACATCATCAGTGCAGTGTGGCCCTTGCACTGATGCCACAGTGGCTTCTCAGCCAATGCGTTTTCGGTAATCGCTGTTCACCTCTATTGGATGTCAGTTACCATGACCACGGCGTCGAGATTCCTTCAGTTGTAAATCCAATTGAGTAGTTTGTGGGTAATTTATTCGAATTTGGCAAATGTTACATTTCATTGTCAAGTTCATTATAAAAAGCACCCCGATATTCTCTCGTCCACCATCTCTATCATTCTGACCCCAGTCTGTCTTCAAAAGTTGTCCTGACAGATGTCCCCACTTGTTTCACGAATGTGTTGCACTTGCAGTTCGTTTCAATGGACTTTAATCAAGCAAATATATGCGAATACTGTTTTGTCCATGAGCTGAGCCATAAATCCTACCCGCGATATCAGCCATGTTGGTGTCTAGATAGCGGATGCGGTAATTCTTGGAGGAAATAAAGCGTGGTTTGCATTGAAGGAAAGTTGAAGGTGTCATCATTAACATTATCGTCATCATTGTTACTCGTGTGCCAAGGGTATGTAGGTACACCACCACCATTTAATCATCAGTCTGGATTATGAGCAAGCACTTGAAATTCACTAAAATCACTCTCACGCCGGCAGTGAGTCACACCTCGTGACTCTATTGCTACTACCATGGTTACTCTTCCCCGTGAACTTCACTCATTGATTCCTCCATCCAAGTTTAGGCCTCGGTCTACCAGACACTGTTTCGTTTCATCCAACACTGTTAAACCACCACGTATGGTTCACAATAACTCCCTCATCCATCCATCCGCGCGCCATGCTTCAGGTCCAAAACGCTTCTCCGTCTACTTTTTTTAATCTCGCACTGCTCTGCGATGAATTCCCTTCCATTGAATAATTTCCCAAGTTTGTACAACAGTAGCCAACCATTGCTAATCGGAGATGCGGGGTAAGGACAACAAATTAAACACACGCACACAAAACCAAGCCACTGGAAGAGACGGTGACCACTATGGACAGCAGAGAGACACAGAAAGGGGCAGAGAGTTATAGAGTTGGTGCGTGCTTATCTGAGTGTAATACACCGCACCAGTGGCGGCTCCTGCAAAATCTCTCAGGGGGGGCAAATGTCTGGATGATTGATAAGGATAAGGTCCACCCATGCAATGGATAAATTAACAGCTTAAGCATGTAAAGGCAACTTCACTTCTTTAATATTAATGAAAAATAAAGTGACTCTTACAATACATCTTGTTTGTTTTTATACTCACTATTAATACAATCCACTCAAGTTTCTTTTATTAAAGATTCCACTAGGTGGCGACAAATTATATTGTTGGATGAAACGTGCTTACGTATGATGACGTAAGCACGTTAGCGCGAGCCCTCCCGGAAGCCATAGAGAATGCATTGCAGCGCCCCCCCCCCCCCCCCCCCCCCCCGTTCGAAAAAAACCATCTTTGAATGTAAGTCTATGGGGCCACTCGGGGCGATTCTCAGCCGGAGTGAAATCGCCCAAAAAGAGGCGGTACTCCACAGAACGTGACATGACGCTGATTGGACTATATCCAGAGGCACAGTGACGGCTAGCGTGACTCTGTGGTTGAATGACATTGGTGGTGCGTCGCCCAATCGCCCTAATGAAGAAACCGCCCCTGCACCGCACAATACTAAGTTCAGGTTTCGAAAAACTGTTGTTGCTTTATTATTTTGTGATCATCCGTTCTGATGACTCGTTTTATTAAAATCGCGCCTTAAGACGCAACTTATCTTTTAAGGGCTTTCCCAATCTCTTTAATCTTTGTTTTGGGGTGGTTTTGTATTGCCGTGCGACTGCGTGTGTGTTTTGTACAGCGCCTGCAGAAGTGTAAATTATTATAAATTGAAGTTGTAATAATATATTCTACTAACGCCAGTACTGACCTCTGAGTGTTCCTACATAAACTTGCTCAATTAAATAAAACATTTCTCGATGACAACTTTAATGTCACTGTTTATTGCTGGCTGATTACAATTTTTGACCTTTGGGTCTGTGGTCAGCAACCGTAACTAAAAGAAAAGTTATTACAATTCATCATAATCCACGGCCTATTATGTCATTGCTTTGGTTTATCAGCATAATCGGAGACGTTGAAAAGCAAGCGACATTTTTAAACCTCAGCGATTGTTAGCACATAATGGTGCTGGATGTAATCTACGACAAAATGTCGACTAAATATCGTCAAAATGTTGCTTGATTTGATTGGCTTTGGCGGGTGGTGGAGTTATATGTCAAATTTAACCTTATGGCGGGACCCCGGGGTCCTATAAGCCCCCGGCTCTCGCATACACACTATATTATAATCCATGATAGAGATTGTTTTGGATTAGATCGCGTAAATATATAAATTTGTCGTTAAAACCCGCCATCACCCGACAGCCAACTAGTAAGGGTTGTCACGTAAACAGAACATGCCAATTCGTCACGAGTACAGCACACCGGTGTGTTGGAGAGCCAAGCCACAATATTTACAATCTGAGTACGACGTTTCGCCAATAATTACAACTGTCGGGACCCCGGGGTTCCATAAGCCCCCGGCTCTCGCATAAACATTATATTATAATGTAAACAAAAACTTTGCTATTTTTCACCAATGAGTTCGAAGGATGGTGGCAAGTGTTATCTTGTTAAACTATGCCTTTAAAACTGAGACCTACTTACCTGCAGTACCTCTTTAAATACACTATCGAAAAAATTATTTACACCCCTCTGTCAATCATCGTGTTTCTCAGTGTGGATTTCTGAACACACTTTGTAAACAGTACATAAAATATTGATTTGAAGCGTGACTGCAGGCATCCATACTCTTTGGTTCTTTTGGTAAAGTCACGAAGTTAAAAATAAATTTTTAAAAATCATGACGTTTCGATTGCAACACGAGCAATCTTCATCAGGTGTGACAACCACAGCAAGAAAAAAAGTGCTGAAGTGAGCGAGCTGCCGTGGCAAGAGGTTATATGTATAGGTAAGAAAGGGGGGGGGGGGAGGAGCACGGGGGGGGGGGGGGGGAGAGAGAGAGGGGGGTGTGGGGTAGGGGGAGGGGGGCGCTGCGTGAGCGCTAGGTAGAGAGAGGACGTGAGGCTGGGGGGGGGAGTAGGCGGGGCTGGAAGTCGGATGCTGGGAAAGCTGGGGATGCGGGGGGGGGGGGGGAATTAACTCGGAATAAGTATAACCCGTAAAAGTTTTTCACTATAAATCCTTTATATGCGTGGCGGCTAGAGTCCTCTCGTCCTCTGGCTTGAGATGGCTGCCACCTATGGGTCAGATGATTGCATTGCACCATTAAGCAATTGGTAATTAAATATAATATTTTTGTCCTAAAAAGTGTAAAATTTTGGAGAAAAAAAATTCACGAACATTAATTGTCACGCACAACGAGTCTGTGTGGAAAATGTCAGCTCGATTGGATCACGGGAAGTGGGTTAAAAAACGACCGAAAGATTTGCACGGTCCTAAGCAAGCAAGCGAACTTAATATAAAGGATTTAATAGGTATAACCCGTAAAAACAAAGTTTTTCACTATAAATCCTTAATATGCGTGGCGGCTAGAGTCTTCTCGTCCTCTGGCTTGAGATGGCTGCCACCTATGGGTCAGATGATTGTCTGCCAGTATTAAACAATTGGTAATTAAATATTTAATTTGTTTTCCCTAAACAGTGTAAAATTTTTGAAAAAAATTTTCACGAACATTAGTTGTCTCGCACAACGAGTCTGTGTGGAAAATGTCAGCTCGATTGGATCACGGGAAGTGGGTTAAAACACGATCTAAAGATTTGCACGGTCGTAAGCAAGCAAGCAAGCACGCAAGCACGCAAGCAAGCGAACTTCATATAAAGGATTTAAAAATAGAGTAGTACCCGGCAGATATGATGGAAACAACCATACATAGTTAAGGTTTTACCTGGTTAATAACATCCTTCCAATGATTACTCAATTTGTATCCATCTTCTCGGTTGAAGTTATGTCTATGTTCAAGGAAGGACGTACTTTCTACAAGCAAAATGAAGGTATCCCCATGGGTCCCCCCTTATCATCAGTGATAGCGAATGTTTTCATGGAGAAATTTGAAACAGATGCCATCCATACATCCAAACCTACGTCCTTCCTTGTGGAAGAGATATGTAGATGACACTTTCGTCATTTGGCCACATGGCCTGCGAGCATTGAACCAATTTCTCAAACATCAATTCCATACACCCATCCATCAAATTCACCATGGAAGTGGAGGATGGTAAGATACCATTCCTGGATGTTTTGTTTGACAAGAGACAAGGAATCATCTGTGCATTAACCACAATACTTGTGGTCAAAATGCAAACAAATAACACACTAATAATACATGCATTGTCCTTGAAACTGATTGGTCCACACCAGAGACGACTTTCTTTTGAGCATCGTCTCAATTGGTGCTAGACCAGAGGACGCCAAAAGGTGTACAGCTCAAAGACAATGCACTATCAAAGTAATGAGGGCTCGGGGTAAGCATCTACATCATTAGTTTTGTTGGCAGAAAAAAAAAGGGGAAAACCCTATTATTACATTGGAAGGATGTTATTAACCAGGTATAACCTGAACTGTTTATGGTTGTTTCCATCATATCTGCCGGGTACTAGTCTATTTTACACGCTTTTATATAACTCACTCTGTCTGTTGTTGTTGTCGTATCCTCAAATCTTGTAACTCAATTTTAACCCACTTCCCAATGTGCTATTGACTGCAAACTTGGTATACTTATGTCATTCTGATGACAATACTATATTCTATCATTAAAAAAATTAATTACCATCTTTTTTATATGTTATGTTTCGGCTTGGGTCTAATTGTCCACGCTCAACTAACGTTGGCTGTAAATCACCACGGTCCCTTACGTTATGGCAAGCTTCGGGGCCACTTCCTAGAGTCGTGGAGTTTTGTCATTATGAGTACGGTACATTTCATTAAAGCGTGTTTTTTAAAAGTATTTTTTTATGTTACTTATTTCCGAGTAAATTTCCCCCCGCATCCCCAGCTTTCCCAGCCTCCCACTTCCAGCCCAGCCCACTCCCCCCCCAGCCTCACGTCCTCTCTCCCCCTGCGCTCACGCAGCGCCCCCTCCCCCTACTCCCCCTCCCCCCTCTCCCCTTTGCTCCTCCCCCCCCCTTTCTTACCTATATAACCTCTTGCCACGGCAGCTCTCTCGCCCACTTCAGCAATGTTTTTCTTGCTGTGGTTGTCAAACCTGATGAAGATTGCACGTGTTGCAATCGAAACGTCGTGATTTGTTTTATTTTATTTCTAACTACGTGACTTTACCAAAGAGTATAGTACATGAAATAGTACGCGTTTTCAATGCGCTGTTCATATTGTAACAAGCGTTTATACCAATGTTACTCTACAGAGTAGTGGGTCGTCGCTCCTCTTATCCGCATTGATACGAGCGGTATGTGGGGACTATGGCTTTACCGCAAAAAAAACAACCTATCTGCACAGATGTATATGGTCAAGAGGAGTATTATCAAACAGGAAGAATTAACGGTTCAACGCATCTCATCTGTTAAATATCTGCAGGTAATAGGATTGTAATCAATTGATCCTGGCTGCAGACATTGGTAGGTCACACATAATAATGAAGAGAAGAGAGCAGTTTCAATGTATTACGCATACCGTTATGAAAATGTAGGACTTGGAATCACGCGCCACGCGTTTTGTTGCTAGGCAAGCGAGCAGAGTACAGTGGGAGCATCTGAGGACACGGTTGTTGTTGTCGTAGCATTAAGGGGGGAGTCGTTAAGAGACACGACAGGTGATAGGGGTGACTGAGGACGCAGGCCGGTGATTGGTCAGGAGGGTGAGTGGTTAATGACCGACGCCGGCTTGGCGGCAATAACATGGTCACGTGAGGCTGGGAGCCTGGGGGCGAGTGGCAAAGCAGGGGATGGAGTAATTGATTGGGATTAATTGGTGCAGGGATATAGGGCACAGCGTAAAGGAGAGACGGGAGTCTTGGTTAGGATTGGAGCTGGAGCGGTTGGTGCCCGGGAGAGAGACGGAGCAGCAGTAAGCAGGGATAGGTACGATAAGGATAGAGAGAACGCAGTATACGGTAGCAGTGGATAGAGAGAACGCAGTGTACGGTAGCAGTGGATATAGAGAACGGAGTGTACGGTAGTAGTGGATAGAGAGGATACAGTGTACGGTAGAAACGGGGAGACATGGAGTGTTGTTAATGGCGAGTTGTGCATCGGAGAGAAACGGAGAGACACGGAGCGATGATTAGGAGGTGTGAACTCTACGCGTGAATAAACGAGACAAGAAAGACAACGAGAGTACGAGTCCTACACAAATAAAGGACTTAAGTCGTGTAGGCAGTTTGAGCAGCTTGGTTATGACTTATGATCCTGCCCATACTCGAGAATGGAGTGCATTCGCTTGTTTCGCTTTTCTGCGCAATCGTCCTTGCTGCTGCGCTTAAACGACATGACAACAGTGATCGCATGCGAGGGCTACGCGAACCCACTCATCCCATCAGGAGCAGCAGAGGCGATTTAAAGTCTCCCCTTCATTCAGTCTCATCGGTCCAGTGTGCAACTGTGGTCATCCAGAACAGGATCATACAATGCCCCGATCCACAAATACGAGGAAGGTAGACATCGCAGCCGATACACTTCGTTACTCCTAACGCGAATATCTCGGCTTCATAAACACCTTGAGTGTGAAATTGTAGTCGATGCTGTGCATCTACACGAGCAGCCCATACGTGCAGCGCCACATTAAATACGCACTACAATGACAATAGTTTAAAGTGATTTGAAGCATGTTTTATTTTTGGGGGGGGGGGGGGGGGCAGAGCTTTGTGACGTCACATTTGAGGGGGGGGGTCTGACTTTTTGTGACGCCGTGTGACGGAGGGGGGGGTCAAAAATCGTCCAAAATCGCGTGACGTCATTTATGGACGGCCCCTAACGCCGGCTCGCCAGTTTGCGTGATGACGTTACCGCGAACACATCATCGCGTCGCTCACGTCGCGACGTTCCGCACCTCCCGATGAGCAACGGTCGCTCGGCGTCGGGCGACGAAAGAAGTCCAATACCAACAACCGTCATTCGCCACTAAGTGACGGTGACGTCACCACGGCGTCTGTGCCAGGCTAGGTGCACTATGAGGCCACGTGAAGTGTCAAATGCTCGCTGGGGACAGACCCAGCAGGTGCCATGGGTTGGCTGACTGGGATGACCACTGGTAGACGCACCACAAGCCGTGCCCCCTACTGTGCCAACCACGGCAGAAACACCAAAATAAGTCCGTGCTAGAAAGAAGTCCCAACCGTACTGCAACATACGTGACGTCTTTTTTCGGTAAAGTCACGTAGGTCAAAAAATTATAATGAATTAATCTTCATACAGTAAATTTAGCTGACGGTCCCACCTGAAGACGGGGACTTGTGTTGCCTCAGAAACGTCGTGATTTAATTTACCGAAAGAACCAAAGAATAATTCCTGCAGTCACGAAAGCTCCAAATTAAGTTTAATTTAGTCACTTTTCATTTATTATAATTTTTTTACCTACGTGACTTTACCGAAAAAACCTAAGAATATGAACCCTTGCAGTCACGAAAGCTTCAAATCTAGAATACATGACGTCCTTACGTAAAACACGCGTGACGTCACGCGGCGCCGTGACGTCATCGCCGCCACGTGAGACACGCGTGACGTCACCGCCGCCGCTACGTGACGTCAACGACGCGTGCCCCGGAAGCGTCCGCAGCTGTTGACAATCGGGCGGCGGTCTTGATTAGTTTTGACTAAAATCAACGATCGTGTTCATCCCGATTATCAATAACAACGTTTGACTATTACCACGGTGGAATACCCTTAGCGTTCGCTCTCTCTCTATATAGCTGCCGAAGAAACCATGGGGCTGTTTGGCAAGAGTTCGGATAAACCTCCCAGGGAGATGGTGAGGCCGTGTGGCGAGTCCCGCGGTTTACAAGCGTCGATGCACACTGGAGGTGTTTTTATTTTGGAGTGGTTAGGGGTTATATTGCGGATATATAAACGTGTAATTTACCCCTCTGTTTAGGATCGAAACAAGAGGATTTCTCCACAACTCTGGCTGTCGCCTGATGCTGTGGTTTTTTTCTTATTACCCGCGTATCGTCACTAAAGTTGTAAATGCCGTAGTGGGTTTACGCTCCAACACAACCGAATGTGAGCGTGACAAACCTTACTAATAGGCTGTGGCGGGTTTAACGACGCATTTGTATTTACGCGATCTAACCCAAACAAACTTACGGATAATATTGGTCGCGAACGTCTACGTGTTATACAAGTGTTGACGTTAACTGGCCGCGTTTATTGAGTGTTTTTGGAGTTAATTCACTTCGGACCGCTGACCAAATGTTTATTGGAGCTACACGCTTAGGCGTAATGTGTTTGGGGGGAGGATACTTTACATTTTCTCTTCGGCTGTGAATTATAGCAATCGCGTGACGCCATCAGCAGCCATAAACTGTCCGCTGCTGGATGAAGGCTTCAACCAAGCGGTCTTGCAAATATTTATATCCGTCACTCCAAGTAGCATCTTAGCCGCACGCATCGGGTACTCGAGGGGAGGATGTTTTCCATATCTGGCCTCTCACGCTGACATAAGCCACTGGGGTGTGTGTTTGTTTATGTGTCTGGGTGTTTGTGTGTGTGGGTGTTGTGTGTGTGGGTGTTTGTGTGTGTGGGTGTTTGTGTGTCTGGGTGTTTATGTGTCTGGGTGTTTGTGTGTGTGGGTGTTGTGTGTGTGGGTGTTTGTGTGTGTGGGTGTATGTGTGTCTGGGTGTTTGTGTGTGTGGGTGTTTGTGTGTGTGGGTGTTTGTGTGTGTGGGTGTATGTGTGTCTGGGTGTTTGTGTGTGTGGGTGTTTGTGTGTCTGGGTGTTTATGTGTCTGGGTGTTTGTGTGTGTGGGTGTTTGTGTGTGTGGGTGTTTGTGTGTGTGGGTGTATGTGTGTCTGGGTGTTTGTGTGTGTGGGTGTTTGTGTGTCTGGGTGTTTATGTGTCTGGGTGTTTATGTTGTGGGGAGCGGTAGTGTATCGGTTAGCGCGCTGCGCTACGAAGCTAGCGACCCGGGTTCGATTCCCGCTCACGGCCAACACCGGTGACGATTATCTGAACCGGTCTCGGGCCTCCCCTAGGTCGACTCGGCCTCAATTGAGTACCTGGTGCAGTGTGTAAACATCGTCACTAGGGAGACAAAGGCGGTCGGGCGTGGTGTTGGCCACCCACCACCCCCTCGTGTGCCGTTCCGGCCTTCATAGGTATTCGCTAACAGCACTTTGTTTATGAACACGTTTTTCCCGTCCCATGCTGTAGCCTATTTTCGGTGGAGTGACGGTGGATCTCTTCGGCTTTGTACGTGAATTTTTTTTTTATCCTGATGAGTTAGAGTGCGTTCTGAACATGTCCCAAACAGTATGTAGGTTCTATACTGCGTGTTCAGGTTGTAAGTGCTTCATCGCAAACAGCACTTGCCCCAACAATCTGTTAAGGGCCATACGGGGGATCTTTATTCATGTTGTAGCGCGTGTTGCTTATAGTATAATATTTGACATTTTGCTTCATGTGCTGGGGAGATTTTTTTCAGGAACTGGAGAATCCCGTGGAGAAAAATGTCGGACATCTTAGTGAACGACACCCCAATACAACCCGAAAAACACATTGGGAGAGCTTCACAGCACAGTCGCGGAAGCCTACGCAGTAGCATCTGTGTGTGGGCTTTATGGGCGATCTCTGCATTTGCATCTGTTAGCCGGTAAATGTCTGCACAAGTTGAACGCCCGATCAATGTTTGTGTGCCGGACAGGTGAACGAGTGGTCCACGCAACTCCGCAAAGAGATGCGAGGCATCGACAGGCAGATACGCAGTGAGATTCCCGCACGCACAGACTCGCACACATTGCTAGAGATAAAAAAAAGTTATAAACATTTTTTTATTTGACCAGGTAAGGTCCACTGAGCTATGTAGCTCTCTTTCAGAAGCGACCTAGCCACAAACAATAGCTCAATGTAGTGGCTTGTCACGTGGAAATTTAAAGCAGCCAAATACACACGACCATGGGGAGAACATGCAAACTCTAAATATACAGCAAGCATCAGGGTCGGGATCAAACCCACGACATCCTATAAACCAGGCGAGGTAGTTAACATCTTGCCACAGTGGCGCCACGGTGACCAATACAGTCAACTTTCAATTCTGTGGATATACCATGCTTGCAAATAAATAAAATGTTTACATGAGCACGCTGGTTTAATTATTATCTGCTCCTCACTCATCGTGGGTTAGCGACTCACATGGGTGCCACAGTGGTGAGATGTTAACTACCTCTCCTGTATAAAGGAGGTTGTGGGTTTAAGCCCGACTCTGACGCCTGTATATTTGGAGTTTGCATGTTATCCCTGTGGTCACGTGGATTTTTCTCCCGGTCCGCTGGTTTTTCCCTCCACATTTAGAATGAACATGAGTTTAGAGTATTTCACTGCTAGAAATTTCCGGATGACAAGCCACTTCGTTGAGCTTTCATTTGTGCCAAGTCGCTTCTGAAAAAGAGCTACATAGCTCAGTGGGCCTTGCCTGGTAAAATAAAAAAAGAATGGTAATAGTAATTATCCGCTCCACACTCATCGTGGGTCAGCGACTCACATGCCCACGTGACCTAGAATAACTTAAGGAACCAGTAAACACGGTGGGACACGTTCTCTGTGCGCGTGCCCAGGCATCCAGCGCGAGGAAGATAAGGTGAAGCGCTCCCTGAAGGATGCCGCCAAGAAGAATGAGCGCGAGGTCTGCGTCATCCTGGCCAAGGAGCTGATCCGCTCGCGCCGCGCCATCTCCAAGCTGCACGCCTCCAAGGCTCAGATGAACAGCGTCATCATGACCATGAAGAACCAGCTGTGTGCGTGACTGAGTGTGTCTTTGTGCCTGTGGCTGTGTGTGTGCAGGGATCGGTGACAGTAGCGCTGTGTGACTGTGTTACTGTGTGTGTATGGAGTTGCCGATGACTGGTTCCAGTAGTGTAAAGATCGGCCTCTGTGGAGGAGGCTTATGAAGGATGCTCTTGGGCAGTTGGAGGCAGTTGCCCTCAAACAACCACGGAGGGTGAAGGAACGATGTTCACAACAACGACCGGAGTGCTGGTTGGCTAAAACACAGCAATTTGGCACAGTAGGAAGCACAGGTGGTCCATCTTCCAGTCATCTCAGTCAACCCATAACACCTGGGTCTGTCCCATGATTTTTTGCCTGCGAACCTTCGACGCATCACGTGGCCTGGCACAAGTGCCGTGGTGACGTCACCACCACTTATTGGCGAACATCGGAAAACAAAGGCACGCTAGGCGTGGACCTGGCCACCCTCCCCCTCGTCTGCCGTGACGGCCGTCATAGGTGCTTGCGAACAGCACTAGCCCTAACAGCCTGTAAAGGCTATACGTGTGTACTTTGTGGTGATGTGTGTGCTGTATGTGCACTGTGTGGTGCTATGTAAAAGTACAGATACAATGGGAGGCTGATCGATGCCCGGGTGCGGTCAAGGGATGGCTCCCTATTGCTCAACCACGTTATGTATGCCGATGATCTGGTAATTGCTGCTCACTCAGAGGAGGAGTTGGAGGCGCTGCTGCTGAACCCGGAGCTTGCCACCAAGAGGTGGGGCCTTACCATCAGCCCCACCAAACTAAGCACCTACCTGGGTATTTTGTACCATCGGACACTACACCCCCACAACTCCCAATTGGTAATAGGGCAGTTGTGGAGAGAATGGAGAGTTTCCCACACCTTGGCATTATGCTCATGACCGGCTCCGGTTTAACAGCAGAGGTCTCACTCCGAATCAGTCGAGCGGCATTATCTCTTCATCGGTTGCGTAACGCTGTGTGGAAGCTACCTAGTCTATCATTCCGCACGAAGCTTCGGGTCTTCTCGGCCACGGTCATTCCCTCCCTTCTCTACGCTCGCGAAACGTGGACCCGCCTAATGGAACATCTTCGCCGGTTAGAAACATTTAGGCTGGCCTGCCTACCATCCATCCTGGGTTTAACCAGGCTGGATTGTGTGAGGAGCTCACAAATCCTTGAAAGATGTGGACAAAGTCCCATCGGTGAGCTCCTCCGGCAGGCAAGGCTGCGTTGGCTGGGTCATGTAGCCCGCATGCGCAGCCACCGCATGCCTAAACAGCTTTTGTTCGGCCGGATCGAGGGGGCTAAACGGGCACGGCACGGGCTAGAGAAGAGATGGAGTGATGTGGTACAGGAGGACGTTGAGCTGTGTCGACTTGCCGATGACTGGTACCAGTGGTGTCAATATCGGCCTCTGTGGAGGAGGCTCGTGAAGGACGCTGCTGGGCAGTTGGAGGCAGTCGCCCTCCAACAACAACGGAGGGCGGAGGAGCGACGCTCACAACAATGAGCGGAGCGCCGGGTGGCTAAAGCACAGCAAGTTGGCACAGTAGGGGGCACAGATGGTGCGTCAGCCATTCGTCTCAGTCGACCTGTGGCATCTGGGTCTGCCCCGTGACCTGCCAGCGGGCATTTGACACTTCACGTGGCCTCAAGGTGCACATAGCCTGGCACAAGTGTCGTGGTGACGTCACCGCGAATGGCGGTTGTTGTTGTTGCTATTTAAAAGGCTATACAGGGGATATGTCTTGTAAGACTGTGTGGCTGTATTTGTGCAGCGCTCCAGAAGATGTCGGGAGCTCTGCAACGGAGCACCGAGGTGATGAAAGCCATGCAGAGCCTGGTTCGCGTTCCCGAGATCCAGGCAGCCATGCGAGAGCTCTCCAAGGAGATGATGAAGGTGGTGCCTCATTCACCATCAGCACTGTGGTGACCACGATTAGCATAATCATTGTGACCAATGGCTGTATCATTGCCATCACCAGCACTGTCATTATTACCATTGCCGTTGTCCTCATTTCAGCCTTGATGGATGTGAATGGGCTGATGTTCCTGCAGGCTGGTATTATTGAGGAGATGATGGACGACACGTTTGAGGGAATGGAGGACCAAGATGATCTGGAGGAGGAAGCCGATGCCGAGATTGACAAGATCCTTTACGAAGTGACGGCTGGTACGTACGTGTCTGTGTGTGCGTATTTGTGTGTACGTGCTGTGAGAAGGCCTGCTTACGATACATGGGGCTAACCAGACTGGATTGTGTCCATAGCTCACAGGTCTTTGAAAAATCTGGACATAATCCCATAAGTGAGCCCTTCCTGCAGGCGAGGAGGCTGCATTGACTGGGTCATGGAGCCCACAGGCCCAGCCACCGCATGCTCAAGGAACTTTTGTTTGGCCGGATAGAGGGAACTAAATGGACACGGTACGAGATAATGAATAAATGGGCTTACGTGATATAGGGGGATTAGGAGCTGGTTGGACTTGCCGATGACTGGTACTTGCAGTGTCAACGTCGACATCTGTAAAAGAGGCTAATGATGGATGCTACTGTGTACAACAATGGAGGGTGGCAGAGCTATGCTCGCAATCACAAGCGGATTACCAGGTGGCTAATATACAGAAAGCTCAGAATCTTTATTTAGACTGGAGGAATCCGATGAGCTATGAATGTCTTTTTCACGGGTGTGGTGTTGGTGTTGGTCACCCACCCTCCTGTGTGCCGTTGCTAGCCTTCATAGCTACTCGCTAACCGCTCTTGTCCCAGCAGTCTGTTAAAGGTTAAACGGGGGATTTTTGTTTTATGTACATACCTGTGTGTGTGTAGGAGCGGTAGTGCAGTGGTTAGCATGCTGTGCTACGAACTCGGTGACCAGAGTTCAATTCCCGCTCACGTCCAACGCCAGTGATGATTATATTATCTGAACAAGTCCTGGGCCTCCCCTATATCGACTCGGCCTCCTAAAATGAGTACCTAGTGTGATGTGTATATATCGCCACTATGCAGACAAAGGCGGCCAGGTGTGGTGCTGGCCACCTACCCCCTCTTCGCTGTGCCGGCCTTCGTAGGTACTCGCCAACAGTCTGATAAGGCCATTAGCATGGTTGGCTACGTCGAGTGCGAAAGAAGTTCAACATACATGCATACAAGGCTATACCGGGGAGATGTTTGTCTTTTTAGGAGCGCTGGGCAAGGCCCCTGGGAAGGTGATGGACGCGCTGCCCGAGAAGCCCGGGGCGAGCAGCGTGGCTACCGCGAGCGGCGAGGATGAGGAAGGCGTGGAGGGGATGCAGGCCCGGCTGCAAGCGCTGCGCAGCTAGAGCGCACCGCACCATCACCCCACAACACCACGCACGCATAGCAACACGCCACGCCACATGAACAGCAACCTGACACACGCATAACTACTTGCCATGCATGCTCATCACTCCATTCTGACTATCGTCATAATCACACCTCTGATTAGCACGGTTGGCTACGTACAATGCGAAAGAAGTTCAACAGACATACTTAAAATTTACATCTCACACGGACATCATCACCAACACACGCCATGCGCAAAAACAAAAACCACAACACAAATGCGTAACAGTAAACCGCACCACACATCATGCCTTACTAAATTATACACGGACATAACACCAATTGCCCCTTCTCCAAGGATAATCCTGTCAGAATAACGTTCATAATACGTACGCAACACGTGTGTATAAGACTTTGGCGGTCTGTGTAATATTTGCCTGTGGTATTTTCTTTATGGGTTAGGGAATTCAGGTCAAGTTTAGGCAGTTACGGCGTAAGGTTTAGTTTAGGGGCTACAAGTTCAGGACTAAGGGTTAAGTTTAGAATCAAGCTTTTTTTAGGTAAATTGAAAAGTGGATTTAATGTTAAAAGTTAGCTTATACTTCATGTAATGGTTAGGGTTAGGTAGTCTGGTATTGTATTTGAAGACTAAAAAGTTAGGCTTTTGTGAGCTTCTCAACATGCAGCCTTCACTTGTTAGGCGATTTTTGTTTAATCATTAACAGCTGCGAACTTGTCAGGCAGCCTCGAACACATAGTCTCGGTGTGTAACTATTAAGAGTTATTTGTTGTGTTTAAGTCTTATATTAAAACCTAGGTGGGTTGCTGTTATTGTACGCTTGTGTTTTGCGGTGAGTAAAGCTAAGATTGAAGGCATATACTTTTACTCTATTCCCCTCCACACAGTCCTACCTCTCCCCATTTCATCTCACTCAACCCCCTTCCACTCAGTCCTACTTCTCCCCTCTCATCTCTATTCCCCACCATGCACTTCCCTGCTCCAGCAACGAAGGAAGTGGGCTCTTTTTCCTCTGCTGTTCCTTTAGTCTGGAAACTCCCCTTACCCCATCCCTCTCTGCCATCAGGTCCCTGCCTCTATTTAAATTCACACTACAATTTCTGTCTCTGCCTGACTGCCTGTTTCTCAATAAACAAACATGCCCACTTTCTGTAGGTGTTGAGATGAGGTTGTATTTATACGCCATATAAATCCACAGAGTATTTTATTGTTTTTCGTGCAAAATGTTATAAACGTGTGGTTTAAGTTCGCAAATCAATCTGTGAAATCATCGGAACATTATAAACATCTCTATCGACAGAAAAAAACATGGTCGCCCAGATAAAATAATGACCAATTTTGGAAAGATGTCAGATAGCGGGAGTCAAACTCAGGATAATGTGGCTTGTCGCACTGCACTAACCACTTCAGGATATATACTGCACACCCTTATATACAATACACTTAAGACCAAATTCACAATGCGCCCGATTTTGTATCATTCTAAGCATGGTTGCGCTTGGATAGGTGATGGCCTGTAATGCAGCACTGTAGGAAAGGGGTTGGTGGATCGCATACACGTTGCCAGCAGAAGGTGGCACGGTAAACTCCCAGCTCCTATGTGGAATAGAGTGCCCGCCCTCGCGCGCGTGAGTTTTCTCTGGGTGCGCAGAGCTTGGGGGGGGGGGAGAGGAATTTGGTGCCGGCCCCCCACCTGGGTTTTCCTCGCTTTTGTCCGGTTCCTCCTCGCGTCTCCGTTGAGTCTTTCTCTGCGGGGCTACGTGTTGGTTCTGCAGAGGGCAGTGCACCAACACCGTTTGTACTGTTATGTGGCCCTGATTGTTGTGCCACGCATTCACTAACTTAGGTCAAATAACCCCCCACACAACTCACAATGCGCGGGTGAATCTCGTCCAGCAGCGGATTGGCCAAGGAAGGTACGCACGTGTCACGTGATATTTTATATATTGGAAGGCCGCTACGTTTGAAAAATGGCGGAATACAAAGTGTTTCGTTTTGCTCATCTCATGTGTTGGCGGGGCTAGAGCCAGTGGTGGATATTCCATTGGCTGGGGCCAGTCGGGTTCATAAAACGGCACAGATTAGCGTCTCGCAAAGTGGTACTTCATGTTATGTACGCTGAAGTGATTCGTTATGCGAGCCCCACGTGTTTAACTGTTTTACTATTTGAGTTCATGATTTCATGTCAACCAGTTGTGGGAAACAATAGAAAAGTAGATTCCTAGCGCAACCCACGCGCTGCCTGTAGGGGGCGGTACAGCAGATCGGTGATGGGTTCGTAGCTTCTCGGGTAATTTTGGGCGAATATGGCGATACTGATTTTAGTTCCGCGATAATCCTATCGTCCGTTATGCAACGACAGAACGTAGCATTGACATTTTCTTACATATTTTCTCTCCTGACAATCTGAAATGACAACACGATATTGAAGTTGGAAGTAAATAGCCATTCGGTTCAATTAAAGTTTTACTTTGTGGAACAAAATGAGAGTAATTGGCGGCATTGCAAATATATTCCTCGACGTCAGTTGAAGTTGCAGATACTTTTAGATTGTAACCTTGCAATGGTTAAAATACTTACGGCAGTCTTGACTACACTACAGTTGAATTACTTGTAAGCAATCTTATTTTGTAATGGGAAGGGACAGCAAAGCGCAAAATACAAGACAGTACAAAATGGGGAAATGAGATTTCCGATTTATGGGAAAGTAAAATGGCAATATATCATGACATATGACATAGTATAGTGATAATTAAAATCGTGGCAACCCGAGTTTTACAACAACACCTACCGTAAGCTAAAATGATACGCGATGGAATTGGTGCTCGCCAAAACGTCCCAATGCTGAAATAAATACCTGTAAATTACTCCATTGGCATCACACACCGCCGAAACATACCCCCCCCCCCCTACTCCCGCGAAACACTTGGCAGGACCCTCATGAGAAAGTCTTGAGGCTCCCACTTTGCCGGTTAAACAAGCTCAATGATAGTGATAATAATAGATACCTTCTAGAATAGCTTAGTGTGCAACGGTAGTGCATGAACGCATGATTATAGAGTTGCCAGTGGAAATGCAGTTCACGCAAACACATAAATGTTGCATCTTTAGCATTTCTGGAAAATCTATTATGACTTTCAAGTTTTTATGTTGCCATAAAATAAAAATGTCACGTTCGTGTTTCCGTTTAATGCGTTTCAATTGCGCACCGCGTTCGCCTCGTACGAACTCTTAAATGAAGCTTAAAGGATAAAACTACTGCAGGATCAAAGCAGATGATTTGGCTATGCCACTGCGTTGGCAGCGATGCATACGCACAATTGTATGTACTGTACGCATGGTTGAACTTCTTTCGCATCGTACGTTGCCAACTGCGGTAATCGGAGGTGCAGAATTAACGACAGCTGCACACTCGTCAAACTGCACTGGCAATAACAGCATTAAAACATTTCATCGGCGACATGCAGAAGGGCCGTTGCCCGAAACGTCAGTATCAAAAGCCACTGTCAAGTTACAGCGGAGTCTGCTGTTTGCGGGAGTGACGTCAGCGCAGCGCTTTAATGACGTTCCCGACCTTGACTCTTGAAACCGTTTTTCTGTTGTCATTAACAAAGCTTTAAAATTTCGATTTAAAGCTTTCGTGACTGCAGGGATTCATCTTCTTGGTTCTTTCGGTAAAGTCACGTAGAAGGGAAGTAATAAAATAATAAAAATAAAACATAATAAAACAATTCTCACTTGTTTTATTATGTTTTATTTTTATTATTTTATTACTTCCCTTCTACGTGACTTTACCGAAAAAACCAAGAAGAAGAAAAGCTTTAAAACTTGTGTTGAACAATTACCCAGGGTACAGTCTGGGTATTTTTATTTTGTCATCTGAAAATTAAGATACGTGTATATAGCATACCTGTCAACCCATACGGTTTACCCGTATCCTTGTACAGGGAAATTGAGTTTTCAGGTCCATAAGGCGTACAGCCGTTTCAATACGGGCAAAAAAATTATAGTGTTTCTCCCTTGTGATGGGAATTTGTAGGATGAACGTTGATATTTATAAGGGCACGGGGTAACCAATAATCTCTGAATTGGTCTGTAATAAGGTAGGCACTGATAATGGGTTGACAGGTATGATATAGGGTATATATGTTGGATGTATTTGCTTGATTCCAACTCGCGATCAGTATTTCCTGCAGAGCTCTCAATGCTGGATGAGGGCCTCCCCACGCCATCGCCGTACATCGCGTTTCAGTGTCGCTACCATCCACCTTGCAGTAAAATGATAATCTAATTTTATCCTGGAGAAATCCGATGAGCAATAAAGCTCTTGTTCACGTGTCCAATAGGGGCGGGTCAGAGAGTTACAACAACAAACAATACAACAAAACGATAGGAGCGCAAAGTATAGGAAAGGTAAGCTAACCGCAAAAAATAAATACACAAAATAGATAAAATATATCAGTTCAAATTGCGTACATGTAATGGGTTCGACACTATTAAACCAACACCAACGTGAACACTATACATAAGGTGGTGACCACCGTTCCTAATCTCACTGATACTCGGGGAACACTACACAGCGTGACCAAGGCAGGTGACGGCTGCCTTGTCACGAACGACAATCTGAGACTTGAGGACATCTCATGGCTTCATCCCGGAGTAGAACAGCCCAGCTCCCAGTTCACACCCCGCTTATTACCGCTCCGGCGTTGCCGGCTCCGCCCCAGGCCACGCCCCCCTTCTCCATTCTTCGGGAAGGTCCGGGCCCCCAACCACGTGACCCCCAAGCTTCCCCCTGGGGCCCCTGGCCCCCTTTTATCCAGTCACGTGTCCTGTTGGGTTCACGCGGAGTGCCACGGCCTGACACGACCCCCGTGATACCCGCCTACAGCCCCCATAGCGAGCCGACACGGTAGTGACGTCATATGTCCCGACACTCATACAGTAACGACATAGTAGTGACGTCATCTGTCACAACATAAGTACACCAATTCCCAATCTTGGGGAAGGCAGCAAAACAACAGCAAAATAGAGTCCCAGACCACACCAAGACAACAACACAGACCCTCAATAATGCACGCAAACTGACCTAATCGCTCCATCTCCACGGTGGTCATCCTCTCACATCATCAAGAGGCAATGGCGTGATCGGTAAAATGACGACTACCTTCTAAACCAGCGGTGGAAACTCCACATTCCCTATGGAAAGGGGATAGAGCATTCATCGGAATTTTACACCGCACCTCCGATTAGCACGGTTGGCTACGTACAGTGCGAAATAAGTTCAACAAACATACACATACCTGTCAACCCATTATACGCCTACATTATTACAGACCAAATCACACCTTATTACTCACCCTGTGCCAATGGCGGAGCCAGGATTTTCAGGTAGGGGGGGCAACCCCTCCAGCAATGAAAAACGATAGTTGTTAATAAGGACTTGTCCCTTGCTTTTTATTCGACGCATGTGCGGCGATGGCTCAGCCATCGATCAAGGGTCGAATTCGAACCGTGTGATTGGCATCGTGTGGGGGCTCCTCCTCCGCCCCTTCTCGCTGGGTTGCCGTCGATCGAGTGATCGGCCTCCCCGCACCAGCGTCCTATCTGAGGGACATGGCTAGTGGCTGGCTCCCCACCGCCTGGAGTTATCCCACACACTCCCCACGTACACCACCACTAATGCGGAGGTGGCTGCGTGCACGCGCGTGCCCGAGGAGCCACACTTTTGCTCGCCACGGCTCGCGCTAAAAATAGCCGTATGAATATGCACACGCCCCTCACCCCTCCTGTAGATCGGCTTTAATCCGCTGTGCAAACACGCACGCAGGCACAGGCACAGGCACGCGGGCAAAACGATGGCCGTATTGATGATAATATACGTGCGTACCACCGTTAATGCGATCATTGCTACTTAAACACACTGCGTAAAACACGCTGTGTAAACACGCACGCGAGCGTCAGCGATCGTTTATGATTGAATACACGCGCGCTTCAAATGCCCGGACGTACTCGCACCACACCTACGCTCTCCCCATACACACAGAAATCATGCGGCGTCAGTGCTCTGTGATAAAGTTTATTAATAGCGCGTCTATAGCTAGCCCTGGGCGGTCCAGAGTAAATACCAAACGAGCAGTACCTAGCCTACCCCTATTCAATCCCTGAGTGTACTCTCCCCCTACTTCTCACCTCGCAGACGTACTCACGGGGTCGTACGGACGTGGTGGGAGTCGGAGGGACGAGGGCACGAGAGGTCTCTGCCTGGGGTTGGATTGTAGCGGCACTCGTCAGCATCGCTCGGACGCTGCGAGCGGCTGGGAGTCGGACCGGGTAGCTCAACCGCTCGAGGAGAACTGCTCAACGTTTTTTCTCTTCCCCCTGCCATTGTCCCCTCGGTCAATCGGGCGCCTACCTTTCGATTTTAAACCGATGCCCCGCCCTTACCTGGAACGATATCCTCCGGTGCGCCTTCACCCATTGTTTACGTTGCGAGCGGCTGGGAGTCGGACCGGGTAGCTCAACCGCTCGAGGAGAACTGCTCAACGTTTTTTCTCTTCCCCCTGCCATTGTCCCCTCGGTCAATCAGGCGCCTACCTTTCGATTTTAAACCGATGCCCCGCCCTTACCTGGAACGATATCCTCCGGTGCGCCTTCACCCATTGTTTACGCACCCGCCCTCCCCACCCACGCCACACCCGGTTTGGTCGTGGTGGCCGTCCCGCGGATGTCCAGCTTCAGTCGGCTCAGGAATTTCCCCCCCACCTATTCTTATGCGCTGCTCCCTGAGCGTTTGCCCCCGAGGCCCTATTTCCCTGTGCTGTGAGTGTTCTCATTGCGGTTCGCTCGGTGAGCTTCGTCGTGTCCATACAATTTTAAGCTAATTCACTGGGTCCGCAATGCAATTCGGCCTGGGGGTGGGGGGGGGGTCGGCAAATCTCCTGGCACTGGGAAACCAGGGGACATCCCCACTAGGGGCCCCTTGGGTAAAAACCCATGGTACCAAGTGACCCCCCCACGAGACCCTACGTGGGTGCTTGTGTGTGCTTAGTGGGGGTGTGCTTGCGTTCTCGTGGAGGGGTGCGAGGTGATAGCAGCGCTATGTAATGTGAGCGTAAGTGGGGTTTCACTGCTCGGCTCTGGGCCAATCATACGGCCAGGGGTATTGGGGCGGGGCCCAGTATGGGGGCGTATGTGAAGGTCCGCCGTTCACCTCCGGTCCAATCGGATGCGAGGAGAGCAGGGGCGGAACCTAAGGGCGGAGCCAGCGGGGCGCTATGCGGAGGTCGGGATCTGGAAGGTTCGGTGAAGGGCGTGGTGAGAGGGTGGAGACAGGATCACGTGGTGAAGGGAATATAGGTGGGATCCGGAAGGGGCTCCAGGTCAGTTGGTGGAGTCACGGAGCAGGACCACGTTGGGTGGCCGAAGGGTACCCGCGCCATCAGCCACGTGGCTGGAGACGCTTCGAGCACACCGTCAGCCAACGGTGTGCGGGAGCGGGGAGCGGTGCGACGGACGGAAGGCGCGTGCGAGGAGCAGCCGGTCCGCTGTCGGGACCAGCGGAGTGCGAGCGTCAAACGAGAATAAAGAGAGAGAGACGGAGACCTAGCAGTGTGTCGGCGAACTCCTTTATTACACAATTTTAAGCTAATTCACTGGGGCCGCAATGCAATTCGGCCTGGGGGGGGGGGGGTCGGCCAAACTCCTGGAACTGGGAAACCATGGGACATTCCCACTCGGGGCCCCTCGGGTAAAAACCCATGGTACCAAGTGACCCCCTCACGAGATCCTACGTGGGTGCATGTGTGTGCTTAGTGGGGGTGTGCGTGCGTTCTCGTGGAGGGGTGCGAGGGGATAGCAGCGCTGGCGGAGTTGCTCCGTTGCTGTGGCACCACAATCGCACTCGCTGAAAGTGAATGCCTTCAGGGAAGTCGTGTACTGTATACGCAACAGCGCACAATTCTGAGTCACTTATAACTGCTTTGCCGTTACTTATTGCCAATTATGGACTCAGAATATTGTCCTAGCATCTCATAGAGTCCCTGGTACATAATAATATGCTACACAGTGGCAGTGGGGGGTCGCAAAATGCCGATTTATCTCCATAGATATAAAAGGCAAAGTTGTGAATGTGTGTCTGTTCAAAATGTTTAGCATACTTCCCGACATGCAACAAACTGGAAATTTGCCATGTGGGTACTTTCCAGATTGTACACCATGCAAAAATTACAAAAATACACTTTTGGGGGGGGGGGGGGGGAGCTCAATGATGCATATATTCTTTGCACGGCAAGGGAGCTGTGACGTCAAATCTGTCACGTGACCTGCGCATGTGGAAGCGTAACGCATTGTAGTGTCGTGGTTAAGGCGCCGCGCTACGAACCCGGCCACCCGAGTTCGATTCCTGCTCACGGCCACCACCGGTAACGATTATTTCAACCGCTCCTGGGCCTCCCCTAGGTCGACTCAGCCTCAAACGAGTAACTGGTGTGGTGTGTGAACATCGCCACTGGGGAGACCAAGGCGGCCGGGCGTGGTGGATCCAAGTCCCGGGCGAAGCCGGGTAGTACAGCTAGTCACTAATAAACCCCAATGATCTGATCGAAATTAGGGATTTCGATCGGATCATTAAGGGAGGGGGGGCACGTGCCACCCCACCCCCACTGGCTCCGTCAGTGCCCCGTTCCCTTATAAATCTCAACGTTCATTCTACAAAGTCCCATCACAAGGGAGAAACACAAACAATAGACAAAATTAGTTTTTTTTCCCCGTATTGAAACGGCTGTACGCCGTATGCACCTGAAAACTCAATTTCCATGTACAAGAATACGGGTTAAACCGTATGGGTTGGCAGGTATGCATACACCACAAGCACTACTAAACAAACTCATAACTATGTTATCGGCCCATTTATGTGCGAAAGACGGAGCGAAAATAAGCCCTCAGCATTCACATCATATGCGCAGAAATGTATTTTAATGACGTCCCTTGGACGTGACCGTTCCGTCCGCCCGTCCCTCCAGCGAGCACAACTTGTTCCTCGTCGAGAATGATTGGGTTTCACTTTGACAACGCTCAGAACCACTCTGCCTTCCACCAACTCGCACTGGCCAGCGTTAGTGGTGAAGCATAGCCAACATAATTAACAACATAATTAACACGCTTGCTCGAATAGCATTTATTTTTGAAGTGCTGCGCCCTAATGAAGTTTAAAAAAAAAACCGAGGCTGGGGTTGGACTACTTCCTGTCGGCGCAAGGCGACAAACACACGAGGACCGAAAAGCGCGTGTGGGCGGGGCCGGTGGCGGTGTGACGCGGCCTCCGGGTCGTGTGAGCCGCCCCCACCCCCACGGCGCCCGCCTCGTCACTCCGAGGGCGCGGAGGGATACGCGCTCGCGCGCGCCCGTCGCCTTTTGTTCGCGGCTGAGTCCGGCGGCGGTGGCGCGCCACGCTGGGCTAGCGCGGCTCTGTACATTCCCGCCACTTTTATAATTTTCCACCAGAGATATCCACAATTCTTCACCGTTTTCGTTACTACCGTCACGACGACGCTCGCTCGCGTGGGGGTGGTTTTCTGAGAGTCCCGGGGGCAACCGGGAGACCCCCCCCGCCACCACCCCCCTACCCACCATCTCCATCCGCCGCCGAGGTGAGTACGCCTCGCCTGACGGGAACAGGCCGACGTGCTCTAGCCATTGTGGTCCGCATCTTGTTGTGTGGTGTCGTCTTGACTCGGAAGGCTGGTTTTGCTTCTGGCTGGGAGAAGTTCTCGTTGTCCGGTAGTTGTGACCCGCGGGTTGTAATGGCGACCGGGTAGGGGGGTAGGGTGAGGCGTTTGTGTCTGAAGTGGCCCGCATGGATGTCCACACGGATGGATTACGGTGGGGGTAGTTAATGTTTCACGCAGGGCTTGTGTGTGTGCTATACAAGTGTAAACAATTACAAACTACTCGAGTCAACTATTGCATTGTGGTGCGAATTCACCGGCCTTTAATAACCAAACCACAGCATCACCACCAAGTCCCACTGCCGCGATCTCAACTCGCGTAACGCCACCACAACTTGAAGCGCAGCAATTGCCTTCTAAGTGCGAATTGACTACAACTCCATTAACACTGCTCAACCACAACAGCGATAGCCGATGAGCACAACTTAAATCACAGCGGCATCCACAACAGCGCCACCAAGCACAACTCCAAAAACACAACCACAATCACAACTTGAACCGTAACGAGGCACTCCCGTAGTTTAAATCTCAACATCGACCACAACACAACAAGCAACTACCACAACACCGTGGCGAGATGTTAACTTCCTCGCCTGATATACAGCAGGTCATTGGTTCGATCCTGACCCTGACGCCTACTGCTGTATATTTGGAGTTTGCGTGTCTCTCCGTGATGAGATGTTAACTTCCTCGCCTGGTATACAGGAGGTCATGGGTTCGATCCTGACCCTGACGCCTACTGCTGTATATTTGGAGTTTGCATGTCTCTCCGTGATGAGATGTTAACTTCCTCGCTTTGTATACAGGAGGTCATGGGTTCGATCCTGACCCTGACGCCTACTGCTGTATATTTGGAGTTTGCGTGTCTCTCCGTGATGAGATGTTAACTTCCTCGCCTGGTATACAGGAGGTCATGGGTTCGATCCTGACCCTGACGCCTACTGCTGTATATTTGGAGTTTGCGTGTCTCCGTGGTCGCGTGGATTTCCCCCCGGGGTTTCCCTCATTTAGAATCAACATCACGCGTTTAGAGTATTTGGCTTTAATCAGTTTCCACGTGATAATTCACTTAGTTGAACTATCATTTGTGGCCTGGTCGCTTCTAAAAAAGAGCTACATAGCTCAGTGGGCCTTACCTTGTGAAATACAAAAAAATTGAAATACAACTACCGTTAACCACAAAACCCCACCATCAACCATTACACCACCTCCAAACGTAACACCACCACCTCAAGCCAACCATCAGCACCACTATCGACAATCACCACAACATAATACCACCGAACATGACAACCACCAAATCGATAAACTATCACAATGTTGACGATATTAGAAAAATGCAACTACAGTACACCGGTGTTAAGATATCGTTCAAGTGTCCACTTAGAACTTTCCACTTTATTTACGCTACACGAACTCTCTCCTGAAGCCCTCTCGTTACTATCCAGACCTCAACATTGACATTTGAACCTTATGGCGGGACCCCGGGGTCCCATAAGCTCCCGGCTCTCACATAAACATTATAATGAAAACAAAAACTTTGCTCTTTTTCGCCAATGGGTTTGAAGGATGGTGGCAAGTGTTGTCTTGTTAAACTATGCCTTTATAATTGAAAACTACTTGCCTGCAGTACCTCTATTTTTTTATACACTATCGAAAAAATAAATTTACACCCCTCTTTCTCAGTGTGGATTTGTGAACACACTTTGTAAACAGTACATAAAATAAGTAATATTTAAAAATACTTTTTTTTAAAACACGCTTTTACTAGTAATGGCAGAACTCCACGACTCCAGGAAGTGGCCCCGAAGCTTGCCATAACGAAAGTGACTGGTGATTTGCAGCCAACGTGAGTTTAGCGTGGACAATTAGACCCAAGCCGAGACATACGATATAAAAAAAGATTGCTTAAAAATAAATATTTTTATGATAGAATATAGTATTGTCATCAGTATGACATACGTATACAAGTTTGCAGTCGATACGACATTGGGAAGTGGGTTAAAATTGAGTTACAAGATTTGAGGATACGATAACAGAGTTGAGGATACAACAGACAGTTGAGGATACAACAGTGAGTTAATTAAAAGCGTGTAAAAGAATGTTTTAAAATCTGTGCTTTTATGATAGAATATAGTATTGTCATCAGTATGACATAAGTATACCAAGTTTGCAGTCGATAGCACATTGGGAAGTGGATAATAATTGAGTTACAAGATTTGAGGATACAACAGACAGAGTGAGTTAAATAAAAGCGTGAATAGTACGCGTTCTTAATGCGCTGTTCATATTGCAACAAGCGTTTATACCAATGTTACTCTACAGTGGTGGGTCGCCGCTCCTCTTATCCGCATTGATATGAGCAGTATGTGGTGACTGGCTTAGCCGTAAACAAAACCTATTTGCACAGATGCATACGGACAAGATCAATATCAACCAGGAGGAATTAACGGTGCAACGCATCTCATCTGTTAAATATCTGCAGGTATAGGATTGTCATCGATTGATCCTGGCTGCAGATATTGGTAGGTCACAAGTAATAATGAAGAGAAGAGAGCCGTTTCACTGTATTATGCATACCGTAATGACAAATAAAGGACTTAAGTTGTGTAGGCAGTTTGAGCAGCTTGAGCAGCTTGAGCAGCTTTGGATAAGACTCATGATACTGCCCATACCCGAACATGGAGTGCATTCGCTTGTTCAGCTCTTCTGCGCAATCGTCCTTGCTGCGCTTGGACATGCCAACAGAATGATCCGCGCCAGGTGGGTCGCGGCGTTTGTGTGCGGTGGGACGGAGTCGCCATAAATTAATTAATTACGATTTTGACTTACGTTTATTTGGGACCCCGGGGTCCCGCCGTAAGGTTCATTTAGCTCCTGAACATTATTGCTGCCATACGCAATAATCGAAAGTCCCCAATGTGTTCAATGCAGCACTTTGTAGAGTGTCTCCAACTATAAATCAATACTTTGACTTGTGTTTGCTTTGAAGTAAGGTAATTGCCCAAAGTTTGAGAAAAGTGTGTACCGTAGTCTTATATTATCAGACAGTGCAATGATGGAGGTTGTAAGTCCCCCCCCCCATTTTTACACGTACCAAAACCTATATGACCACCACAACACCTTAAACACTCATAAAAACCAAGCCACTAAAACTCACCACCATTCACAGACACTTTACAAACACATTTTTATTTAATCGGCCAAACATCTCACCCAATTGCAGCACCCACACGGAAAGAGTTGAAGCTCAGTGAGGCTCTCCTGGATGAGTAATGAGGTCTTATCACGCTACAGTGGCGAAATGTTATCTACCTTGCCTAGTATACAGGAGGTCGTGGGTTTGATCCCGACCCTGACACTTTGCATGTTCACCCTGTAGTCACATGGATTTTTCTCTGTGTCCTCCGGGTTTCTTTGCACGTTTATAGTAATTTGTTTTGAGTATTTGTCTTCCATACATTTCCACATAACAAGCCACTTCGTTGAACTATCGGATGTGGCCAGGTTGCTTCTGAAAAAGAACTATATAACTAAATACACTGTAGTAGTCGTAGTTATTCCCAAAAAACGCCACGGTCACTGCCGCTATCAAGGCAACCACCACAGTCATGTTAACTGCACCACACCTTTTTTGGGCATCCACAAAAGGTAATCGATTCCGTGTTGGACATTTTGTCTAAAGTGATCTATTTGCAATGTCTTAAACTTGGAGTCCCACCCACCTGTGTTGTACATCGAGCCTACTTGTTGAAACTGTAATTTTAGTTTATCGAGATAAATTGAGCATAATGTACCATAATTATCTAAATTAGGTGATTACAGAACACATCTCGCCATGAAGTGGAATTAAATTCCATCCGTGCTCATAGCATCATTGAACTTGTGGGGGCTGCAATCATGATTTTAAATGTACTCTTGGTGGAAGACCTTTATTAACGAATATCAGAATCTTTATTTAGACTGGAGGAATCCAAATAGCAACGTACACCCAGTATTTGTAGGAGATGGACAACAAATAGACTTAGGAATTGAAAATTACAAGTTCCATAATCTAGCAGTGTTTGTTAAAAAAATATTTATAACAGGCAAAGAAGCCTTTATGTTTAGTGTCAGGAATATTATTGATGGTGATAAACAGAAGAATTAGGTGGACACATTTTATGGAAATAACGTGCTAATTATAATACATTGTGCTTCCAACTTTCCATGATTTGTTTTATTTAACCAGAAGTTGTGAAAGCATAAACACAAATAATAGTTCACATTAGCATAATTGGACTTATCCCATTATGTTGTTGTACATGCTACACATTTCACTTAAACATGCACTCTTGACCTCCACTTGAGTGTTGCTGCAAATCGCCATTGAAATCATTTTGCAGTAAATGAAGGTGATAATTAAAGTGCTGTACAACCACAGTCCTCAAATACAGTTTATCTGCAGATCAGGGGCAAACCGGAGACTGTTAGATCCAAACCTAAATGAACTTGACAATTCATCCATTGGATATTACTAGAAACAGTTTGGCACCATTTATATTTGTAAATGTATAATGCGTCATTTAATATGTGAGTGAGGGTATAGAAAAATTACCTGCATATTACCAATTTGGAATGTATACATAGCCCCCTATTGCAAAAACTTGGCAGGATCCTCCTGAAAAAGAGGATTGACGCTGCCCGTGAGGCTTTTATGGTTTAACAAGCATAATCATAATTGCTAGGCTTTTGACGACGTTCCTTTAGGCCAATGGTGGGGTGGGAATGACGGGGAATTTATAATGGGATTATGGCAATGTAAATAAAGTGTTTGTGCCATTTACTTGAGTGTTGTTTTTAGAAATACCGCCCATTGCATATAGTTTATCTTGTGCTTAAGGAGGTTATCTTATGGAAAGACTGGCCCTTGCCATGGGAAC